TGTATTTAATTTGGGCTTTGGTTTTCATATTATAACCAAATCATTTAATAATTTGATGTCTTTCACCTTTTCCCTCTTCTTTACTCACTTTAAATTGTTTGAATTCGTATACATGGGCGTTGCCAAGTTGACTAGAGCAAATATGCTTCCCACTCTGCAACTGAGTTCGAATCCCCCTTCCCGTAATTTAGATTAGTTTAAAGCTAAATATCGCTTGTGTAAAAAAATGTATAATTGTTTGAATTCTTTCTTTCAACGCCATAGAGAAAAGACAGAAGCCACTGCAGCAAAAACTAGTTGGTTAAAACGACCAACTCAAATAATTCATGGTTGTTTGATTCAGTTTTTACACAGAATAAAAACATTATGAATTCATAAACCAAACCAAGTCCTTATTTGTGGTTTGATGAGTAGTTTGAACTATTTGTAAATGCATAAAACTAATCAAAACCGAATAAAATTATGTAAATTAATTCATTGTCAGTTATGGGTTAAATAGCATTGATATGTTCTGGATCGGCACGTCCCTCTAAATTGAGGATATACTCTCACGGATTGTCATGACATTCTGGAAAGTATATTGATGCAAATATGCCTTTCTAAATTGCGGATATGCTGTTTCTCATAAATTGAGATGACATTTTGACAAGCATATCCACAATAAATCAAAATATCAGAACATATATTGTGACATATTAGCTGATTGTATTCACAAACCTAAAAACTTCCTAGCAATTTTGACTGAAAGTCGTCCTAGCAATTTTGACTGAAAGTCGTAGCGTAATGGTACGTTTCTTCACGAGATTGAAAAGATGTTTCAAATTTGAATTCTCACTTCTATGTTGATTTAAAAATCATCATTTGTGACTTAATTAAGTGATGAATTCTTCGGAAATTTTAATTATAACAATGCACTAGGTCAAATTCACATCATACAATCACAATTTATCTTTCTATTTTCTTTTTCTTGTTCATCCTTCCTGGGTTTTTTTGGTTGTTGTTAAGACCCTACACTTTTGTGGTTTTCCTTTTTTAGGCGACACTCCAAGACATTGCATCAAAACTCCCTTTATCTGAAAACGTCAAAGGCACACCACCATCTTCCATAAATGTTGACACTCCCAAGACAAAAAGTCTCATTCGGGCTTTCACTGAAATGAAACACACCATCAGCAAGACTGCCTTTTTGTGTTTATATGCTAAATTTCTTCCCCTCTATTTATTGCATATGGCTTCATCATCTTGTCCTCCAGTCACCACCAGCACATGCATAGATTTATAAGGGCAGCATTGCCTTTTTGTATTGACATCAGGCTCGTGCATTTTAAACCATTTGCAATCCTTGCATACAATGGCGACTTCATCATTTCAAGCCTTTTAAAAATAAAAATAAAAAATAAAAAAGGAGTTTAAAAATTCAACATAAAATTTTGGGATCGTTTCCAACATTGATAAGAGAAACATCACTAAACTCAGAGTTCAACAACATATTTAGCATATTAATATTGCTTTCGTTTGTGGATAAATAGTGGGAATCATCACGTATAATATTTCCAAAAATGATAGTTGACAAGCTAGCAACATGGAAAAGGGAATGTTAAGTGGAGGCTTCCCTTAATTACTAAATTTGTGATTTGTGAGGAAGCTGATGTCCATTAACTACAAAGTGGGTGATTAGTGTATATGCATATTTGGGCATCAAAACAAGTTAGAATGCATAACAATGCCCCAAACTGGGAAAGCCACATGATGATATAAATAAGGCAAAAACTAGTTGAAATTGACTTGGGTGTTTGGGCACTCAAATTTCACCGCATTCATATGACACTTTCAAGTTTGACAGGTATGCTTTGGCACTTAGGGAATGAAACCAATCATGCCAGGCTATAGGTACCCAATCATATGGCCCATATTAGCCTTTCCAATCATGGTCATAGTCTGTATAATTGGCAACTAGATACAATGGTGCCGGGTGGAACCCAAGCAGCTGCTTCTGAATTTTCAACTTGCAAGTTTGAAAAAAAATGCAGGACACAACTTACTCGGTGCAATTTGCAACTTGCAAGTTTGATTAGCAAGCAAATATGATCATTGAAAGTAAATAGGATATTTAACATTGTGCAAGCAAGTTGCCCAAAAAGACATTCAAAGAGCCAAGTTCAAAACAACAGAGAAAGAGAGTGCGGCTAGGGTTTTTTTTTCCACCGAAACTGAATTCATAATTTAATAAATAATATCTGTTGAAAAAAAAATTACAGGAGGGTAGTTTAGTCCATTAAAATAGCTTTAGAGTTCATACAGTTTACAATATTAGTGGATCCTCCTCATCATGTCCACATTATTACTTGTTTTGTTTGGTTGAAATTTCTTGTAGGGTTTCCTTTCCTCCCACAGATCAACTTTATGGTTGTAATTACTCCCCTGCTCATGATGAGTTGGGTATGTGTCACGTTAGCTTCATAATTACCCATGCAAAGACTTATCTTCTTCTTATATATAACTTTCTATTTTCTTCTATATTTGAGCTCTTTTCATGGAATCTAAATATAGAAGAAGAAGAAGAAGAAAAACGCAATAAAACACAGAGGTTTTGCTTCTACAAAATATGGAAAATCTCGGGAGAATTTGAAAGGGTATGGTATGGTTATGCTTGGCCTCCAAGAAATAGAATAGAATACTTGGGAAACAAGCCGTACGAAAATATGATACTTATCCACACATCGTACTAAAAAAAGGAAAAAAAAGATTGAATATCATTTTCTTTGCCATTGATTATTGAAAAAGGCAGAATAAAAAATTTGATTCTTTGCCGTCCGCAACAAATACCTATACACATTAATGGCATTTATGATTTCCCATGGAAGCCAGTGGCTTTTAAGAAAGCGTACAATTTTCCTTTTACTCTTTTATTACTCAACAAAATTAAGAGCTTGTTTGGGAGTAATTATGGAATAACCATAATTATTTACGGAGAGAAGCATCTTTCATGTGTTTTTTCACGTAATTATATTAAGTGATTTTAATTCAGGTGCTTTATCTCTAGAATCACTAAAAATCACCTAAAGTGATTATATGGTAATTCTCTATATAAGTGATTATTTGCTTATTTAAAATCACTTCTGAACGAGCCCTAAAAAAGAAAACAATAAAGCAATTTTCTGATTTTTAATAATGCAGAAGGTGGTGGGTAATTTGAATTCAATGATTTGCTTTTTGTGAAAGTAAAAGAGCACCACAAGAACAGTTGACAATGGCTTATCATATATGTGCATTAATTTGTATTTTACATGGAAACCCACAAGGTGAGCAATTTAATTCCATATAAAAGAAGAGGTCAAGGTTCCTTTGGAGTATGAAAGGCACCTGCTCTTCCTTGCAAACAAGGGTCAGAAATATGATAATTTTAAAAAAATCAATATCCCAAATGTGTGTTATGTATCTAAATTTGCTTTTTTATTTTATATTTACAAATTGGCCCGCTTAAAATATGGTAGAAATAAGAAAGCTCAAAAAGAGAAGCTCACCACAAAAATATTTGAATTTGAATTTTTCATTGTTAACCTAAATTGTGGATTCGAAATTTCAAAATTCTATCATTTATTTTGATTTTAATATTAAAATCCAGATAAATTAATTAAAATAGTCCTTCTTTATAATTTTTGTTCCAAAATAGACAAAATAGGGGGAACTATGGGGGGTAGTGGCTATTTTGAAACAAAAATTGCGAAAAATGGTTATTTTAGCACAAAACCCTAAGACTTAAGAACATTATAGTCCTTAAAGAGGATCTAGATTCAATTGATGTAGACATAGGTTTGATTAAGCTTCACATATCACAAATCACCAATTAAATTAACATCCTTAGATGCAAATAAATGTTGTTAGATGTAAAATTACAAATTGACAATGAACCATCAAAAAAAGGAAAAAACCACTCGGCTGTTAGTTGGATACGTCTATGTCTTTGGTGTGCTCCCAAGTAGTCATGTGTTCAAGTTCCCGTGCGTGTGAGTATTTCCCCTCCCCATCCTAACTTTGGCAACAACAACAAAAATTCCTAGCAAAAATGTAAAAAAAAAGAAAGAAAGAAAGAAAGAAAAGAAAAATGGGGTGAAAACCGTTTTGTTTGACAATAGTGAAGCAACAAGGAAGGCTAAAACGTGTAGAGGAGGGGAAGTTGGAGAAGTTGAGGTGGAGTTGTTTTGGTTCAACGACGTGAGAGCCAATACAATACTCAAAACCAAATCAGAACCCAACTTTGAAAGATGAGAGCATAGAGCATAGAACACATAGCACCCAGAAAGAGTCGTAAAAGGATAGTCTTTCAATTTCAATTTTTTTTAATTATTTCGTTTCATTTCATTCACCAAAAAATTAAAAACAAAACAGAAAAAAAAACACGCAAAAAAACATTGCCATTATCCAATCTGTTTCTCTCTCTACAACTTTCTCTCTCCTCAGATCTCCCCCGGTTATCTGGCGATTTCTCGGCGGTTTTCCCTTCAAAAACTCTAAAAAATCCCTTCTTTAATCCTCTGTACAATAGTTTCCATTCCAATTCTACCATTATTATTTTCAAATTTTAAAAAAAATCCCATTATTTTTTATTTTGTAAATTTTTTAATTTTTTCATTGTAGGAGTATAAAAAAAACCTCATTCTTCAGAAAGATTGTATATTTTTTCATCGTGTTTTTGATTTTGGCTTCTGGGTATTGAAGATAAGACTCTTTGGTGGACTTTGTTTGTTTCTGGAAGCAGTTACACAGCTCTAATTGTTTCCTTTGGTTTTATTAACGAGACGACGTGGAATCAGAGGCAGAGGCCTTGTGTTTCCATTTGGTGCGATTTGAAGTTGGTTTTAATTTTTGGGTGTTTGTGAAATTTGGATGCTTTTTGTGTGTAAGAAGGAGATGGAGACACTTGGAACCTAGAGCTTGTGAATTTGGGGCTGTTTCTTATTTGGTTGGCTTTAAGTTCAAAGAGAAACAGCTCTGGGGTTATGATTCAGGCAGTCTTTGAAGAACCAGCAGTTTTCGTGATCTGGGTATTGGCTCGTTTGATCTCTCTGCTTCTGGGGATGAGGAATGATGGTGGCCAAAAGCAGCAGGGTGGTGTTCCTCGCCCCGCACGGACCAATAACTTTATTCCCAACTCGTTTCGTGCCATTTCAAGCTATTTGAGAATCGTTTCGTCCGGTGCTTCAACTGTTGCTCGGTCTGCAGCGTCGGTGGCTTCATCCATTGTTGATAGGGATGATGATACCAACCATGATCAGGTAGGAGTTGCTGTCTTTTGGTTTCTATATTGAAATGTTTCAGCTTTCAGCACTGTGATATAAACTTAGTTCAAAAGTGTCTAATTCAGTTATTTTATTGTGTATAGCTAGCTGTAAGTATCTATTCACATGATAGTTTAACCTACTATTGATGTTGCTACCTGTGTGGAGAGAAACAATTTAAATTTGCTATTATGGAAAGGTGGATATAAAAGCTGGATTTTGTGTGAATTGGTGACTTTTATAGTACAAACTGTAAAATGCAGATTGAATGTAGAATACCATGTTGAGTACTTTAGTTGCCAAAACTTTCAGCTATGGAGAGTTTGTCTGAATATCTTACATGTGAAACTTTTAACCTGAAAGAGAATGCAAAAGCCATCTATGGATGACGAGAATTGTTTATGGAGTCGATTATTATTTCCACAAGTGATTGAAGATGGTGAAAGAAGTTTGATTTAGCGATTCTTGAGCATTATATTCAATTAGGATGATATTGGTGTTTAGAGCAGAAGTTGCAACTCGTAGGAAGGGTGATTATGGTGGTCGAGGTTGTTATGCATGCATGTTTCGCAAGATATGGTTCTTTGTCGACCACATTTTTGTGTGGAGAAATGTTGTCGTTTTCATGTCGGGATTAGTTCATAAGAAAGCGTTCCACGTGTGTTGAAGAAAGTGGCAGTTTGGGGTCATAGGTAGTTCAGATGGGGTATTGGCAACAGGCTATTTGATTTGTCGCTTGTCTGTGATGTTGGATAGCATAGGAGTTTTTAATCTGTTCAGAGTCGTAATCGAGACCTTACACGTGTTTTCTTCAAATCAATATTTGGATATACATAAGTGTTAGTGACGGTATGCTATTTACTTTTGTCATATATGTGCTACACGATCCACCTGTTTTCTTCGAATCAATATTTGGATATACGTAAGCGTTAGCAACGGTATGCTATTTACTTTGTCATATATGTGCTACACGTTCCGTGTGTTTTGATTCCAAATGAGACATTAATTTCAATTTGTTTAAGCTCTTTTTATTACTATCAAGCATTGATTTGGAAAGATTTGGCTGAATTGTTGATCCTTGATTGCCTGACTTGAATTAGATCTTGCTTCCCGTCTGGGTTATGACAAAATATATGCTATCAGGTGAAATAATATAAATAAAAAAGACGTTTTAGAGTATGTGATCCTTAATGAAGTTTGTTACAAGTGTGCATCATGATGTCCAGATTCAATAGCAAAGCATATGGTGAAACAATATAAGGATTCTTTGTTAGATTGGTGGTATAAGGAGGTTCCCATGTCATGTGCGACTTAGGTGCTATAGGAAGTACACATTCCGGTTAACAACCCGAGTTTGACCTTTAGATTATTATATGGAGTTGCTAGAAATTACTTCAGGCATGGCAAGAAGAGGGCTTCGATTGTATGTTGTCTGTTGGGTTTTTAAAACAGTCATAATCTAGTATGCTAAAAGTATGGGCTGTGGGGTTGTGCAAAAATAAATGCGTGAAATTATACTTGTCATGCAGTTCTTAAAAAAGAATATACTTTGCAACTTGCATTGACATTTTGTGATTGGTTTTGTGGAACTTGTGATAATTTATGGTTAATTTAATTTCAATGTAGACTTGCTTTCATAGTCTGAAATGATGTAGGGGCTAGTATTATAGATACTAAGGACTCAATTAGTAGTAACATTTAGTGACGCATTTATTGCTCCCTATGCATATTAATTTGGTAAAAATCAGAAATGTATCTGAAGTGATCATTCTTTTAACAGTAACTTTGATCAGGAAAACACTGTGCCGATATAGATAAGGTAATACCACTTTTGCAGCCAAACAGAGCCTCTTATCTTTTATTTTTTTTCAAACACAAAAATTATATTAAAAAGTTTGTGATGAGGACACACATTATGAATTGCTGGTTGCCTAGAAGTTCAATTCTTCAAACACTTAAAAAAGCCTAAAAATTTACGGAGCTCTTGGAAACTAATATGATGGAGATGATTTATATTATTCTTACCTGGTGTAACAATTATTCATTAGTGAAGGAGCTTTTGAACACTAAATTTATGTGTACTGTATTAAATCCAAAAAAATAATATTAATATAATTTTTGCTCCTTATTTTTGTGTATCGTTACTCTGAAAACAAGGCAGAATTTCATAATGAAAATAGTTGGTGCTGGTAGCAGTGCCTTTTTGAGTTTTTGACACCCAAATAGATAGTTATTTCACATCAAACATGCCTGTGCACTACCACTTGGAAGGATCAATTGAGGTGCTATTTTATTGTTAAGAAGTTTCATGATTCTATTATCTATTTAACAGTTTAGTAAGTCTTAGGCATGTTTAAAATCTTTGGACGAAAAAAATGATTATCTGAATGGACTCTTTAATTGATTGGAAAGTTAGCTTCGTAGATTCGTTTGTGTTTGGATTTTGTTAGAAGTTGTAAAAAGATATTTTGTTGAGAATATTAACCATTCAACATGGATACACGGATGCATATTTTCCATGTTGCATTCATGCTACTCTGTCAAGCTTTTCCTTCTCTTTCACTCTCTCTTTTGTTTTTTTTTTAAATTCTGAAAGAAAATTATATATGAGCAAAGAATTGGTGTTGATTGTGTACATTTAGATTAATGGCTCTTCATATTGTTGTTTTCTGTAAATTTCTTCCTTTTGTTTTAAATTTGTTCGGTTATTCTGTATTTGAATTTTTTTCACTGGACATGATCCTACTACTTTCTTTGTTCTGTTTATAAACACTTGAGGTTAAAGGTCATTTGGGTTTTGTTTCTTCAATATATATAGAGATTGGAGTTAACTTTTCATGTTCCTTTTGAAAAATAAAGGTGAACTGGGCTGGCTTTGACAAGTTAGAAGGTGAGGGAAATGTCACTCGGCAAGTTCTCCTGCTGGGTTACCGTTCTGGTTTCCAAGTTTGGGATGTTGAAGAATCAGATAATGTCCGTGACCTGGTTTCCAGATATGATGGCCCTGTCTCATTTATGCAAATGCTACCTAAACCAATAGCCTCAAAGAGATTGGAAGACAAGTTTGAAGAAAGCCGTCCATTGCTGGTAGTTTGTGCTGATGGGTCCATTTCTGTCGGCAATAATGTACAGGATGTGATGGCCTCTCCTCGCAATGGTATTAGTGCAACCAGCCATGACACAATGAACAGTGGTTTTGTGCCTACTGTTGTTCGGTTTTATTCCTTGAGATCTCAATCTTATGTTCATGTTCTAAAGTTTAGATCAGTTGTTTATTCTGTAAAGTGCAGTTCTCGAGTTGTTGCTATTTCTCAAGCAGCTCAGGTATACCTGATTTTGCAAAGTTTATCTAATAATTCTTATATTCTGCTTAATCAGTGTTTGAGTATCTAGTCTTGTGTATTGCAGATACACTGTTTTGATGCCACAACATTGGAGAGGGAATATACCATTCTTACCAATCCCATAGTTGCGGGATTCCCTGGTTCTGGAGGTATAGGTTGTGGACCTCTTGCAGTAGGCAAGAGGTGGCTGGCTTATAGTGGAAGTCCTGTTGCTGTATCTACTTCCGGGCGTGTCAGTCCACAACATCTGGAATCTTCTGCAAGTTTTTCTGGTTTTCCTTCAAATGGAAGCCTGGTTGCTCACTATGCAAAAGAATCAAGCAAGCAACTAGCTGCTGGGATTGTAACCCTTGGAGACATGGGATATAAGAAGCTCTCCCGGTACTGCTCTGAGCTTATACCTGATAGTAATATTCCGCTTCATTCAGGGAATCCTGGCTGGAAAGGCAATGGAACTGTCAATGGCCTGTCAGCAGACACGGATAATGTTGGAATGGTACATATCTCAGTTGTTTTCACTTGTAGCTATATTTTCAATTTCTTTTTGTATTCTGTTGGAGTACTATATTTAGTGAATTACCATTTGCTAACTTTGCATTAGAATATGCATCCGCTTGAGTGATAGAAAGTGTTTGGAAAATGTTCTTATACTTCATTATCATGGAATGATATTTCTGCTGGTATGCATGGTAATAAATCATGTGCATGATTTATCTAAGGGTAACTGAGTTGGATCTATCTGATCCTTTCATATTCAATTATTTGGGTTCCCTGTGCTTATTATATTCTTTGGTTTGTCAGGTCATTGTCAGAGATATTGTCAGTAAAGTTGTTATTGCACAGTTTAGGGCGCACAAGAGTCCTATTTCTGCATTATGCTTTGATCGTAGTGGCACCCTTTTAGTGACTGCTTCGGTTCAGGGGCATAACATCAATGTTTTTAAAATAATGCCTGGAAGCTCCTTTTCAACTGATGCTGCTGCATCTTATGTACATCTGTACAGGCTGCAACGTGGATTTACAAATGCGGTAAGATCTGTGCTCTTGTTCTCCATTCCTTCTTGGACATGCCATTTGTTGCAACTAGTATATGTTTGATATTAACTTTCCCCTTTCTTCATTTCCCAGATAATACAGGACATCAGTTTTAGTGATGACAGCAACTGGATCATGGTTAGTTCCTCCAGGGGGACAAGCCATCTGTTTGCTATAAATCCTTGGGGAGGATCGGTAAATCTTCCAACTGCTGATGCTGGTTTTACTACTAAAAATACAGGATTGGGTGTTACAAGTAAATCGGCAGTTCGTTGGCCAGGTGTGCAAATGCCTAATCAGCAAAGCCTCTGTTCAGCTGGTCCCCCTGTTACACTTTCTGTTGTTAGTAGAATAAGAAATGGAAATAATAGTTGGAGAGGCACCGTAAGTGGTGCTGCAGCAGCTGCAACAGGGAAGATGAGTTCCCTTTCTGGGGCCATTGCTGCTTCTTTTCACAATTCCAAAGGCCATACTCATTATGTGGATTGCAGCTCTTCGAAGGCTAAGTACCACCTTTTGGTTTTTTCTCCTTCTGGTTCCATGATACAATATGCGTTGCGAATATCAAATGGTCCAGATTCGACAGCTGTGACTGGATTGAACACTGCGTATGAGTCAGGCCTGGAGGGTGATGCAAGATTAGCAGTTGAAGCTATTCAGAAATGGAATATATGTCAAAAACAAAATCGAAGAGAACGAGAGGATACTACCGACATATATGGTGAGAACGGAAATTTAGACAACAATAAGATATATCCTGAAGGGAAGAAAAAGGGAAACACCATTTATCCTGAAGCTTGGAGCACTGTCACAAAAGCAAAGATCAGCCCTGAGGAGAAACATCAGTTGTATATTTCAGAAGCCGAACTGCAGATGCATGAAGCTCAAAGTCCAGTGTGGGCAAAACCTGAGGTATTTGTTTTGAGTACTGGAAAATGCAAAATTGTGGCTTTGCTTGCTATTCAGACAAATTCCTTATTTATGCTCTTTGCTCTTGTAAAATTGTTTGCCAGCTATACTTTCAGTCAATGATCGTGGAAGGTGTCAAAATGGATGATGAAACTGCTTCAGGAGGGGAAATTGAGATCGAAAGGATTCCAACTCGCATGATTGAAGCAAGGTCAAAGGATTTGGTCCCAGTTTTTGACTATCTTCAAACTCCCAGATTCCAACAAACAAGGTGAGGTGAACTTCTATGCATCCATTTATCTACCAGGTCCTGGTGGTGATGCAAGTGATGCTTATATGTCACATGCTCTTTGTACTTCTTTCTGCAAGTTGCCTCTTTCATGTACACAACAGGGGACATCCTATTAATGTATATGAATTACCATCTTTTCTTATCCAGGGTTGCTGCTATGGATAGAAATGTTAGCGGGATATCTGAAAATGGCAGGCTTTCATGCAGAAGCAGTTCAGGCTCTCTTGACACCATGACTGACAGTGGTGCTGGTGTGGCAGAACTTAGCAATGGCACTGAGGAAACTGAGTGGGGTGGTTCTCAGACGGCCGTAGAAAACAAGGGTTTTGTAAATAACAATGACAGCCAAAAGACAAAGACTCAGCTTGAGATTGTAAATAATAGGGAGAGGACCTTAAAAACGGAGGCCCAACTTAAGTTTGTAAATAGTAACATAGAAGGCATGGGAATGGAGAATCTATTCAGAGAGGAAGGTGATGAGCTTGATTAGAGGTAAGCCCCTCTTACTCCTGTAGATTTTTTCTAGATAAAATTTAGTGTGGCATGAAATGTCTTCACTAAATGAAGTGAGTATGATTATATAGTTAGGGAGGTGCTTTAGAAAGAGACATCATAGCTATTTGAAATTGATGGCATTCATTCTCTCCCACTTGTTATTCAGTTGTTTTTAATGGTAAATCTATTACACTGTATATTTTCGCAATGTATGTATGTCACAAATCCTCTCCCAAGGAAAAACAATCATCCAGTTTGGTATGTCATTTCCTTAAATGCTCAACACGCCAAGCATAAGAGAGCAAGGCACTTGCCTATATTTATCTACAAGGCATCTGCCGTGGCAATGTTGATTTGTTGACTTGCTGTTGGTTTTCTTTAGTTGAGTGTTTGAGACAAATAGTTTTACCATATTACTCCATCGGTATGGTGCTTGTGTGCTGTTCTAAGTCACTCTTTGTTTTCATTTTTTGTCTCAGATGTGCAGATATTCTTTGATTCTCCTGGGAGATTAACACTGTTAATAGTATGGGGTGGTCTGTAGAGAAGAGCAATAGGGGGCTCTTACCGATGCGGAATTGTGGATACTCTGTTGTTGGGGTTTCATCTTCTGTTGACTGTAAATAAAGTGACCATATAAATTTCCAATAATCAGTTATAATGTGTAAATAACAGTATGAAGTTTGTATGCTCTTTTCAGTCCCCATTTTATTCTGCCAGATTTGAATTATCCTGCCCACTTTCTTGTGTGTTTTACTTCTGCTTTGAAATGGGACAGGTCTTGTCTGGTAAGGTTTACGAATTATCCCAAATAATTCTGGATCGATTCGGCGTTCTCTCAGCATTCTCAAAATAAACGTATAACAAAAGGATGGGACAGTTTCTCCCACTCTAAAATCCAAGATTGAGACCACAATTTCCTTTGCAGATATTTTGGTATATGGGGTGCCAGATGCTCTAGATTCACAAGCAAGAAACTGAGAAATTAAAGGATGCACAGTCAAAAATTATCTGAAGAAACTAATGAAGAGTTGTCCATTTGAAGTTGACTATTCGTGCAATAATTTTGTCATTGCTTGAGAAATCTTTCCTTTGCTCACTGGGTCCATCAAGGGGGGCTATAGCCAGCCATATTCCACTTGTCCATTCATACTTAGATTTTTTTCTTGGATATCATTGTCAATTATTCGGTATGGGTTTTTGGTTATATGCCACTCGTCCATGCTAAGGTTATATCTCCTTTGTCACATATTCAACAATTTTGGATTTTGATTATATGATATTCTGATAAGAGGGCCTGACCCTTTGAGCCAGAAATACAATATGAGTCATTATGGACTTTCTTTCTTTTTTTCTGATTCTTTTTTTTTTTTTTTTTTTTTTTTTTTTTTTTTTATGGAATTCAGCAAGGAGGAGGACTTTTCCTGGGATTCGAAGGGGTGACCAATGGGGGGAAGGGGGAGGGACCTCACCACTGAGGTAAACCCCTCGGTCTGATTTTTCTGAATTTGACAAAAAGATTCCGAAATTTAGATATGTATTTGATTTAATTTTTGAATAGAAACACACTTCTTTTATCATCTCAAGAAAGTATGCGAACAAGGAGTTTGCATCTGAAACAGAACAACTGTACAGCCAAAGTTAAAACACAACCCACATCACCAAAGCTAGAACAAAGAGAATATGACTTATGTAGAGCAACTAATAAGTACAAACAAGGAGATGAATTCCATGAACTGTCTCTGGAACTTCTCCTTGGACTTGCTCACCGTTGTGTAGGTAGCCCCACACCTTCAGGCCTACAAACAAGAAAGATGATTTCAGAATACAATAAGAATCAGACAAAGACAATATATTTATTGTATAGCAACTTGTGTACGTGAGAGACAGAGATGAAAACTTCAACTCAAAAACTTAAGACAACAAAATTATATCATGAGACAAGTTAACTTACCTATCTAATCCTCTGTTGCTTGGAATCGTTGCTGAAGGCTGATCTTATCTGCATCCTTTCGCCATCGAAGGCTATTCCACCAATTTAAATCTCCTCTAATTTGTTTAATAGTTAGCGCATCGTGTGCTGTGAAGGGAAGCTTCCCTAGCCTGGGGCAATTGCTCACCTCAATCCTCTCCAAAGCTGATCCTTCCATTTCCCTTGAACAAACGGTCCTCAAAGTTTCCATATCCCTGAGTTCTATGGTTTTCAGCTTTGGAAGCGTTTCGTAGTAATTTTCTGCGATCAATTGCTTCATCCTCCTGCAGTCACTTACCTTTATTTCTTCAATGTTTTGAACCAGCCGAAGTAAAGCAAAGGATATGAGGTTCTTTAGCCTCCCACATCCCACCACTTTAATGGTCTTTAAGTTTCCAAGGCATCCTCTGCGAACTATTCCATCCACCATGGTTGCTAAGTTGTCTAGGCGACTGAGAGTTAAATGCTCCAGATTTGTTAATGTGCTCCTAAGATTTTGTTCGCCAATTAACAAACTAGTTATGCAGCCACAATTTGATATGGTGAGTGACTTCAAGTTTGGCAGGCCACATGAACTCTTTCTGGCAACTATATCAGACAAACTACTCATACCTCCGCACGAGACGAGGTCCAGGGCACTAGCACTGCACAGTAGCTCCTCGAGGCCTCGTTTCAGGAGGTCAACCCCTCTAAGGATGACTCTTTTCTCATCATGTTGAGTCGGTAAATTCGTATCGCAGCTCCTTGTACCAATCCGTATGGTGTACTCCTTCAATCTCCCAAACCATGGACCAGCGTAGTCCAAGGCAACGCAATCAACTGTGTCTAGCCTTATATGAAGAACTGAAAGTTGACGCAATGATAATAATTCATCAAATGCCGCTCCTTCTACATTGCGTTTCACATCCCACTTATAAGCACTGAAAGACATGTCTAAGACCTCAAGACTAGATAATCCTGATAAGCTTCCCTCCATGATGATTTCTAAGTGGTGTGTGTGTGACAAGTTTAGATCTCTCAGATGAATTAACTTTCCCATATCTTTTGGAAGTTCTCTTATTCGAGTGCCACAGAGATCAAGCACTTGGAGTTTATAAAGACCTCCAAGTGGGGGTAGATTTTCTAGAGAACGACAGTCTCTTAAGAGAAGAGTGTGTAGCTCCCTTAGATGAAGAAGAGAAGAAGGCAAGGAAGTTATTTGAGTGCTACTTAAATTCAAGAATTTTAGTACTCTAACCTCTCGAAAGAAACCGTCGGGGATTTTATTTAGAGGATTACATTGAAGGAACAGCACAGTTAGGTTTGAGGCCCCCAGCAACCGAGTTGGCAAACTCGTTATAGATTCATTCATAAATGAAACTCTTCTGAAGGATGTTCGAAGCTTTTGCATTCCTTGCAATGAACTGCTGAAAAACCCAGTTTCTTTCTCATTTGAGGATATCCATATGGCTACTTCCCTCAATACACTGTGCATCTTTACAGTGCCAATACCTTCACCCTGTTCTAACATGCAAGAATCCTTCAAATATTCAAGTTTTGCAATCCCATCGTTGAATGACTCCTCTAAAGTTTGACGTTCACCGATCAATCCTTCGGCTATCCAGCAATATATTAGTTCCCTTGTTTTAATTAAGAAATTTTCTGGGTACAACGAACAAGATAAGAAGCACCACTTAAAAATCTTACTTGGCAGTGAATTATAACTCAATTTCAATCGCAGATACACCTTGTCGAAGCTCCCATAATGTGGTTCTGAATGCTTCAGTTGCCAGAGTGCATTCTGCCATAGCTGAATCATTGTTTTGTCCCTCATGGACTTCCCCATCGTCTCGATTGCCAGAGGTAAACCACCACATTCCCTAGCAATTTCTCTTGCTAGAGGATTTATGTCTTCCGACTCTACTACGTTTCCTGCATTTTGTGCAAATAAATTCCAAGCCTCTTCTTCATTCAGAAGTTCCATCTTTATTTCTTTATCAGTCATCATTTCCCTACACACGCCAAGTGATCGAGTTGTCAAAATGATCTTACAATTTGCTTGGTCATCACCTTGTGGTATCCCCACGATGTCCAGATCAATTTTCTCCCAAACATCATCAAGAATGAGCAGGAACCTGCAGTAGAAATAGCATTGAGCTTGGCCATCATGAATTAGGAAACCAAATTCTGTAACTGACTTTAACAGTAACATAACATTAAGACAGATAATATAATCAAGACCAAAAATGAAGTTAACTTGAACTTGAAAAGATAGAAGTGTAAGAAAAATCATGCTCGGATCAGAAAATTAACATAACCTTTTTCCTGACTTCAATACTCGATGTAGTTTACCAGCCCTTCGCTCTGTGCTCTCTTCTGCATTCAGTGCTAAATTCAGTCTCTCAGCAACTCGAGATTGAACCTTTTTCATATCGAGGTCATTTGACACGGGGACCCAGATGACCATATCAAAGAACTCTGAGGCAGAAGACTCAAGACGATTGTTCAAGGTTTTTACTAGTGTAGTTTTCCCAGAACCTCCCATTCCATAAACAGCAATCCTTGTGATTCCTTTATCAGCCAAAATTTCCATAAGCTGATTTAGCTTCTCTGGTGCTTTCTGACCAACAAGAGAAGGTGCTGGAATATGCTCAACACGTATATCACTTAGTTTCCTATCTTCCATAGGTGGAAGATCACATGATTCCTTGATTAGTTGTTTCACCTCATCACACTTCTTTGCTGCACTTTTGCTAAGCTGGTACCTCTGGCACATGTTAGAGTCAAGAAAACACCCCTGGCCAATGGAAGCATCAAGGGGATCTGCCCCCAATAGTAGCCGAGCTTTTTGTTCAATCTCCTCAACCTCATGCTTGATCTTGTCAACCTTTTTAAGCCACTCCTTAACTTGCCCTGGGGGGTACTTCCCTTCTATCTTTGCTAAATCAATATCTTCTGTTATATCATTTTCTCGGCAGATGAGCTTTTGTAGTTCCTCCTTCATAGTTTGGATGTTTTTCTGGAATTTTTTCAGGGTGGCAAACCGTGACAACACGGTGTTGGCTAAACATCTACCAACTTCAACAAGGAAAGCACCCAAGGTTTCCATGGTACACAATAAAGGCCAAAGTAAGGGTTGGGAGTAAGAACACTAGTGTAGCTATGGGCTCAGTAGTCGTTTTGGGATTACAAAGTCATAGTTATGCATCATATGCTTTTATAGAGTCCCTTTGTTTTGTCCAGAAGCTATTAACAGTCTCAGAATCCTAAGAATGAGAAATGTAAAGAAAATGAAAATCACCGATAGACCAATGCAGAGCCAGAGAAGGAGAGAGCTAGCACAAGAACAAGAACTGGAAAAATAATATTTTATCTAACATAAAATCCAAATGGGAAGGTGTCTGTAAATTTCCTAGTTGGCTTCATTAACTTTCCATAGTTATTGTCTTCAATATATGAAGAAATCCTTGATATACTCATCCCTACGTAGCTGTAGTGATGTCACACATTCCTCATGAAATTGTCTATATTATATTATCCAGGTCCAATTGAAAATGTTGCCTTCAAGACCACACTATAAGCAGTGTGAGATGTAATGTGAGTTTCCGATATTGTGGTAGAATCATCAGGAGTGCATACGGATTGAAACTTACGCAGATGCATTTCTAACGAGTATACCAAAATCTCAGGAGTGCATATAGATGGAAAATTAGGCAGATGCATTTCTGGGATATGACAGAGCCATCATATTTCTGGTTGTTGAAATTTGCAGCTACAAAGCAAAAGGTGACACTAGCCTAAGGACATACGTACATTTCTTGGACAAGTCTCATGCAAAATAACAGAAACTAATTGAGAGAGACCACAAAGCCTATAATAATAAAACTAAAAATAAGTAAATCAACCCTATAATAATAATACATATAAACATGAAAACCCAAAAATAAAAACTGCTGCTGCACCACCACCTTCAAGCCACCACAAAGCCATAAGAAAACTACATATGTGCCTTTTTCTGCCGTATGCCGAATCCGGATGCCGTAGACCTACCTATGCCTTTCCTTTGCAATTAAATAACATGCCGTTTGGGTTTGTACCCAATAGCAGGTTAGAGGCTACAGCATTTTCGTTTTGCAGCAGCCAACGGGCTTCCTTTGCTTTGTCTTTTTTCTTCTTTTTTCTTTTGCTGAACTTCTTGAAGTAAGATGGAAATCTACTCATGGGTCTCTCTCAAACATGCGAGAAACATGTGGGAATTAAGTAAAGCTGCTTCGTATTTTAGGCAAGTATTAATAATGCATGGTTTTTTTTTTGGTCGATAATGCTTGGCTTATGAAAGAAGTAGGGCTCCTGAAATGATCATGGCGCTCAATTGCGAATGGACATATGTCCCAAACAATTAAAGAAAAGTTTATAAATTTTGGACTAGTGTTACTTTTCTTTTTCTTTTTTTCTTTTTTAAAGCAAAATTTCATTAATAACTATTACAAATTCAAGCCCAGCTCACTCAGTGTTGACAGATAGAGGATCAAGAAAACTCTTTACAGCACCTGTACTATAGAGACACTGGCAGACCCAGGAATTTTTCAGCGGATGTGCAATTTTTAAAAGCTAAAAGCAAAACAAAAAAAAAAAAAAAAAAAAAAACAATCAACTTATCATTTATTTATTTAAAAATACTAATGTTATTCATAATTAATTTAAAAAATAGCATTACATTTAACCTACAATTGTTGCCGACAAGGTTTCATATCATGAAAACATCGCATTATATTTGCATTACTAATACAAGAAAAAACATATTTCTCAATGTAAACAACCAAGTTATCACTCAACCATTGATTCCCCATTTTGTTACGCAATGGTGTTTTCACAATATTCATAGTTGAAAAAGTTCTCTCAACCGAAGCAGTTGCAACGGGTAAAACTAAAACCAATGTAAGAAATAAATACACATAGTTGTATATTCTACTCCTTCTTGTATTCACCAATTTTTCTGTCAGATCAGTAATTCCGTTCAATTAAAACAAAATAAGATTTTATATCTATTACTATGACTAATTGACTATAATTTATCAAATAAATAAATTAATTAATATCAAATTATCAATTAAATAAACAAATAAAAATTAAGTATACCTCGAATAACGTGTCACGTAGCTTCTTCCTCCTCGAGTTTGCTAATGATCTTATTAATACAGAGAGAGCTAAATAAGAAAAAAAAAATGCATTTAACTTACTTTGGATTGGTGTACTCAAGAAGGAAAAAAAACGCAGGATTCTTGTGATACACACACTTTGATGAAATTAGGTGATGTTAAATTGGTCTTTTATAAAGAGAATTCTCAATCCTACTTAATTAAGGAATTCCCAAAACCCAATTGAATAAAGAGAACTCCCAATTAAAACCCAATTAGTAAGGAATTATAGAAGCCCTTTGAAAAGCCCACGAATTACAGCAGCAATTTCCCTTTTTTTTTTCTTTTTTCTTTTTTAACTTAAAAACCCTTGACCAAAATGACGTCGTTTTGGCCATGTTTTTAAAAACAAAACAAAACAAAAACAAGTAGCGCCTTTTTAAAAGCCTGGTCCAAAACAACGTCGTTTTGCACAGGCTTCGTTAAAAATATAAAAAAAAACAAGTGTGCGTGCTATGCGCAGCCCACACTAGCAGCAGCGCAACTCCCAGTGGTTTGCGCATTTCATCAAACATGTGGTGTGCCTCGCTGGTCTGAAGCAGAGATGCAACTTCATCAGCTCTAATGGAGTTTTTCGACAACCGAAGGTGCAGGTGCACCTCCTTGCGCCTGCACAAGTTTTCCAGTGTATAGAGAAACCATAAGAACAACTGGTTCTGCTTGAACAGGAAACCAAAAGCACCAAAAATGAAAAAGTCTTACCGCTCAACATCCACTTAGCTAAAGAAGGCCATAACACCTCCTGTATCTCACATGATCTCACAATACCCAGTATGAAAGATCTAGCAACTCTACCTCCAAATTGGCGACAAGCCATGAACACAGAATTAGAGGCCTTACAACAAAATAATACACGGCGTATGATTCCTCCCCTAATTGATCAGAAACCCATTGGTTGCAAAACAAGTCTGACAGTACCATTGAGCGCTACAAAGCTTGCATTGTTGCTAAAGGATACACTCAGGTTGAAGGCATTGATTATCTTGAGACCTTTTCTCCTACCGCGAAGCTCACTACTCTCCGTTGTTTTCTTACTGTTACTATTGCACGCAATTGGTTCATCAACCAATTAGATGTTCAGAATGCTTTCCTTCATGGTGATTTACATAAAGTTGTGTATATGGAGCCTCATCCTGGTCTTCTTCCATAGGGGGAGAACATTGTATGTTGGCTCAACAAGTCCCTCTATGGACTCAAACAAGCATTCAGAAACTAGTTCTCTACCTTTTCAGATGCCATTCAGAAAGCTGATTATCAACAATCAAAAGCTAATTATTCTCTTTTCACCAAAGCTCAAGGTACTTCCTTTACTGCAGTTCTTATATTTGTTGACGACATACTCCTCATAGGAAATAATCTCCAAGATATTTTAAATCTCAAAACGTTTCTTTTTAAACGCTTCCACATCAAAGATCTGGGTGATTTAAAATATTTTTTGGGCATTGAATTCTCACGTTCCAAGAAAGGCATTTTCATGTCTTAAAAAAAATTCGCACTAGATATTCTACAAGATTCAGAACTTTCAATAGCATGCCCAGAGAAGTTTCCCATGGAACAGAACTTGAAGCTCACCCCACATATGAAGCATTGTTGAATGACCTAACTAAGTATAGAAGATTGGTTGGAAGACTGATTTATCTTACTATCACAAGCCCTAATATAGTTTATTTTGTTCGGACACTAAGTCAATTCATGCATGAGCCTCGAAAACCACATTGGGATGCTGCCACACGGATCCTCAAATATGTCAAAGGTACTCTTGGTTAAGGTATGTTATTCTCTGCTACCAACAATCTTGCCTTAAGAGCATTTTGTAATTCATATTGGGGTGGTTGTCGTGCCACAAGAAGGTCAGTTACAAGTTATTGTGTTTTTCTTGAAAATTATCTCATATCATGGAAATCCAAGAAACAAGCCAATATTTCTAGATCATCAGTAAAAGCCTAATATCAAGCTATGGCAAATACATGGTTAGAGTTAACTTGGTTGCGATACATATTGCAAGATTTAAGAGTTCCACAATTAGCTCATACACCATTATACTGTGATAATCAAGTCGCTTTGTATATTGTGGCGAATCCTGTTTTTCATGAACGTACAAAGCACATTGAAATAAACTGTCACATAGTTCAAGAAAAACTGCAAGCTGGAGTAATTAGCCCATCGCACGTATCTACACACTTCCAGTTGGCTTTGGGGAAGGATCAATATGTGACATTATGTAACAAGTTGGGACTTCATGATATTCACTCTCCAACTTAAGGGGGAGTATTAGAATTATATTGTAATATATCTAGTTTCCTAGAATAGATTAGTCGAATCCCACAAATAGTGGATCACAATTACTTAGCCTTAGAAGGCTAACACGGTGGGGCTTCGTTCATGTATATATACCTTGTACGAATTTCTTATTGAATATATAACAAAGTATTCAGCAAAATATTCTCTTGTTTATTTTCTTAAGAGCCTCCAAAAGTAGGCGCACTTCACATTCCATCTGCTTGGCCTTCTCAAGCAACTCCTTAACTTCAACACCTAATAATCGAACAAAGGACTCTTAGTGGCTCCCTATAATTTAACGCTGCTTTGTTTTATGCATAGTTTAAACTTTTAATCAATGCGAACTATTTTTTTTATTACTTCTTATAGAGATGGACCAATTATATTGAATTAAAAAATAACTATAGTATTTATAACTCCTTAAACTATGAAGTATGATTGGAGTTAAAGTTTTGTAGAGAGTTCCTAAAATAACTTTTGTGTTTTTTTAGTTAAATTTTAACTGAAAAATAGAGAGTACGATTGTAGATGCTCTTAGAAATACATGAGCAAAGTGAAGAGAATGAAAATTATCGATGGACCAATGGAGAGATAGAGGAAAGGAGGAAAACAAGAACAAGAGTAGGAAAAGGATAGTTTTTTTAATATTGTAACATCTAAATTCTAACATAAAATTGCAAATACGCGGAAGGTGTCATTTAAAAATTTCTTAGTTTTCCACTCCAATATGTGAAGGATGTCTTTGATCCTCCTAATATTTAACCAGGACAATGCCCATGTCCAATCCACCTGTATACTCGAAGGTGTGGGGTTTTATGCAAAATGGCTTTATGCTATTAGTAGTGGAACCATTCACTATATGTTGTATATATTTTGTCAAATTTTCGATATATTCTTCAACACCCAATAATCGGACAAAGCTCAAAATGGAAAATATGAAAAATTTCTAACAATTAGAGGATCACCAGAAGAAAACAAGGTATCATTAACAGAGTCAATTTCTAGAACATTAAATTCAATAAACTACTACACATATACTTTGCTTTGCAATTAAACAACAGGTCGTTTGTATCCCCAAACAACACAGAGCAGCCAGAAGCAGCCAGAAGCAGGCTTCCTTTCGCTTTCTGTGACCACTACTGAATTCCTTTGGCTTTTGTCCTTGTTCTTTTTCCTGATAGACGTACTGTCAACTTCTTCGAGTATGATGAGAATTTACTGATGGATGATCTCTCAATTCTCAGACATGGCAGAAGCATGTGGAATTAAGTAAAGTTGCTTGGGACTGGACCAATACAGACAGACAGCCCAACTTGGGACTCACTAGGAGCAACCTTTGACACATCCCCTTTAGATGACAAAACACTAACTCGTATTTTTATCAAAACCAAATATTGTTTTTAATAACGCAAAAGCCTTAAATTTTATCTTCAAAATCATTGTGGAGAATAGTTTGTTACTACATTTACTAAGAAAGACAGTCTATGCAATTCTTATGGGATTTAAGTTAGAGGTGGAGGGGGGTTAAAGTACTTAGGTTAGGAGATGAGAAAGTTTTTGATTTTAAAATTTGAGCATGGGTGTCTAAAAGATAATGTTTGGGTGTCTCTCTACAAGATAGAGTTCCTCAGCCCAAAGTTATCCCTGGTTGGGTTATATGTTCATTTGGGCTGCCCCATAGGACAAAAGAAGAAGGAAAAAAAGAAAAAAGAAGGTAGATTTGGTTTTTGGTCAAAGGAGAATAAATTACTTTCATGATTCAAAGGGAAGTGGTCATTTCAATTCTGTCAAAACAACATACACCAAATTCCAACCCCAAGACTGTGCATAGTCTTTGTGAAAGGAAATAATAAATACCATTTATAATTGTAGCAATGAAAGGTCCTATTTCCCTTTCCTTTCAGAAAAATACAATATTGTATGGGAGTCAAACCATGACAAATAGGAAAAAAAATATACCAAGCAGGCCATGACAATTTACAGTTTGTTAGAAATAAAAAATAAAAAAATAGAATCAGATGTTGCTGCATTTTCACTCCAACAACCAAAACCCACCCCCATAGAGATAGAGGAAGAGTCATTATCCATTTAGAAGCCCTGTTCTGTCAAAGACTCCATAGTCCAAGGTTTTTGAGTTGCTGCTAAGAACCTCATGTGGATGCAAAGCCAAGCAAACACCAAACTACCATCTTCTTCTTCTCATATTGAATATTATATATTATAATTTTTTTTCATTCTATCTCATTTCTCCCTTAACTTCCCTCCTTCAAAACCAAGCCAAATCCCAAACCAGAAAAAGCAAAAACATCAGTCCCATGTCTCTTTCTCCTTAACAACCCCCCTTCAACTCTCTACATTAAAATATACTCCCAAAACCCTGATATCTCCATAGCCCAAAAACTAAGCAAGGTTAGGTAACAGATAGCTACCTTAAGCCCCCATCAAAACCTTCCTTTTACAGCATACTCCTCCTTCATGGGTTCTTGCAATTCTAGTCTGTCCTTGTTTTGGTGATTTGAATTGCCACAGAAAATAACAACAACATACTTTGCCTGGGTTTGGATTTTTGTGTCTGGGAGTGTCTTGAACAAAACACAAAATGCAGCTTCACATATCACCCAGCTTGAGGCATGTAACTGTGTTTCCAGGGAAGGGAGTTAGAGAATTCATCAAAGTGAAAGTTGGGTCGAGGCGGCTTTCGTACCGGATGCTCTTCTACTCCATTCTCTTCTTCACATTTCTTCTCAGGTTTGTGTTTGTTATGACAGCAGTGGACACCATTGACGGAGAACGCAAGTGCTCCACAATAGGTATGTACTTTCATTCAACCCCAATATTATTCTAGCTATGCTATTAAAGAATATGTAGCAGCATTGGTTTCAGGGCTCCAGAAGAATGCATGTGTTTCTCCAAGAAAAGCTAACAAACCTTCAAATTCAAATATCATATTATGCATTATTTATCTGTGAATTCTTATTTAAATTTACGATTCAAATTGATAATCTAACAACATAACATATCAGATATTCCAACAAAAATATTACGTTATGTTTTATGCAATGTAAATATCTTAAAAACTGATGATAATCTTGCAGATAAAACAATAATTCTTTATAAAAATTAAAAAAAAGGAAAAGAACAAGAATTGTAAGCATTAAGATATACATGTGGGACTTATCTTTAATTCATCTTAGTTAGTATCTAGGGTTCATAACAAAGCATGTCTTTTCTGTCTCGATGAAATCAATTGCAGGCTAGTATTAATATAATAAACTTGATGATCGACCATTGGATAAGATCATTTTAGGAAAATTTATTCTGATAACAAAGATTCTAACCACTATAATAACATTTACCTTTTCTTTTAATTTTATATTTTATTTATTTATGGGATCCAAATTCATGTGAAATCCAATGAACTAAAAGTTGGTAGATATGTGAAATATGTGGTAGTAGCTGCATTTACATAAGCACCCCTAATTATTTAAATTGTCAAAAGGCTCAAAGCTCCTTTCAGGATATGATAATTTGATAAAGGTGTTTAGTGCAACATCATGAATTATCCCACACTAACTCTGAAGCATCAGATGAATAGCACAGGACAACCTGCACTTGCCTTTTTTTTTTAATAACTTTGGTTGATTTTTTTTTCAATTCATACTTTCTCTTTGAAAAAATTATTGCTTGAGAATGAAATAAATAATTCACATTTATTAATATATATTAAAAATTATTCAGAAAAAAGAAATATAACAAAATTTATATAATAAAATCTGAAAGACCAATTTGTATAATAAAACTGACCTTTATTAATATAAAGTATGAGTCACTCGATGTAGGCTTTCCCTTCTTATTTAATTTTTCTTGTAATTAATAACAATAATACTGATTTGAAGTGTCTTTTCTTTCTTTTTTTCATGGTAGCAAGTGTCTTTTCTATCTATTTTATAGCAATAATACTGGTTTGAAGTGAGTCAATTTGCCAGATGTGGCCTTGCTCCTTTTTAAATTTTTATTTATTTAATAATTTTACGTAATAATTCAGGTATAATTTACATTTTTTTTATTTATTAAAAAATTTCTGGAAAATTTATGACGTATTAAATTTTAATGTGCTAGTGAACAAAAAGGACCTAAGAGTGACAAAGATGAAAAAGGGATAATAGTAAAAATAATTATATGATTAAATTTAATCAAACACATTATAAATTATTATTGTTATTTGTAAGTCCTAATATTTGTTCTTGATAAAATAAAATAAAAGTCCTAATATTTGTTTTAATGGTAGGTTGCTTGGGGAAAAGACTAGGACCCAAGATTTTGGGAAGAAGGCTTGACTCTACTGTAATCTCCTAATCCTTACTTCTGGTTGAAGATATTATTTAATTACTTGATGTCATTTTTTTTCCAACAACAATGTGGGGTACTCAAGCAAATTTTGTGCCCTAATTGGAGTTTTTATTAATTTCTGAAAGGTCCCAGAAGTGATATACCAAATATTAGAAGAACCCATCGGCAAAGATGAATTACAAGGAAGATCTGATATTCCTCAGTCCTTGGACGAATTTATGGCTGAGATAAAGGAAGGCAAATCAGATGCAAAGACCTTTGCTGTCAAGCTCAGAGATATGGTACTTCTTTTCAGTTTTTTTATTATTATTTAATTTTTTTTATTTTTTTATTTTTTATTTACATTGAAAACAAATTAGTGTGTCGGTGATATTGCCACCTCTAAACCACGATATAAAAAAAAAGGATAATACTAAAGTTACCAAATTTGTTCACCAAATGATGTGTCATCTACATCGATATCTTACTCGTTCGAAAATAATGGATTTCGAAACACTATCACACTTTTGGTGAACAGAACTGATAAGAAAAGTATTATTTGGTGCAAGAGTATTTTGAGTTATGAGACAATGTGCATATTTCAGGTCACACTTCTTGAGCAGAGAACAAGAAATGCCAAAATCCAAGAGTACTTGTACCGGCATGTAGCATCAAGCAGCATACCTAAACAGCTTCATTGCCTGGCCTTGAGGTTAGCCAATGAGCATGCCTCCAACGCAGCTGCTCGCCTCCAGCTCCCTTCTGCTGAACTCGTCCCCGCCCTTGTTGACAACTCCTACTTCCATTTTGTCCTCGCCTCAGATAATGTGCTCGCCGCCTCTGTCGTTGCCACTTCGCTTGTCCGTAACTCATTGCGCCCTCACAAAGTTGTCCTTCACATAATTACAGACAGGAAGACATATTATCCCATGCAAGCATGGTTTTCTTTGCATCCCTTATCGCCTGCTATAATTGAGGTCAAGGCATTGCACCATTTTGATTGGTTTACAAAGGGGAAGGTGCCAGTGTTGGAAGCAATGGAGAAAGACCAAAAAGTGAGATCGCAGTTTAGAGGAGGGTCATCAGCCATTGTGGCAAACAATACAGATAAGCCTAATGTCATTGCAGCAAAGTTGCAGGCACTTAGTCCCAAGTACAACTCAGTGATGAACCATATCAGAATACATCTACCAGAGGTAGCATGCTTAACTATGGTTCAATAGCATTTAAGAGAACTTATAATTCTTCCGTACGCCTATTTTGCTTAGCCTAATTGCTCCGGAAGTCATTGTGTTTTTCTGTGCATTTGTGCTAATCTCTGCTTAATCTCAATGCAGATGTTTCCTAGTCTCGATAAGGTAGTGTTCTTGGATGACGATATAGTAGTCCAAACGGATCTTTCACCGTTATGGGATATCGATATGAATGGAAAGGTCAACGGAGCAGTTGAAACATGCAGGGGAGAAGATAACTTTGTGATGTCAAAGCGGCTCAAGAGTTATCTGAACTTCTCTCATCCTTTGATATCGAACAATTTCAATCCCAATTCATGTGCATGGGCTTATGGCATGAACATCTTTGATCTAGACGCTTGGAGGAAAACCAACATAAGCCTTACATACCACTATTGGCTTGAACAGGTATGAGGTCACCTTTATACAAGAATTCTATAGTGAGGGCCTTATATATGGCCCTTAGGTGAGGCCCTATCTCTTAACCATTTGATCAAATTGGTTAGCCATTGGGTCAAATTGGTTAACCTGATCCAACAGTTAAGATATAGGACCTCACATAAGGGCTGTATATAAGGCCCTCAATATAGAATGACTCCACCTTTATATATTCTAAACTTTCCCTAGAAGAATGTCATGGAAAATGTGTTATCATATTCCAATTTATCCGAATATTATCTTTACGCAGAACTTGAAATCAGACCTGAGCCTGTGGCAGCTAGGAACATTACCCCCCGGCCTAATAGCATTCCACGGCCATGTCCATGTTATTGATCCGTTTTGGCACATGTTGGGACTGGGATATCAGGAAAACACAAGTTCTGCTGATGTTAAGAGTGCTGGTGTCATCCATTTCAATGGGAGAGCAAAGCCTTGGCTAGAGATTGCTTTTCCGAAACTTCGGCCATTTTGGGCAAAATATGTCGACTTCTCAGATAAATTCATCAAGAGCTGTCATATAAGGGCATCCTAGGTCGGGTTTTCAGAGGCAAATGTGAACAGTGTTGATGAGAAAGAGTCTACTGTATATGAGGAAAGAAAATGAGAGAGTTCTTCCCAAATTCAAGCCTTTCAACACTGAATGCAAGATAAAAACATCACCAGGCTTTTGAATTGCAGAACTCTCTTTCCTCAGTGGAAATTCCTTAACCGGTCTCTGTATTTTTTTACCCTTGTTTTACCAATTAGATCTTGCAACCATAAATTTTTGTTTAATAACAAGATGTTAGTATGCAGTACATGCAATAAAATGCAAGACCACACACTTTTAAGACTCAATGAGAACTGCAAGCTGACAGATGATAGGATACATTAAAAGAAGAGAGGTAAAACTATGGCACCAACTGTTAGAAAGACCACTGAAAAGGTCGGAAATACATCGACACTGCAAATTGCTTGACTACGTGCAACAACCTCTTTAAATTGAAACCATGGTGCACTGACAAATGCCATCATAAAATGGTGGCAGGGAGGACAGCATCAAGATTCGGTTTTTCCTACTGACTGCTAAAACCATACAAATCATAACTAGTTCGACCATTAATGACTCTGGATTTTTCAATGAGGATGGACAGCAAAGGAAATTGCATTATAAGACAATCTCTCCCTTCTTACAACCAGTCCTAGATCACTCTCAAACTGGTACAAAAATATGTCTAATCATATACTCAATCTAATCCCAAATGAAAAAAAGAAAGACAAATAAGCTAACATATACTGCAACACGGTATCATGAAGCAATAAACAACATTCAAATTTTAGTACTCATCAAAATATTGCTGCAGCGTAAGAGTGCAATTGCATTCATTCAAACAATTCAACAAACAGCTTCTAAAATTTCAAAACTTTATGCAGAGAATCGTCAATCACAGATTATACAAGACAGGCATTCGAACGAAACTTACTTCTTTCCGGTTACATTAGACACCAAATCCCTGAAGAACTTCACGGACTTCGTAACGGGCGAATTAATTGCCATCAAATTATACAAAACATTCTCAACTTCACTGATTGATGGCCGCGATTTAAACGTTGAAACCGCTTTCAATTGCCCTTCCTCTTCAACAAGAACAGCCCACTTCTCACCGCTCACAACGCCATCTCTCACACACTTGAAAATCACTCCATTTCTTTTGCTCAAAAGCCCCTGAACCTCCAAACCCATAAATGAAAAAATGACCTCAAATGAACCCACAAAGCCACTCAGCTCACCAAACTCAGCTTCATCCTCAAACACCCACTTGGGGTTGAAAATAACCACTGGCCTTGGGTACAATAAATCAGCAACACTTTTCATATCAGCCAGTTGGATTCCCTCTGGCGCCACAAACACTGCCACGTCAGCAGAGCTCGAAATTCTGGTATTACCGTTGGTGATCGAATATATGTCTAAATTTTCAACTGGGCTTGAAGGGTTAGACTCGAAGGCTTTCAATGCAGCTTCTGTGTATGCAAGGTTAGGCCATATGATCAAGATGTTAACTTTGGACCCTTTTCTTTTAATGGGTAGGTCTCGAAATACCTGGAAAGCGAGCTGGGATAGGGATTCAGGAGAGTCATCGATGACCGGGATTTCGATACGAAATCTGGGCTGCTTGAGCTTCTTGAGCTTGTTGGTGAGTCTGAGGTTGTTGAGGGGCTTTTCCAATGTGGTTGAGAGACAGGTTTTGGCTTGTTGAATGGCTGCTTCTTTTGAGCTTGGAGGGGTGGGAGAAGATAAGGAGCAGAGTGGGGATAAAGGAGTAGTTTTGGATTTGTGGAGGAAAATTGGAGGCAAGGAGATATGTTGGTGGTGGTGGTGTGTGGGAAATGGAAGAGAAGGGAAAGAGAGAGTTTTAGTGAGTAGAAATTGGTTTGGTTGCTTTGCAGTTTTAATGGTTTTTGTATGAACCCTGAGAAGATTGGAAGCCATTTTGAGTCTTTAACAGAGTTTGCATACAGCCGAGTCTGGAAGAGAAACAAGTAGTTGCCAGGCGCACTAAAAGATAAGGTTTTTAGCTTGCTAGTTGCAAGAGCTTTATAAAAGCAGTTCAACCTTTTGTTACTTTCACCTTTTATGATGCAATTATTTGTTACTTCCATCTTTTCTAGTTTCTTTTTCTACCCACAGCGGAACACCATCGCACAGATTTTATCTGTCTGGGGTCCTCAGAGAATGACTCCATTTTCCTTTTACCATGCATAACACCTTAAACATGCTTATATACTGTTCGTGGAGCTGCAAAATTCCAAGCAAACCCATTTTATCTTTTACAAATCCACAAAGCGCACAGCTGAAAAGTTACCTCCATTCAAAACCCACAAAGTGCTCAATTTTCCAGAATACAACTACAAATTCCCAACCCCACAAAGCTATATACCTGAGTTGGGATGATGTCAGCCCAACTCCCGTGCACTCGAAGAAATTGGTAACGAGGAGTTGCCAGATTCACTTAATAGTAGTTAATACCATTTACATGAGAATACCATCATTAATTCATAAAAGTACCCAGGTTGCAATTACAGTTGCAAACACAGTTAAATCACCCACCAAATTCAGTTAGTAGACAATAAAAGGAAAAATACAAGAGCAATGACAGGACAATAAACTAGTTGGGGACAAAATGTTATCCCAAATCACCCGAATCATCTTAGATCTTGCCAACTTAAGCAACTGGTGGGCGGAGTACATGATCCTGCGAAGTATCCACTGAGGCAGGTGGCATGAACTGCCACATGGCAACCCCAGGGTATCCAATGAAAGGCACCAGCTTGTTGCCGTGAGCTTGGCCTTGGGCAGCAAATGCAGCAGGAATTGCAGGAGGGGGAGGCAAGAAGCCTGGCTGTGCATTCATGGCCTTCAGTTGCTGCTCCAACTTCTCTTTCTCTAACTTCAACCTCTGCTTCTCATCACGAAGTTCATTCTTCTCTGCCTGCATGAGGGGGGAAAAGTTTTCACATGTAATTTTTGTATCTAACTTCTATCCATATCTAACAGGTAGACAAAAGGGCAGAAACCATCTAGAATTCAAAGTTTCTAACAAGTAATCCTCAAATTTTCAATTAAAAGAAACAAAGGCTTACCTTCAATTCCTTGATCTTCTCCTGGAGGCTTGAATTTGAGTCCTTCAACTTTTGGGCTTCACCGCGTAACTGATTCACCATTCGGACAGCATCCACCAATATAGCAGCCTTGTCCGTCTTGGGGGGTCTTCCAGGCTCCAATATAGAGCCCAATTCCAGAAACCTATTATTGGTTCATGTCAAGCATAAAAGAAGTCTGCCTCAAAGAGAGGGGAAGATAGAAGGGGAGGGAAGGGGGGACAGAAAAAGAGGGAAAGGAGAGAGAACAAAAAGAATACTTGTCGTTTAGCCTATCCCTTCGCAACTTCTCCCTGCACGCCTTGGAACTAGATCCACTGCATGATTCAGTTCTGACCCTGCAAGGAGAAAAAGGCAACAGATAGTACAAAATAAATTTACTAACTTTGATCAGCTCACTATAATATTAACATAATAGTATCTGAGTTGTGATTTTGAAGATAACATGATACTTTGTCAATAAATGACAAGAAATGCTTTAACACAAAACTGAAATAATTTAAACTAACTGAAATGCTATTGGCTCAAAATTCTTCATCTAAAACCAATTATAGTTTATGAGGGCAAGTAAGCAACGCTTGTTAGTGACTGAAGACCTCATGATAAAATTTAGTTTAGAATCCTCCATAGCAGCACAGGCATTCAGAACATAGCCAAATATGAAAAGGTATAATGCCCAAAAAAGAGTCAATCAGAACAGAATTTTTGGAGTTGAAGTGGTTACAGATTGTGATTTATTTGATGAGAACAATCGAGTTTGTACCTCTTTTTTGAGCCAGATTCCTTAACTCCCTCGGCATCCCCCAATGAGCCATCAATTTCAACACTACGAAACAGATAATGTCAAATAAAGAAAATAAGTGAGCAACCACAAAAATGACCAACTCTAAAAAGTGCATGAACAATACAAACACTAGTAACAGGTAGTACAAAGTAAACTTTACGCATTAAAAACAGATCATGATACAAACATCCAAAACATTGCTGCACTCCGTTGTCTCCAACCAGCTAGCACAACGAAAATTTATACCAAACCTTTTCTCATTAATATAATATATGCTCGCACAATGAACCCAAAAGGTAAACCAAGCCAACAAACTGTTCCCTAAACAATCATTTAAAATTGGTCCAGTCTGTATCGATTGCAACTCTAGGATTCTTTTTTGGATAACCATGAATATATGCATATATGTGTAACATTTTTCATCAGAAACCCTCATCACTATGAGAACCAACTGTCCATCCCATATCACCAGCGCTGAAGTCATCTTCTTCTTCCAGTAGAAATAACTCAAATCCCTTAGAAATTTCTTGGTAAGATTTTCTATGATGTACCCACTACCAATAGAAGTACACCACCAACAGGTAGTACACCACCTAATGCATAAACACTAAAATCTCAAGTGTACATAGAAAAAAGATTAAATCAAGTGACAGAAGTGACATTGCTATCCGGAGTTTCTCACAGTGACCTCCAAGAAAACTTCAAGTTGGGCGGACAAGTAGACTTCATCCCACAATCTCTTACTACTCAAATCATATAGCAAGCATTTGATCCGTCACAGCTGGAGATTCACTAAATTGTTGGAATCACACTTTTCTTCATTAATAAAAAAGGTTACCTCCATTTTCTTTACTCAGCCAAACACCCTAAACAAGTGATATTCTGGTCAAAATTTGATTCTTTTTCCCTACCTGTGCAGACAACTATCCTATAATGCCCTAACAAGTAAACGTTTCAACAAAATTGAGATTGAGATGTTCAGACATAACGTTTCAACCCACCAGAATAAGTAGCCAGCCCAAACTTAAGACATAAGATCAATAACCTGCTTCAATTTAGGTCTCCGAGCACACATTTCCAAGTCCTAAATAGACCCAACTAATCAAATCCTCAGAAACATTCCCAAAACCCTAACCAATATATTTGGAATAAGACCAAAAAACAAAAAAAAGTATTGAAATCAGCAATTTCAACCACTCAATCCCAACAGATGAGCCACAAATAACAAGAAGCACCCAATTATTTAGAGATTATATAAAATACCCAAAATCGAAGAAAAATCGAATATTCAAAAAGAATAAAAACCCTAGTTTGGTTTATACAGAGTACAAATATTATTTAATTATCAGTGAAAAAGATAAGAGAATTGAAAAAGCACCTGACGCTAGAGGGGCCGGCGAGGGGCTGAACGGGCCAAGTGAAGCCGGAGGAGGAGACAGGGAAGTTCCCATCCAGTACAGGGGTGTCGTCGATCAGTCCATAATCAAAGAGCCAGTTGGTGTTTTCCGGGGAGACCATGTTTGGACGCTGCCGGAAAAGACAAAAAGAGGGGTTTTCCGGCTGGGAATTGGTGATATCCTCGGAACCAAACAGGGGGCAAGTGAAAGGCTTCGCCGTTTGTGGGTTGGTGGGTTCACTTGGGATGAGAGAGAGAGGGAATCTGTGTGCTTGATGATGATGTGGGGATTGGTGGCAAGAAGTGGTGTGTGTTTTGCGTGTGTTTCGTCATTGATCCAACATTAACTCCCAGTAAACGCTTTTTCTGGGTTTTGGGCCTGGATTACCAATTCCATGGGCTTGGGCTTCATTTCATATCTATTTCAATTTTGGCGAAACTTCCGTAGTTTGATTCATTTTCAACTTTTTGTTTCCATTATTTTAGTTTTGACGTTTATAATCTTGGGTTAATTACAGTTTAGTATTCTGTAGTTACACTCTTAAGATATATTAGTACATACCTTTTCAATTTTTACAATAACATACCCCGTATTTTTAAATTTATTAAGATTTTCATTATATCTTTTCGTTAGTTACTTACATGGCACAATGAGTCTCATATTTTTTAATTTTTATACTCAACAATATAATATTATGGCTAGATGGTCCGTCAGAGCTGGGAATACAATTAGGCAATGTCCTGAATTGAAACAGGCACCTTGGCACTAGTCTTATTTACCACAAAGATGTTTAATTATGGTCTTAATTAATGAAAAATCACGGGCATCATCCACATACATATTCCCACTATAGTTCATTATGATTTGAGCATTTTCTTGATGGCATCTGGATTAGCACCCACAAGCTTATCAGTTGAGCCTCCTCCTTTCATCATGAGGAAAGTAGGCATGGCTTTTATTTCCATCTCGAGGGCAACTCCCTGGTAAAAGGTTCACATCATGCACACAATTAAATAAGTAAAATGTATGGAAAAAACTAAAGATAAACACATTACATCTGGCATTCAGATTGATAGAGACATGTCAACAAACTTGAAAAATACCCAATTGACACAGAAAATGGTTTTCTATGATGAACTCTAGATTTTTATTTATTTTTTCCTATGGTTTTCTATTATTTTATAAATTGTATTTATTTAATATATTTTCCAATAAATATATTTAATTTTTTTAGATGGCTTTTATATTTAAAATAAACATTTGCCTTGTGTTTCATATAGTATAGTAAACATGCAAGTGATCATGTGACACCATATTGCAGAGTCTGAGCCATTTATTTTAATCCCCACCACCAATATTATAATATGCTTCTCTCAAAAGGAAAAAGATATTTAACCTTGAAAACAGACAGAGATGATCTGGTATCCAACTTTTATTTTTCTATGAGCCATGACCTCTCATTTAAACTCAATAAAATGTGTATATATATATATATATATATATATATATATTACCTTAACCTCATCAACATCCACCAAGAGAAACATAATATCTTGGTGAGTTAAATGCCGAATTAGCCCCCAAAATTGTATCATACTTTCGATTTACCTTCTAATCTTTTTTTTATAGAAAATTAAGGATATAAATTAAATTTTATTGCCAATTTGCCCCCCACCGTTAGAGTGGGAGACATTCCATCCATGACTCTGTTAAATAAGTCACGTTTATAGCACCTAACACACTTTCCCTCTCTGCTCCACTCTCTCTTCCTCGGAAACTCAACTCAAACCAAACCCAGTTACAGAGAGCTGAAGAAAATGGGGAGGAATACGATAATGATGATGAGCATGGATGATCAGAAAAGTAGTGCCAAGGTGACGTCAGCGTGTTGCCGGTGAACATTCCGGTTTGTTTTGCTTTGGGTGCCTGAGTTTTCTGATCGGCCATGCTCGTCAGCATCGTCGTATTCCTCCCCATTTTCTTCAGCTCTCTGTAACTGGGTTTGGTTTGAGTTGGGTTTCTGAGGAAGAGAGAGTGGAGCAGAGAGGGAAAGTGTGTCAGGTGCTATCCTTAATTTTTCAAAAAATAAAGATGAAGGGTAAATCAAAAGTATGATACAAGTTTGGGGGGTAATTCGGCATTTAACTCTATCGTGGTAGTTGAAGGCCAATTCCTTCATGGCTACAGAGGGCATGCACCGGGAAGCAGTAAAATGCACCATCACCTGCAAGAATCTCAAGTCAAGCAAATTACACCAAGCTCCATTTTCCCAAACTCAGTTTCAAACTAAGAACAAAAATATGGTAAGGAAGCAAATTAACATACCCAAAGACAAAATAATAATAATAATAATAATAATAATAAACTCACAGTTCCTCAGAGTTCACTCTGACAACCCTTGACTTCTTGAGCTGCTGCTGATCATGCACATCCGTATATCTTAGTTGTTCCTAGCTACCCTGCTCCTCCTTCTTCATCTTTTTTTCTGGAAAGATGGTGCAACTTATATAGAGGTTTGGAGTTAATTGGACTGCCCACTGATGGCTACTCTTCTTCTCCGAAGAAGTAAAAATAAAAAGGGCTGCCTCTGTAATTAAAGTTAATAAAAATGGCGTCGTTTTAGGGTTTAAGACTTGGGGAGTTTTTAGAAGTTATGTAAGTTAAACGAAATGGTCTGAAATGACATATTTTAACCATAAGCACAACATCTACATATATTAAAAATAAAAATAAAAACAAGTCAATTAAGGATATGAACTACATAGAAACCACAACCACCTTATCTAGGTATGCTTTGTAGATAAATTGTGAATTGAAAAGACACAGTGATATACATTCAAACATGACTAACATAAGATGTTAGAGGATACAACAACATAACACAATATGATATACATATATACAGTTCTTCTCCTGTGTGGACGCTCGGACATTATTACCGTGCAGATATCACGGCAATAACATCCGAATGTCTATATAAGAGAAAATCTATACATATATATTGGAAAGTGAAATGCATCTCATATGTGCTAATTTTTAGTAGCATAATAGTATGTTATATTACTAAACTGTCAATAATAATTGCGGTCTTGATCCAAGGTCTGAGAAGTTATTATCAATCTATCTGTCTATCAGTAAACATAAATATGTGTGGCACACTGGCACCACTTAAATGAGCTTTCAAACTGGAAGAAAACAAAGAGATGCATCCAAAAAAAAACCTAAATAAATGAAGAGACAGGAACCCATGCATTACTTTGCATACACGTCTTGTGTTTACAGTTGAGGAGAAGGGATTCAACCACATTTCCGGTATTTATTTTTCAATCAATCTGCATATCAATGATTAGATGCAGAGATAGGAACCCAGCAACTATTTTGAAGGATAGAAAAAGTTTTATCTTTCTTCGTAGTAGTTCACTTTTTCTGGGAACTTTTTGAGCCAAGCCAAGATATACTTGTGTTTTAGTCAAAATAGTTTAAACATGTAGAGACCCCATACCTTGTATAATTGTATTGACACACAAGTTGATAAGACCCTTAGAATATAACCCACCCGTGACCCAAGTCTTTGTCAAATTATAACACCTTGATTTTTTATTTTTTGAGGACCTTTCCTAATAACACGCTTTGAATTTTTTGTTTTCCCCTTTCTTCTCACGCCACTAAAATAACGAGTTATTATTGGCACCATAAGAAAGTCATTATACACTTCTCCAGTATAAAAATATAATGATGAAATTTCACTTCAAGAAGAAGTGCGTGATGACTTGTCCAAGTTTCAATAATAGTACTATTAAAATGCACCACATCTACATTTTATTAAAAAAAATTAAAAACAAGGACTATCCAAAAAATTGGGGAATCTATAAGTTTCCATGTGGGCTGATGCACAAAGGGTTGGGCTACTGCAATTTGAGGTTATGCATAAATAATTGGGCCTTGTATAATGACCAATTTATCCCTTGAGGGGATATCCTTCTGGTGGTCAGTAGTAGCCTGCAATTTCCTGAAGGATATAGCTGAAATTCTTGCCAACCCACTCATTTTGCTTGCTCAAGCCTACCATTTCCTTAGCCAATTCTTGTACAATGGCTCATTTGGCAAACTTAAATGGAGTCTCTGAAACACTGCAAACCATACCAAGGCTTCCAGGCATACAAAGGACCCAAAAGAGAGTGAGCATTGTTGGCTTTATGGGCAAGAAAAAAGATGATCTTCAGGAACTGCCACTACAAACTACAAGAAGACTAGCATTAGGCCTTGCCTCTATTGCACTTGTTGGGAACTCCTGCAATGGAGTCTCTCTTGCTGAGGGCAACGGGTTCTGGATCGACGGCCCTCTGCCCGTGCCTTCTGCTGAAAACAGTAAGTTTTCCTACTGAGCAGTTAAGTGTTGTAACATTTGCTACATTGTCACTCCAAGCTGCTTCAAGCCTAACTTGTTTCCAAAGATTTCAGCCAAACTTTTCTTTACTTGCAACCCATGCTTTCGTCGCAGAAATTGCAAATGAGAAGACGGGAACTCGTTCTTTTCTGAAAAAGGGACTCTACATGGCAAACATTGGAACCAAAGGGAGGAAGTTTAGGCTAAAGAAATATGCATTTGATCTCCTGGCAATGGCAGATTTGATTGCACAAGATACCCTAAACTATGTTAGAAGGTTCCTGCGGCTAAAATCCACATTCATGTACTTTGATTTTGACGAAGTTATCTCTGCAGCACCAGTCGATGAGAAACAACCTCTCACTGATCTTGCTAATAGATTGTTTGACACCGTAGAAAAGGTATCAAAATGAACACATAATTTATTGTTTAGATTCCATGCAGCTGCTTGAGAATTCCTTTTACTTTCTGTCAACAGCTTGATGGCGCTGTGAAGCAACGCAACCTATCTGAGACTGAATCATATTATAAAGACACAACAGTCATTCTCCAGGAGGTCATGGATCGAATGGCATGAAACTCCAAATATGTCCCTCTGATAAGAGCAAAATTAGTTGAACTGCACATTTAGTTCTATCAGTTTCAAAGTTCACTCTTTGTCAGATTGAATTTGCAAATGTAAAAGCAGATGACTTGTACATGACAATAAGGCTGAGTTATGAGCCTTCGGAATTATGGCTATGAGAATGCACTCTATTTCTTGCTTCTAGTCCCTTTTACCTCGACAACATCGAAGAAGTAATCAAGCATTACTTTAGAAGATTAAAGAGGAAAATGTTATTGAGAAATCAAGCTCAATACAATCACTAGTTAGAATAGAAAATTCTCTCAGCTTAGTGATACAAATACACTATCTTCACTATACAGATAAGCCTATGTTAGAATCACTCCCAAATTTTCACTTTATGATACGATTGGTGCAGATACAAATCACTGGTTACTTCAAATAAAAAAGAAACCTTCAATCAAAGATCAACCGTAGCTCAAACGTGAATCTGGAAGCCGCATATTGGTCTGACGTCGTGGAATTCCAATATCGCAAGCATTTACTCGTGAAGCAAAACGAAGTGAACAGAGTGATTCACCCGCTGAAGAGGGCTCAGGAGAGATGTTTACGACCATCAATGTCTTTGAGTCTCCTCCTAGGCATGGCTGGTCAACATTCAATTTAAGAGTTTAGAATGTCTTCAATAATCCAAAAAAAAATAAAAACGAAAGATAAAAACAGCAACCACGATTTTGTTAACACTTAACAGCCAAGCACAATAAGATAACAGAACTAAATTCTTTTACGATTCAAGTGTGATTTAACTTAAGGAAACTTCTTAACAGTGGAAATTTCAGGCCTTTCAAGAACATATGGGATGGGATGTTCCAAAAATAAACTTAAATCATTTTTGTATATCACTTAAACAAGTAAACAACAACCTGAAGAAGATATGTAAGCTTTGAGTTCCGAAATGGTACGTGGTCCTCCTTCTTTGCCAAGGAAAATATTACGTCACTTAAAGATGAGAGACTTTTGTTGATGGCCTGAATAAAATAAAAATACATACATGTAATTACTAAAAACAAAATGAAAATGAGAACATATAAACAAAATAGATTATGAAGGTTTCCGTAAAATACTTGAGTTTCTTTCAGTCGGTCCCCAGTTGACCCACTTTTAGAAAGTCGTTCACTCCCGGCAAGATCAATAAGATTCAGTACACCTTGCACTTGTTGTTCAGTACTCTAAGATGAGAGGGTAAGTTAAGAAAAGTAAGCATAATAATACAAATATGAAAAAGACAGAGTCAAAACATTAGCACATGAATACAGTAGAGTATTTATACATAAAAGAGATGTTGCTACCTCATTGACACCAGATATGCGTAGTGTGAAGACAAAATGGCTTCTTGAAGATTGCTCGTTCATTTGGGTTTTGCCTACAGACCTGTTAGGAACCAAGTAGAAGATAAGTAAATCATTTTTTTTTTCTCCTTTCATTTTGCTTGGTAAGGTAAGTACTAAATTACATAGACAACGAGAAAAAGTACAAGTAAAAACATCACTTATAATGTATGTGGATCAGTTGCCCACCTTTCTTTCAAAAGAAATTTTCTTCCTTAAAAAATAACAACATTTTCAATTCATTGAGTTAGAGTTATATCCCCAATGTCAAGCATATTGTTAGGGAAAGTTCAGAAGGGATATACAAACATGCACAAAAGAGGAGTAAGAAATACAAAACTAACAAGCATGGGAGGATATGTCAGTCAAGATTACAGGAGGTAATAAAAGAGAATTAGTATTTAGATTTACAACCTGCTATGTGCAGCCCGCTCTAAGAGAAATGAGACCTCTTTAGCAGTGCGCACATCCAAAATGGTAAGATCAGATACATGAGTGTTTCCATTTGCATCATGTTTGATCGTATATTGCTTTCCACCAATACCATTTTCTGTTCGTAACATATCTGAAGATGATCGATTTGGTGATAATAGATCACGAATAGTTTCATTATATATTTCCAACATCGACACCTACATATATTGTCAAAATAAGTGAAAATTACATATAAAAAGAATGCAATGATTAATACATTCGCATAACTAGAATAACACAGAGAGAGAGAGAGAGAGAGAGAGAGAGAGAGATTCCACTCACCTGCATTTCATATTTCCAACCTTGTGGTTGAAGTGATTGTCTGGTTTTAAAAATTTGTTCTAGTGAACGGGGTATCAGCCCTTTTTCCTCTGGATCTCCTGGGTCACCCATCATGGTATAGGTTTTCCCTGATCCTGTTTGTCCATAGGCAAAAATACAAACCTGAAACAAGAAGCCACCATCATCAGGCTAAATGTGCATAATGCTTGTGATACCCTGGGGTATATTAAATATAGGTATATTATAAAAAGAAAGTTTCAAGTTATCAACCCATAATAACAAAAAATTCAGGGATAATATTATAACAAAGTACAAGAAAAATGTGCATTCTAAGAAGCTTCACATATTTATCAAAATAAATTTTAAATGACACTAAGAATTTTAAGGCTTTCTACCAAAACTAACAAGACAGCTTTGAAGGCAAAATTAATTTAATTAGACATTAAATGAATTGCTTGGCATGAAATGTAATAGTCACTTAAAGAATACAACAAGCCTTTTATCACCTTATAACCATCAAGAGCACTTTGTACAAGCTGTGAAATGTCTTCAAATACATCTTCTTGTGATACATCAGGCATAAAAACTTTGTCAAATGTGAAAGAATGTTTTTGCCCTGATGACAAATACAGACAATATGTGAGTTTGATTAACAAAGAGCACAGGAAAACACGCAAGAATAAGACTTGTTTTCTACTACTATTCTCCAAGTAATGTACCAGTTTGCACTAAATCAATGCCCCGTCCGAGAGCATCCATTGCTGTTGGATAAGAGATAACCTTCCCTTCCGTGCTAGGACCATCATCAGCCAACAGAGGTCGCACTCTACAGAATACGCGGATGTTCCCTTTCAGTTCCTACAGAATGAGAGATTTAGTATGGTGCAGACAAAGTAGCTGATAAAAGCAATTGCAGAAGATTTACCAAGATTGTATTGTGCAACTTTTTACGCAGCATCTCTCCATCAATAAGCTTAAATTCTGCATCTGCCAGGCGAGTTTGTAACTCACTTATATGTTTCTTTTGCCCTTCATATTCTACTCTTGTTTCCAGTGTAGATAAGTCGGACATCTAGGAGAAACATAGTTATACTTAGAAAATTTAACCAACATGATGAGCAAGTGGTTCAACCATTTCAATCCAAAACGAAAGTGTACATAACCCATATGTCATACATAGTCCATGTAACATATAATAACCAGATATTATCACCTGTAGTTTCCTCTCTGCAGTCAGTAGTTGGTCCTTCAAAGTCCTTATCTCGTTACTTTGTGACAGACATCTTTCCTGATGAATACCCAGCATTGTAATATGTTAGCAAAAGTTAATAGAAACAAAACCTACATAAGAAGAAAGATAGAATTATATAAACAACCTCCAGTTCGTCCTTTTTTGATGTGAGGTTATCCAAGTCAAAACAAGATTTTTCCGTCGACTCTTTATACTTTGTATATTCAGCTGTTAGAGTCTGCACTTGGAGTTGATGTCGATCACGATCATCTCTCACTTGTTGCAACTCCATCCGAAGGCATGCAACTTCATTTACCAAAGAATCCCTCTGCTTTATAGCATCATCTTGAGATTGCTGTATCCATCCATCAAATAAAAGTTAGAGAGCTCATTTTCAAAAGGAAGGCAAGAGAGAACACAGGAAGAAACTCAACTTTTAGATTACATACTATTTGATCCATTCCTTTTAGCTAAAAAATGCACAGACGAAACTCAAGTCACGACTACAAATAATAATAACTGTCTTATAGGTGCTACAATAAAGTTGACTACAAGATTGTTTCCTAAAACTTGAATTTATATTGGAAAGGGAAAAAAAATTTCTTCTAGACCCTTGAATGCAAAAAGTTTCTCAAATATATAGTCAGTAATTAAAATGCCATCCATGAAAGGCCTATTAGGGCCTACTGGCAACATAAAGGAAGAAAGACCTCTACCGTCTACAACATCATCATTCCCAATGAAGGCAGGATACAATCCTAAGGGAGTGCAATATCTGGTCTTTAGTCAAAACTTAAAAGTGCAACTGATAAGCACATTCAACAACAATATAATCATTACAAGTTTTTCCTTCTCTAGATACTTCATCAGGGAACTACAGTATGCAATTAGAAACAGTTCATACTAAGAAACTCACCCTGGACACTGAAAGTTGACCCCTTAACATGCTCAGGTTCTCCACCATACTAGCCTTTTCCTTCTCTACGCGCTTAAGGTCTTCCTCAACTGTAGAGAGGTCCATGTGCAGTTTACTATTATACTGTTGCAAGCTTGCAATGTAGTCTTGCAATCGTTTGTACATATCATTCAGTGAAGTTATCTGAGGAATTCCCAAAAAGAAAAGTATTCAGATTAAAATATTTATAAGGAAACTCTATACTTATCAATAATGAGGGAAAAGAAGTAAAGGAATAGATATTCTACTTCACCTTCTGATTAGCACTTGAGAGCTCTCTTTGGACTCTCCCAAGCTCATCCGAGAGGGAATTTTGCGATCGCTCAATTTCAAGCCTAGCCTCCCTTTCTCTAGTGAGAGATTCCATTGCAGTCTGATTGTCATGTACAAGAATGTTAAATAATCTACAGCGGTCAGCTAAAATCAGACACATTGGATATCCGACCCACCCTACTTACCATCTTATCCAATTCTTCTTTTGTAAATTTCTCTTGTACAGAAGCAAAACTTTTTCTCAGCTCCGCAATGATTGAATTCAATTCTTCTTCCTTGTTTTTGAATAAGATCCCTATAATCAAAATAAATATAATTAATTTCTTCAGCAACTGCGTTGAGAATACGAACACAAAAAAGATGTCACTCATCATACCCATTTCATTGCATTGCCGCTCTGACACTTCAACACTATTCTGTAACTTCTCGCGCTCAAACAGGTAGCTTCCTTCAAGCTCTTGGAACCATTTTATACAAAGTTTCAGCCTTTTAATATACTCAGTCAGAGTGTCACATTTTTCCTGGAAAATCAATCAATATGAAACATGAAAAATTGAAAAATATCCAAAACGCATTTCAGGTGAACTAATCCAAATAAAACAAAATTACCATTTATTCAAAAGCTCAAAAGTTCAAAGAAAAAATCACATCTTTTAAGAAGTAAAAGCCCACTGACCTTGAGATTGAACCTGTCCTTCCTTCTGGGTCTCTCATTCAACAATGCTTCAACATCCTCTCTGGTAAATTCAATACCATCACACTCCGAACCCGCATTACTCGCCGGAGCGCTACTCGGACCCAAGTCTTGTCCCCCATTTACCACTGAAAACGCGTGTCGGACTCTCCCATTTCTCGCAGTGCCCACCATTTTTTTCCCCTCTAAAACTTTTGCCACTTTTCACACCTACTTCAATACTTCATCACCAACACCAACACTTGTAAAAAAAACACAACTTTCAAGAACACAATCTACAACCCAACAAAGAAAGACACACCCAAAAGCAACCCCAGAAAAATACGTGGAAAGTGATCGAAACCCGTCTTGAAAATGTTATATTTGGTGCCCTAGCTCTGTGTCTCCAGAAACCCACAAAAAATTCACCAAGAAATCAAATGCAGCACACATTCCAAAACCCAAATGCGAAAACTAGAAGGAACCCATGAAAAACAAGTGGATGGTGACTAAAAACCAAGGCTTGGAATTGCTATATTTGATGGGGTTGTAGTTTTAGCTTGTAGGAGTAGCTGGTTGTATCTTATGGGAAATGAAGACTGAATCTGTCTCTTGAAAAATATTTGAATAAGCAGAAGAAGAATAATAAGAGGAAGAGAGAGAAAGAGAAAGTGTTGTTGTGTGGGGCCATGAATTGCATTCAAAGCAAACAGTGAAATCTCAGCCGTTGCTTCAACGAGCAGGAAGATGGATGATCCCCAACCAAGAAACCCAGTGATAGCAAAATATTTGTTTTCGTTTGCCAAATTAAAAAACAAATCTTTAATCTTCTTTAAAATTTAAAAATAGTTTAATTTATTTATTTGATTTTGTGATTATTTCATTAGTTCATTGGCTGTTGTTGGGTAAGGTTTGATTTTACTGCCGTTGGCATTTGAATGTTTTTAAATTGGGGATCAGGCGGTACCATCTTCAACAGTTTCATTGGAACAATGCAGTGCCTAAACTACCCTTATATTTGTTTTCATAATTTTATTTCCCGAATTGATTTTTAAGTTCAGTTCCAAAAAATACATTTGGTATAAAAAGAATTGAAATACTTTCAATTAACTACAATTATTTTAAATTTGTCAAATGACATGTTCTGTGTGTACACATGTTTTTCATCCGACTCAAAACTATTTAGTTCATATGGTAGCGTGTATCGCTAAAGTTATTTTTTCGTTCACCCCTTAATGAGTATAAAGTATAATGATTAAAATGAAAATGGGGAAAATTATAAGGACTATGTATGTCATTTTGGCCTATTTTTTATATTATAAAATAAAATATGATTATCCTGAAATTGAGTGAACATTGGTTTACAATATTTGATTTCAACTTTTGAATTCCTTTTTCCTGTTTCAAGAGATGAATTCTAAACTACGTTTGAATGCGTTTTTAATAAGAAAATTCTGTGTCAGGTTATACATTAATTGGTTTTTTTGATTGCTTTTGTTTTGAGAATGCTATATCACCATCTCTGGAGTTTTGAAAGGATGAACCAAAATTGTCAGAATGCATCACATTTTGACCCAACAATAAACACAAGAAATTAAGAAGTCGCTTTTGGGGTTTCACAATCATTGACAGAAAAAGAAAAAAAAACATTACATGTATTCATCCAATGAGAAAAAAACCCCCATGTTTTTCTTGTTTATACTTTTTCAAACAAAATAACTTAATCAAAATTTGTGCATATAGCTATCTACTGATCGGTTCAAGTTCCCGTGATACCAATGTGTCTAAGTTTTCTCCCCTCTTTTTTCCTAACTTTAACAAAAATTATAATAATCATAATAATAAATAAAATAAAGTTGCATATAGCTTGGCCTAAATTACATTTCCAAATTATGGTTTGGTTGGAATTGTGCTAGAGTTAGAGGTAATGATTATAAAGTATTTTGTCTCATCAAATTAAAAGACAAAAAGAATTCAGTAATGATTAACCCAATAATTCAAGTTGGATGATGAATTCTTAGCAGTTGTCACATTCTTAAATAAGAAACATTTGGTGCAACTAATTTCTTATACTATTATTTGTGGTTCTTCTCTCTTTTGCTGTACCTGAAGCAAGCAACCCAAGGCCAGCTCCAGCTCTCCCCAAACTTTTTCCCACCAGATAATATTTAATACATAAATAAATAATATAAAGATCTTATCTTTACTTGCTTCAAATGGAGGTAAAGTATTTTCACTTTTAATTTTCCCGGAAAACTTTAAATTTTCTACCAATTATTTTCTTTGGAAACAAACAAAAGGATGCAAGTTCCCATCAGGCATGGTGTGTGCAACTAGTTTGTTGGTATTCCCTTTTCATTTCTTGGTGCTCAGCTCCCATTCTTGTTGTCACTTTCTCATCTCATCTAATCACCTTTTCAGGAAGCTTCTTGTTTAGCCATTGCTAATGAATGAACTAAACTCCTTCTCTCCTCTCTCTCCCCAAAGTTTTTTTTTATTTTTTTATTTTCATGAAATCTTTGTAAAGATATATACCAAACGTGTTTTTAAGTAATCTGAAAAGAAAAGAAGATAATTTCAAGGTGATATAGATGCTATCGGGATGATCTTTTTTTTTTTTTTTTTTTTTTTTATTCTTGCTGATTATATATGGTTATTCTTTTTCCTAAATGGAATAAAGTCCTAAATTCTTCTTGTCTATATTTTGATGTTCATAGCTTGCCTTTCTAATTAGTAATTAGGTAACATGTGAGATGTCGGGTGACATTAATCAGATTTTAAATGTCAGGCGGGTGGTGACCTAATGATCCATATTAAGAAGGAATTTTTCTTTAAACAAGTGCTATTCTTTTTCTCTTTTTTAAAGAATCTCTCATATTGAGAGAGATGATAATATATTGAACTCACACACACTATACGAATACTAGAACTCGAACTCAAGATCTTGCTTGAGGAAGTAATTACTCCAAACCACTACACTATTGGATCCTTTGGAAGTAAGTGATATCCTAAATACTCTAAATTAATTTATTCTACATGAAAAGGGACTCGAATTTGAGTGCAGGAGGCAAGCTCATTGACCTGGGCAATTTGCGGTGTAAAACATTCAAATCTAATCAGCCACAATTGAACAAAGTACTATATTTCTCTCTCTTTCTTATCATTTTCATATAAGAACCTCAAATTCAAATTCATTTTTCTGATAGCTTATGATTTCTTTCTTTTTTCTTCTCCGGTTGACATGTGTTTTTTTTATTTTTTTAAAAAGGTTTCTCAATAAAAACTAATAATTTCTGTGCAAGTGCCGTTTGGCTTGTTTCAATTCAATGAAAGCATTTTCTGGAGCAAGGAGCCTCTGAAGTTATAAGGTCCACGCTCCACTTTGTTTAATTCCAAAATATCATGTGCCCACAATGAGTGCGCAATATTACGCACGTAGGTGAAAAAATGTTAAATGCTTTTGCCATTTACGCAATTTTAAATGTCTGGTATAAAGTTAGTTTAACATGATATGCATAAACAGATTCTCTTTTTCAATTTATCCACAGAGAAGTAAATGATATTGCATACCAACTTGTTTGATTTGGTCTACATAATGTGGACAATTTTATTTGGTTTGAGGTGTTCCCTGATCTTATTCAAGACACTCTATTATGTGATTCTTTGAGTTGGGGTCAGGCGTTTTATCTTCGCGTTATAATTCTTCTTTTTATCAATAAAATTTCTTTCGTTCCGTCAAAGTTCTCTAAAAGAACAAACATGATATGCGTAAATGGTGAATGCATTTAACATTCTTTTCACCTACATAAAGTAACATTATTAAATGTTTGGTATAATTCAGGTGAAAAAATTGACAACGGAGCAACAAAACACCCAATGTTTGCCTCTCCAACATTATAAAGATATAAAATGTCGTTATAATTGCTGCGGACCAAATTTGCATGTGTATTTACCATTATTGCCAAAATATATTTGAGTTGTTCACCAAAAGAAAAATAATCTACCTAATTAAGTGTGGAATTGATCAACTATAGATACACTTTTTCTTTGGGGATAAACAAATAGTTATATAAGTCCTCAAGCAATTTATATATATAAATCCCCCTAGTCTTGTCTTATATTGTTGCCAAGTGTTTATTGTTTTATGCGAATGCCAACTCGGACAAAACCCTAATGCTTGGGCGGCTCCAAACTCCAACACAACTGGTTGACCACAGAACTTGTTTACCAGTCAAGATCCTCCAAGTTTGTGAGTTCTATGGCGTCCCATATATTTGGATTTACTTATATTATATGGTCGCCTGCACCATTAGCTCAAAAAATATGAGTTGCATCAAAATACACTAATATAACATACTTTAAAATTTACAAATGATCCATTAACGTAGTTGTTAGGAACAATTGCTTTTCAAGAAAGGTCAGGGTTTGAATCCTAGTATCGGTGTACTGTGTATGAGTTTAGTATGCTATCGCCCCTCTCAATAGGAAATGTCTTTAAAAAAATATTTTTTTAAAAACGTTATCCAAATGAGTTTTAATATGATGTGAACAAAGTCAATTAAGTAGTCTACCATTTTTAATAATAGACATATCATGAAGGGATGTGTTGAATGAATCAAAATGTGTTGATTGAGTCTAATTATAGTTGTCTAGTTGAATTTAGTTGAACCAAAAATGCTTATCACCGATAAACAAAACATTAACTGAAAAGTCTAAAACTTATTCTATGGACTATTAGACTTGCCGATGTCATCCACACTGTGAAGAAAAGAAAAAAAAAAAAAAAAAAAAAAAAAAAAAAAGGTTTAAGCGGTATCTTAAGGAACCAGCATCACTCATATTATTTATTGTTGTTTTTTGTATTTTAATGTGATCACGTCATATGAAATTATCGTAATTTACATATTTTTCATTTATATGTAAAAGAAATAAATTACCAAAAAGCATATGTGCAAAAGAAATAAATTATAAGTTAAAATATTTTTCAAAAAGAAAAAATAACTAAAAATATATTTCACAAAAATAAGGTGACGTGTCGCTATCATGTTTTCCATATAACTACTAACTCAGCTTGTTTAATAGCGGGGTTATTATCTATGAACCCATTACAGACCCAACATGATCAAACTTAACGTGCACGTATAGTGTCATTTTATTTTGTTGTACATGATTTTGTCATGCCGACTGCAACATGGTCCAAATCTAATTTTATTAATGTTTACGTTCGCGATATGGTCCAAATCCAAATATTTGGATTCGAAATTTGGCTTGGATCAGTTTGAGCTGGATTTGATAGTATTTTTGGGTTGCTTGGGCTTTTTGGACTTCAAACATTGTAACTCAATTCAACATCAATCCAATACTCATTCAATGCCATAATCCAATATAACGTAACTATGTATTTTTATAACTCAAAACGGAAAAAATAAAAAAACTCAAACGTAACTCTGATATTAAAGTATGTGTGAGAAATCTCTCTCATATAGTTTAGTAATTTTTTATTATTATAATAATAATAACTTAAAAGTAACTCCAATGTTAAGAGCACTTCCAGCCGTGAGCCTAGCCCAGGCAAAAGGCCCCCTTAGATTCCCAAAACCCATTTCAACGGTGAAATCTAGCTCTGGCAAGAGGTGGGATCCATCAAGCCCCAGCAAGTCCAAAGGCAAGACTTCCCTGGGCAAGCAGACCTCATGCTAACGTCAGTGTGATGCCCGCTAACTGCCAATTTAAATACTAAAAAAATTGAAAACAAAAGAAGAAAATAATAATAACATTTTTCTATAAATACATAGCCATGTTCTTCCCTTCTCACACCAAAACTCCATACAAATTTCCCTTCTCATATCTCATGTGAATAATGGTTGCTCTTGAATTGTCATGAAATTGGTGGGAATGCATCAAGAAAATGACTATGGCAGACACTATTCACATGAACAGTAATTGCCATTGACTCCCCTTGCCTTTTGTCATGGCAAATGGGTGCACGTGCTCTAAAAGTCAATGGGGTCTAGCCGAGTGGAAGAGGGCCTTGAATTGTAGACTAGAGGTGTAAGGTTCAAACTCCCATGACATCATAGTTGTGTGTGTGAGAAATCTTTCTCTCCTGTAGTTTAGACTATCACTTGAACTAAAAATAAAAAAAACTCAAATGTAACTCCGATGTTAAAAAAACACAAAATTTTTAAACCAATAGCAAAACACAGTGCAAAGCATGTGATACTTGATATTTTCTACCCACAAAAAAAAAAGTTGGATGAAAAAAATTGACAACTAATCTAATTAGATCAAACTTCATACTTCACGTTGTCTAGAGTGGATGTGCTCTTTACGTTGTACTTGAGTTCGAATTTTCCTCTCAGTAGTTTAGATTAAATTAAAGTAGAGTATCGTTTGTATAAAAAAATACATTATCAACTTAAATCAAAGTAGAATATCTCTTATTTATACTCCTCGTGTGTGTCAAAAAAATCCAGCAACAAAAAAAATTATTTTCTTTGAGGGCAACAAGTTAAACCTATTATTCTCTATTCTAATTATAATCTCCATCCTTTAAGCTAACTTGAAGCAACTCAATACAATTCAAATTGAGGAAAAGAAAAAAGAAATAGTTAAAGCAACAAGAAAAACATTTGATTAGTTTGATTGAATTGAGAAAGTTGGCTTAGTTTGTACTTAATACCCTGTCTAATTCATATTTATTCAGGAAAAAAGAAATCCCTTTCCTTTGTAAATGAAGAAAAAGGGAAAGATATGCAATTCATATGAATACCGCCAAACCTATCTCACCTTTTCGTCGTCAAACTTATCTTTATTGTTTGTGATTCTCCAACTTTAGCGTCGTTCACTATGCGTGAGCTTCTTGATACGACAATAGCTCAAAGTCGTCTAAATTAATATGGAAAAAGGCAAAACACAAAATGGAGATGCGGGGTATCGATCCCCGTACCTCTCGCATGCTAAGCGAGCGCTCTACCATCTGAGCTACATCCCCTTTGCTTGCTCATTCTTCTTTGTAACTTATATATCATGTATTTGTAGGAAAGTACATCATAACACAACACAATCTATGTTACGAGTATGTCAAAATAAAGAAGTCATCACTAGCAGTATATTTTGGTTTAACTTACACTTGCTTCCTTATCTTTCATGGTCAGATGACTAATATCACAATCCAAGGGGTTGATCTTGTGGATTTTGATTTCTAAAAGTAGGTCATTAGTCACAGAGGCCTCTATTCTTCTCCAATCTGCATCTTGTGGGAGCTCAAGCTTCCTAACATACCCATGTTCCCACCAATTCCCACTTCTCCAATCTTTTGTGCTCTTGGACTCTCCTCCTTGCTGCTTCCACTGCCCACTAATTTCCACAACCTTCCCATTTTCTGCATAGACCTGAACATTGTTTTTCCCATCTCCTGTTTCACCAAATAAAAAATACTGTTCTGTTTCATTGCACTCTTGAATTTTTAGTTTATAGTTCAAAACTCTTTATAAATAAGCCTCTTGGGCTAGTTAGGTGGTGAGGGGGCAAGGAAACAGATTTGGACTAAGATGAAGTTATGATTTTTGACCCCCATATGATGTATCAGATTTTAAAAAGATCCATTTTACTAACGGGGTCTAGTCCAGTGAAAAAGGGTCTTAAGTTTGAACTCCCATGACATTATTTGTGTGTGTGTGTGTGTGTGAAAAATCCCCTTCCCTCTAGTTTAGATTATTGCTTGTACTAAAAAAAGATCCATTTGGAGCCCACCATTAAATGTTCAATTACCAAAAGCCACAAAACCCAACATATATGTTTGATAAAAAGGTCTCCTTTCCTTGTCTCTCAAAACTCAAAAGGTTTACTTGTGAATTAAGGAATAATACCACCCATATTTCTTAGGTTTGTATATTGCGGCCTGCCAAAATAACATACACAATTCAACTATGCAGTCTCCTTGGTTCATGATGATTTGAATCACTAAGATATATATTAGAAGTATTTGGAAATCTTACCTGGTAGATCTGCTTTTAGTACATAATCTTGATCTGTTTGAAACCAGTCAACAGTACTGCTTTGACCAGAGCTTCTGAGACCAGCCAACAAGATATCTGCATCAAACTCCCACAGTGGGAAGGCATCAGAAGGATCAAAAAATTTCCCAAACAAGAATGGACTGAACAATGATCCTCCACCAAAAACCTTGTGCACTGCTGGACTGCCTTGAGACATGAACTTCTTGAACACATCTTCTCTCAATAAAACACACCATTTGTGTGGAGTTTGATCATCTGTTAGAACTTCAAGCTGCTTGCGAGTAGTAGTCATTGAATTGAAGATTAGAGAAACTGAACTTTTGAGTGTGTGGTGGAGAGAGGTTTGAGGCTTGTTGGTTCTTATAGTGTGGGGGAAGAAGCACTTTTGAGAAAAGTAGAGCATAAATTCCCTCAGAATACTTGAACGGCTGTAAAGCTAATTGGAATATTTCTTTTTCTTGATCCTTGCTCATTGGTGACAAGAAATTACATGTGGCAAAATGGAAGAGGTAATTGACAAAAGGTCCATTCAACCTTGAAACTCATGGATTAATTGTTGCTTGTGCAGAACATATTGAAAACTGACCATCAGGCTTGCTGTTCACATGAAAAAATAAGTTCATCAGCACATGACATCCTTGAAGAAAAAAAAACTTAATGAATCTGATCCATGGAAGAATCTTTATAGGGCATGATGGGTTGAGTGGTGGTCAAGTCATGCCATATTTAAACTAGCTGAGTCAGACGCTTCCTTTTCAGGTCAGTTCATTTGAAGCAAGAGTAATTTTTCTGGAAAAGCACTTCTTTGATCAATGACGGAGTTTTAGTGCAATTAACCTTTTCTATGCTGTCAAAGTACAGTAGTGAATTTGTGCTTTTGCTTTTGAGATAAATTTTTATATATTCACAAAAGGGTGTGTGAAAGGAATATTTGTCACATACTTACATGAGTTGGGTGCCTCTTCTCTCGTCATGTTGCCCCTCCTCCCCATACTGTGCAGAGTCTTTTTATATATTTCTTTTCAACTATGGCATTAAGTTTTTGACTACTTATTACAATGAAGCTTTTGTGCAGTGCAGGCTACAGCAAATGGTATTGGCATCTGGCAGAGCTACTTTTTCCTAAAGCAGGATTAGTATCTTCATGATTGATGCTGAATTTCCAACCAGTGAAAATTCTGGAGGGACTTTGGATAGTGGGGCACAGCCAGAAAAGGGCGGCTTTTCTATATAGGTGCAGTTATCTTGAAAGTTCAGGGCTACTCATGTGCTGCCAATGCTAGAATAAGTGACCTAGTAATTGTGGTTCATCCCACCTAGGATAAGGCAATTATTGTCCTCTTGGAACATAAAATTCAGCAAGTGGAACAAAGTAATTTATCTGTTGAATCATTTTAATAGTTAGAAATGAACAATGAAGTAATTAAATCACTTAATAACAAGAGAAATGCTAATCAGAGTCGCTGAAAATGACTTTGGCGAGACTCGCGCTTAAGCGTGACATTACAACATGCTCCTTCGTTTGCTTCCAGGCGTGTGTTTCTCTTCCGTTGTCAAGTTCTGCACAAAAAAAAAAAAAAAAAAAAAAAGAAGAAGAAGAAAAAAAAAATAAATATAGAAAACATGCATATATAAAATACGAAGAAGAAAAATAGAAGAACGAATATGGAAGTCGGCAGCCTAACTTAAAAGAATTGGCAACGAGTTAAATTGAAAGAAAGGGTCAATGGCTGCCCTGCTGCCAAACTTCTTGGCCTTCTCGACAGTTATTCACAACACGTTGTCCAAACTTTTGGTCATGCTTCAGATTCAGAACAACGACACATTCCATTTCTTTTTTCTTTCACAAAATTGTAAATAAATATAATATGAAGCAACAAAGAAAAGGGTGACAACTCAAAGAACTGCGCTATGAAAAATTGTCCCAGCACGCATGCATGGACGGTCAAGAATACCCTACATATATCAACGATTAAAAATATAGGCTTTTTTTTTATAATCATAAATGGTTCTTGAGATTTGCCAAATTATCACCTTTGGTCCTTTATGTTTTTTCTGACATTATTGGTCCCTTATGTTACACCTCACACATCAATTTGGTCCCACCATCACGTTCTATCAAAATTTTCTGTTAGATTGCTGATGCGGATGCCACGTGGATTAAACAATGTTTTAAATATTTTGGGTTTTATCACAAATGGTCTCTGAGGTTTGCGAAATTATCACATTTGGTCCTTTATATATTTTTTCTGATATTATTGGTCCTTATGTTACACCTCACTCATCAATTTGATCCCACCATGAGATTTCGTTAAATTTTTTTGTTAAATTGCTGACATGACACATATGTGGTGCACACATAGTCAATGAGAAAATGTCAAGTGGATCTAAATGAAGAAATGTTTTTTTTAAAAATAGTTTAACATTTAAAATCTTTTTTAAAAAAAGAGAGAAAATTTTCACAACATACATTTTTTTAAATTCAAATCCACTTGGCATGTTATTATTAGACATGTAGGCTCCCTCATACATGACACGTCAAATCCGTGAGGTTCTGTTGAAATTTTCATCAATTTAATAGAAATTTCAACAGAATTTAACGGATTTGACGTAACATGTATATGGCTACATGTCCAATAATAACATGCCAAGTGGATTTGAATAAAAAAACAAATTATGTTTTGAAAATTTTCGCTTTTTTTTTTATTAAATTTTTTCTAAAAGATTTTAAATGTTAAACTATTTAAAAATATATATAAGGACCAATAATGTCAACAAAAAAAAAGAAAGAAAAAAAGAACCAAATGTGATAATTTCACAAACCTCTGGGACCATTTGTGATAAAACCCAAAATATTTAAAACATTGTTTAATCCACGTGACGTCCATGTAAGCAATCTAATGGAAAATTTTGAAAGAACCTAATGGCAGAACCAAATTGACGTGTGATGTGTAACATAATGGACCAATAATGTCAGAAAAAAATATAAATGATCAAAGGTGATAATTTGGCAAACCTCAGAGACCATTTGTAATAAAAACCCAAAAATATGTACATGCATCAACAGTAAAAAATGTTCTACAAACATCAACAGTTAAAAAAATGTTCCACACGCATCAAGAATCATGTGACCTAGCATTATTCTTCCTCAGAACTTACTGTAAAAGTCTATTCTCTCCAACTATGATGACAACGTCGGTGACTTAGACAACCGAGTGATGAAAAGAAAGATGAAGATCAAATGGGCGTAGGTGATTGGATAGCGCAACAAGAACGGAAAAGAAAGGTTTGGTTATTTATATTATCATATTTAGATTTCAAGTTTTTGTTTTTGAAATAATTGTTATTTGCATTTAAAAATTGCATCCTACACTCCTTCTCAGCAAGAAATCATATTTATAGGGCACATTTAATTTTCCTTTTAAATATTTACTACATTTGTATTAGTACATTATTGAAACTTGATTATTTTCTTCGGAAAAAAAATTATTAGCCTAAGTAATAGTTAGTTTAGGTGCAGCTCCCTGGCGGAGTACTTCTGTATCGCCGATCGATTTCAAGGTCTTACCTTATTTTTCTCCTCGACTTTTGGCTTTGGTGTAGGGATCGGAGTCTGGTCGTATCGACTTGGGTTTAAAAAAAAATTTAAATTGGTCAATTGGGCACATAATATCTTTGGTTCTTTCAAATTAATTTCAATCTGCTTATAATTTGTTAGTTCCTATTGAAGAAAAGAATAGGAAAATAAGAATAAAAGTATTTATATTCTCTAATTGGTGTTGATTTTATATAGGTTTCATTCAGGTCTCAATTATTGAGTAATGCTACACTTACCACATTATTATCCCACATTTATATACCATATGATGTGGTATGTCCATATCATATGTTATATCAATTACATTAATGAAGTGTATTTTAATAAAGAAAATTAGAAAAAGAGAAATTAGTATTTTACATGATGTGGTATGTACACATCATCCGCCATATCATGTGGTATAAAATTGTTGTATAAAAAATATGGTAAGACTAGTATTATTCTTTTAGAATAGTTTTGGATTGAAGATGATTTTCATTTATAGTCACAAAAAGCATTTTAATTTTCTTTGTACAAGAAAAAGGAAAAAAAAAGTTTTATGAAATAAAATGCATGTTACCGTTGTAGTGTAATTTAGTGGATAAAACAATGATTAGCCAACATCTCACGTCTGTTTTGTGTTGCAAATAATTAGGACACAAACAACATACTGGGTAAATTGGGAGTTTAAAAAAAAAAAAAAAAAAAAAAAAAAAAAAAAAAAAAACCAAAAGGAAAGAGACAGGAAACGTAGTCATTCCCTTGACAGCTTTGAGACGAAACGTTCTGAAGAAAAATTTCACCTTTTCGACAGGTTCCGGTCAATACCGCCAATGTTTTGTATACAAATTTAACAGCTGACATTTCTTAAGCTCATTCGGTGGATCTGGTCAGAATCGAAGACACATTGAAAGGTTTTCACACGAGGAGCCTTCGAAGGTTTTGTGTTGCAGGTGATTTGGTTCAATATTTTGGCAGCTTTGGGGAAAGTTTTCTTCAATTCTTTCTGTTGTATTCTGAGTTCAACTTCTCATCAGAAAAACTTTCGTGGGTATGTGAAGATTTTCTTATATATGTTGGAAATTGGGATATAATATAATAGGTGTTTTCTTAAGGAAAATTGAATTGGGTTGGTGCCAAATCGTGAAAGTTAGAAGCTTTTGTGTGGTTTTGCGTGATGAAGCTGTTCTAGGGTTTTGGTTATGAGAGGTTTAGGCATTGATGAAATGAGAAGGATATTAAACGTTTGGAATGACAATTCAACAACAAATAGGTCTTATGAGGACAATCCGTTTCATTGTTTTTGTTATTCTGCTATGTGCTTCAACATCAATAAGCTCAGAGGAGAGGAAAATCACAGCGGAAGTGTTTCTCAGTCAACTTGTTGATCCAGCAACTGGAAAGATTGATGGGGACATGGTAAGAGACTATGTAACATCTTTTTGTTTCAGTAAGATACCTTATCATATGAGTGTGGTATATCTTATATGATAAATTTGTTCATATTAATGTTATTCGTTTTAAATTTGTATCAAAACCATATCTTATATAGGGATTTCTGTAGTACGCCTCTCTGCTCTTATTTCATTAGCATCATATCATATATCTGGACCGAACAGTAGATCCGAAAATTAGTTAAATAATCTAAAGCTTTTTAGTTCGTGGAAGTATGTTTGGAGCTTATGAAGTATTTAAGGCACAAAGCTATTTTCTTGTACTGAAATGGATTTTGATTTTGTCAATTTTACTAAAATGTTTGTGCACAACTTATTTGAAAACCAGAAGTAGTATTTGACAAAGCGATATCTTGATAATTCTAACAAAGTTGTATATCTATTGAAGATAATAAAGGCCAAAACAGAATTGAAAAAACTTATATGAGAAATGATATTTTGATGTATTTGAGCTTTCACTTTTCACCAATGAAGTTTCTTATTCTTCATTAACTCTGTTATATGCTTGTTTTTGCAAAAGTAGACATTAAAATTTGTAAATTCTGTGGTTTGCAGGCACAGCTGTTATGGATAAGTTGCCAGGTGGATTTGGTCCATTTGACGGAAGCTATTGAACATCTTCACTTATGGTTAGAAGAGGAAACATCTGGTGGCACAGATGAAATTAGTTCAAAAAGACAGTCATCAGGAAAAGAAAGATTTCAGAAGCTTATTAGTGTCCTGCATCCTGAGGTGAAACAAACTCTTTCAGATTGTTTAAGGCATGGTCTCCTATCCCGTGTCTCTGGAGAAGAGGGTGCCTCTAAGATATGGTATACCAAGTATATTGAGTCCCTATTTCCCAGGCCTTATGTTCCAAGAAGGAATTTGGGCAGTGAATTGCGTCGGAGCTCTGCTGAGGTACCTTCTCCAGCCCCTGCAGCAGGATCTCCTCAACTCAGTCCAGTACCATCCGCTGCTCCAACACCTTCCACTTCTCAAACTCCTAGGTCTAGGCGCCCTGCTGCATCATTTTTTCCTTCCAATTCCAAAAATTCGACTGTGCAAGCTTCAGAGCCAGATGCCGGTTTAAATGTACAGGAAGTTAAAGGACAAGATGATCGTAAAAAAGTTGTCATTGCTGTTGTTGTTACTGCATCAGTGACTCTTGTTGTTGCAGCAGTGCTCTTTTTATGCTGTACTAAAATCTGTAGGACTGGGAAAAAAGATGGACAAAATGATGAGAGGCCCCTCCTTAGCCTGAGTTTAACTGATTCTAGTGGTATAATTCTCTAATATCGTGTTTCTGTTATCTTTAGTTGTTTGAACCATTTCAATTCTATATATCTCTGAGAGTTTTAATGTTTCAGGTTCTTCGTACAAGTCTCACGTTTTGGGAAATTCAATGAAAGAAGAGAAGCTTGACCATCAATCGTTGGGTAATAACTCAAGTCATCACAGAAAGGCCTAATTTTTAAATAGTAATTTTCACATTGAGTCTGATGTTTTAAATACTTCACTAAATTAAACTGCAGAATTAGGATCCACTGGAGGTGCTTCCAAATTTGATACATCCAGCAACATCAATGGACTGGTACCACCTCCTCCTGGAAGGCCTCCTACTGGACTGCCTACTCTAAAGCCCCCTCCTGGCAGAGCAAATCCTCTCCCTCCTGAACCACCTTCTTCTTTTAAGCCTCCTCCCAGCAGGAATGGTCCTCCTCCTCCTCCGCCTCCTGTGCCACCTCCCACTTTGAAACCATTGGGCAGTGCAGGCCCTCCCCCACCACCTCCAGCACCTCCTGGCCCTCCCCCACCACCTCCAGCACCTCCTGGTCCTCCCCCCCCACCCCCTCCAAAGATTGGTGTTCCTCCTCCTCGGCCACCTCAATCGATGCCTATTGGTTCAAAGGTAGCTCGACCTCCACCTCTTGCACCAAAACGTCCATCAAATGCTGCTTCTGGTGAGGTAGGTGGATCTGATGCTGAAGGTGATGCTACTAAAACCAAGCTGAAGCCATTTTTTTGGGATAAGGTTCTAGCAAACCCTGATCATTCAATGGTTTGGCATCAGATTAAATCAGGATCTTTCCAGTAAGTTGCAGTTTTCTTCCTTTTCTTCTTTGTGATCCATGAATCATTAGAAATTATAAGCCTCTGAATAGTAATACAATGATGATTCTTATACAGGTTCGATGAAAATATGATTGAAACTCTGTTTGGGTATAACGCTGCTGAGAAAAACAAAAATGAACGCAAGAAAGAATCTACATTCCAAGATCCTTCGCCCCATTTCATTCAAATTATTAATCCCAAAAAGGCACAAAATCTATCAATTCTTTTGCGGGCACTGAATGTCACCGTAGAAGAAGTCTGTGATGCAATTCGTGAAGGTAACTTATCTCCTTCTTTCTATCCATGGCATTGAAAAGATGCAAGTATTTTTCCTTTCCTCTTTTTTCAGTGTGTCAAAATGGAAATGTATTAGAAAAAGAGATATATGGTGTACTTTTTTCTAGAAGGAAACTTGCATTTAGTCCTTTTATGAAGTTTGAGGACTTAGGGAAGTTCAAGTGGTAGATGCACCTAGTGCTTGTGCTTAGGATTTTTATAACCAATGTCCCTACCAACAATCAAATTGGACTCTGAACTGTCAATTGCATCAATGTGCCTCCCAAACTCAGGTAGAATGGTGCATTAGACCATAAATTATAGATTAAAAAGCATTTTCTCTCTCCTCCTCTGTCACCCTTTTTCTCTCCTCTTTCTTCTTCTGCGCTCACACACAATCAACAAGTATTCTAATATACTAAACGCAACAATAAAACTGAATGAAGTTAATCACGTTATCAAAATACTGCAGAAACTAGATAAACTACCAAACCACTAAAACTCAAAAGTACTGTGTTGAAACCCATAAGTGAAAAATACCCCTAAAATTTAGTCATCTGCTTTCCATGTGATCAATTTGGACAGAAGCTGAAGAATCAGATGTTGGTGCCTCATTGGTGCATGGTACCAGAGTTTGAGGGTTGCATTGATGCAATTGAAAGTTCAGGGACCACTTTGATTATGGGGCAATATGTCAGGGGTATTGGTGATTTAAAAAAAAAAGCCTTGTAATTGTTCTAAACTTCTAATTAAACTCTATGTTTCTCAAAAAACCTAGTAATTACTTTGGAACTTTTTCAGAAAATTCTTGAGCGAACATCTTGTCTGAGTAATAGAATAATGTATAAGGAAAGCTAAAATAAAAGATGATCCAGTGCATGTGTTTTTTTTTCCTTGCATGCGAAGCATATTGTAATCTTTCTTAGTTGAATCAGGAAATGAACTTCCCTCAGAATTCCTACAAACTTTGCTGAAGATGGCACCAACACAAGAAGAAGAACTAAAGCTTAGACTGTTCAATGGTCAACTTTCTCAACTTGGGCCTGCTGAGCGGTTCCTAAAAGCCTTGATTGAGATTCCATTTGCTTTTAAGCGATTGGAAGCATTACTTTTTATGTGCACTCTTCAGGAGGAGGTCACCACCCTTAAGGAGTCCTTCGCAACCTTAGAGGTAAAGACTGAGTTTCTGAATTGCATGCCATATATGATTTTGAGTCTCATACTCTCCTACCCAGTTTTTTGGGTATCTCAGGTTAACTTCTATTAGTTCAGCAAATATTGAAAAGACCAATGTAGTGACCTGAATTATGCTTATACAACTATTATAAACATATAACTTGGTGCATATATATGCTAAGCTAGCATCAAATGCTGATATCCTACACAAGACAGTGCTTTTCAGCTGTGTAAATCATCATCAGATGATGAAGAATACACAACGCTGGTTCACAAACATGAACCGATAAAGAGCCAAATGCCAATGCACAAAGGGAAAATGTACAGTTGAAATAGCATGAATAGAGTTTGATGCAACAAGGAAAAAATGATGCCATGATGGCAAAATACAATATGGGGATTGGTTGCCACTATCCACCTATGTTAAGAACTTCCCAGAGTGGCAGCCCATGGTCAGTTTCATTTCTGGCGGCATTTGGACTCCAATTCTTGCATTTTCATCTGTCTACAAGCCTTTAATGATAAATGTCCCATGACTTCTACTCCAACTCTTAGCTGGAATAGTTTAAGAGATTGAAAATTTCGACAAATATTTTGTTCATTATGCTTAGTTTTCAAGTTTTCATCACTTTTTGCAATGACTAGTTTCTTCAAATTTCTAATTTCTAATATTGCTACTGAGATTCACATGTGGAAGCAGAGGATAATAGCATAACAAAACTCTCTATTAGATACCTTAAGCTTAGTATTATCAGGAAAGATGAAGGCTTGTCTGGCCTAGACCATACTGTCCTGTATGGGCCATGAAATATGGTACCTATCTGCATATAGGGGAGACTCATGGACATAATGTGTCATGAAGAAATATACGAATGTACTTGTACAGCATATATAAAAATGTCTGCCAGTTTTCATTCAAATGGCACAGCTTCATGTTGTTGTAACCTATCATTTTGTTTCTGTGCATGACGTTGTCTGCCGGTAACTTCTGGTCCATATCTTGAAACCTTGCACTCAAGAATATCTAAATCATATCCATGTCTATGGCAGGTTGCTTGTAAGGAACTAAGAAGCAGCCGGCTTTTCCTCAAGCTTTTAGAAGCTGTTCTTAAAACTGGCAATCGCATGAATGATGGAACATTTCGTGGTGGTGCACAAGCATTCAAACTTGACACGCTCTTGAAATTATCTGATGTAAAAGGAATAGATGGCAAGACAACCCTTTTGCACTTTGTTGTTCAGGAAATAATCCGCTCTGAGGGTGTCAGAGCTGCTCGTGCAGCAAAAGAGAGCAGGAGTTTCTCTAGCATCAAATCAGATGATCTCCTTGAGGAAACTTCCCAGGAAACCGAAGAGCACTTTCGCAGTCTTGGTCTTCAGAAAGTTTCAGGTTTAAGCAATGAACTTGAGAATGTCAAAAAAGCGTCCGTTTTGGATGCTGAAAACTTAACAGGAACTGTTACTAAACTTGGTCATGCACTCGTAAAAACCAGAGACTTCCTGAACTCAGACATGAAAAATTCAGGGGAAGATAGTGAGTTCCATGAAACACTGAAGAGTTTTGTGCAGAATGCTGAGGTTGATATCACAGGTCTCCTCGAGGAAGAAAAGAGAATCATGGCTCTGGTGAAGAGCACTGGTGACTACTTCCATGGGAAAGCAGGGAAGGATGAGGGTTTAAGATTGTTTGTTATTGTTCGGGATTTTTTACTAATCATAGATAAGGCATGCAGAGAGGTAAGATTGGCACCGAAAAAGTCAACAAATGTTCAAAAAAAGGAAGCACCTTACTCTGATCCCCGTCAGCCTCCTACAACACCATCTGCCTCCAATCTTCGCCAGCCTCCTTCTCCTGATCTCCATAAGCGGCTTTTCCCGGCAATCCAAGATCGACGAATGGATAATTCTAGCTCAGATGATGAAAGTTAATAGATTTCATTTCGAGAAGGTATGGAAATTTCTAAACCTGGTTGAAGAAAGAATATCTCTCTCAAGTGTTGTATATACTTGTGTAGATCATTTATCAATATGTGATAGTCGTAGATATTGCCAATGAACTTTGGGCCTAGTGTTACCTCTTCCCCCTTCCTCTTTAAAACAAGGGTAGGGTGATGTCAGAGGTTCAATCCATGCGGGTGTGTGTGTAATTTACTTAGAACAAAGAAAGTCAAGGATATTTTGATTTAGTATTTAAGAAATTTTTCTCTTGGCATTTACTCAGGTGGCCGTCACAGAATCTCAACAACAAAATGCCTGCTCGGTTCTTTTCTAGATGTCATCTGTGGCCAATGATTTCACAGAAGGATTAGTGAAAAAGGAGTTGGAGTTGGCCTATGCCCTCTCTTCAAGGTGGAATTTCACTAGATAAAACCTACGGTCACTTTTGAAGGCACCTCTGATGATGTTCCACCTCCATTCATGGTTGGCCGTGTGCATCAATGTCTCCCTGCTAATCGGGCAGACGACATGATTAGTGTTGTACAAAGCCAATACCATACAGAATTGTGCCTGCTCGTCCTATTCAAAAGGCGTACATTTCCTTGAGTGGTGGAGTGCCTTCATTGTTATTTGGTGTCCTGTTGAGAATGAAATTATTAGAAAACAATACTATTGCCTTAAAAAACCACAACATGCGCAGGAGCTATTTAGATATAGTGATTCTTTTTTTCTTTCCACCTATGATTCTTTGTTATATTTTTGTTCATAATTTTGACCTTTTTGGAGTAGAGGTGTAGCAAGGTAGTTTGAGATCTAAGGAATTGTTCATCTTATTGCCAGGAATGAAATTTATGATTTGTTATTATAATCCTATTTTAGCTAACATGGTTTAAAACAAAAATGGCAAAAAAAATTTACTTTCTATTATCTATTTTAAATTCAACATTTTTAAATTGGCATTTACTTTTTAGCTACTCCAACCACTTTTCAATTCAAAAAAAAAAAAAAAAAAAAAAAAAAAAAAAAAAAAAATTGAAATTTTTTCATTAATTTTGCTTGAAATAGATGGTTGGTCATTGGGGGGGGTTATAGTTTCTCTCTCAACATCAACTCTAGAGATTGAGCTAAGTTTGGAGCATGAAGCCTAGCATAGTTTAGACCCAGTATAGCTAGTGAATTTCATTTTTTTTCTTTTTTTTTTATAAAAAAAACCCAGTATAGCCGGGCGGCTATACTATTTTTTGTAAAAAACTATAGTATAGCCGGGGGGCTATACTATTTAAAAACATTATATGTCAATGGTATAGCCGCTCGCCTATACTATTTAATAAAAAATATATATGAAAAAAGGACCCTCTTAATTGCATTAGTTTATACTTTGTATATATTAATTTGGTATAACTGCTCGGCTATACAAATAAAATATGTACGTGTTTTTTTGGGTAAAATTTTGGCAAATTACAACTTAAAAGTTTTGCCACTATATAATATTTTAATATATATTATTCGTATTCAATAATATGTGATAATTATGTGTATAATAAGTGAATTTCGAAAACAAAAAAAGTATATTAAACACAAAAAATATGTACGTACATGTTCAATACGATTATTGAACGTTCGCTTTTTAAAAATGTATTTATACCATGCGGCTATACCAATGAAATATAATGTATTTATATAGTATAGCCACACCGCTATACGCGTTTTATCTAATTTGTTTTATAAAGAAATACTATCCGGCTATACTAGTTTTTTTCTACTTTTTTTAAAAAAAGAAATAGCTATACGCAGTTTTGCTAACTTCACATATTATACACATAATTATCACATATTATTGTATACACATAATATATATTAAAATATTATATAGTGGCGGAACTTTAAAGTTGTAATTTGCAAAAAAGTTTCCCAAAAAATATGTACGTATTTTATTCGTATAGCCGTGCGGCTATACCATTGAATAAAATGTATTTATATAGTATAGCCGGTCGGCTATACGACGGTTTTTTTTAAAAAATAGTATAGCCGTCGGGCTATACGCGTCTAATCTAATTTTTTTTTAAAAAATAGTATAGCCGGCCGTCTATACGCGGTTTTTCCAATTTTTATTTTAAAAATAGTATAGCCGGGCGGCCATAAGCTTTTTTCTAAATTTTTTTTAACAGAAATAGTTTAGCCGCTTGGCTATACTACGTTTTTATAAAGAAATAGTATAGCCGGCCGGCGATACCCGGTTTTTAAATATTTTTAAAAAGAAATAATATAGCCGATCACCTATACTCTTTTTTTACTAATTTTTTTTGTAAACAGAGTATTTGCTTTTTGGGGGTCAATTTTTAATAGAGTATATTATTTAGTAGGTAAACAATTGGAAAACCCCAGTGTAATCGTGTGGCTATACTATTTCTTTTAAAAAAAAATTAAAAAAAAGAGTATAGCCGAGCGGCTATACGATTTCATTTTTTAAAAATTTAAAAAACCCTTGTGTAGACGCGCGGCTATACTATTTCTCTAAGTAATTTTTTTAAAAAACGAGTATAGCCGGTCGGTGATACTATTTGTTTTTTTAAAAAAAATTAGATAAAACTAGTATAGCCGTTGGGCTATACTATTTTTTTGGGGGAGTTTCACTAAAACACCCAAAATGGGGCTGAAATTATAAAAAAATCCAACACCCAAAACACTTTATAAACACACCCAAAACCCATCATTACACACACTCAAAACTCATTTATAAACACACCCAAAAAATATACAATTGTTGATTTTGAGTGTGTTTCTATGTTTAAATAGTGTTTGAGCTTTTTTATAAATACATGTCTAAGATTGAGTTTATTTATAAATTTGTATATTAATAAATTAACAGGCACTATATTCCTATACTCTAAATATTTTGCAAGAAAAAAAATTTAAAATTAGGGATTTGGCTTAGGCTCACGTGAGACAGAGAAAAAGGGTATAAGCCCGTTTCACTGAAGTTCGTCTCCGTAACCACCAACCATAGAGCGTTCTTCTGTTTAGTTCAGGGTTCAAATAAGGTTTCTCTAGGGTTTTAGTCTCTGTGTTCCAAGGCCAGCTTTCCGTCTTTGGTTTTGCTCGCGCTGTAATCTCACCATCGAAGGAGGGCTTTGGAATTCTGTTGGGCAGTTAAGGAATAGAATACCAACTCGACATCGTTAAGGTTTGGTCACTTTGATTTTTTGATTATTTATCTTTTGTATTGTTCAATTTTAACGAGCAAGTTGCTGCTCAAAGTTAGGGTTTTGATTCAATTTGTAGACTTGACTTGTAAAGATTGATATTTGGAAATTACCCAAGAATAAATGTTACTGTTCTTCAACATTTTTAATTATAGAATTTCATTCATTCCTTTCCCTCCATCCAAACGCACTGTAATTATAGAATTTTCGTGCAGTCTATCTGGAGATGGTTATATGTTTTTGTTGTACCTGCAATTCCATAGCTTAATTGATACCGAACGTTTGCACACTGGCAAACTAAAACTGAGTCTTTTTGCTACCTTGGCAGTTGATTTGTGGTTGTTGCTTCATATTATTCAGCATGTCGTCCCTAAGGAATGCTATTAGCAGGCGGGCTCACAAGGAACGAGCTCAACCGTGAGCAACCACATACCCTTTGCTGTTGATAATGTTGTTTTGCATCAGATCATGGGAATTATGTATTTTGTTGTTTAATTTTTTGTTAGGGAATCGAGGAAAAAATTTGGGCTTCTTGAAAAGCACAAAGACTATGTTGAGCGTGCAAAAGCATATCACAAGAAGGAGGAGACTTTACGGGTAAAATTGTGGTGACTTTGTTGCTTGTCTCCTTGGATTTCATCATTTGTCTATAATCGTGTAATATAACTTCCACCTATGTCTCATCTGCCTTTTCACTCAACAGAGACTGAAGGAGAAAGCGGCCTTTAGAAACCCAGATGAGTTCTACTTCAAGATGATCAAGACTCGAACTGTTGATGGAGTCCATAAATTAGAGTAACATAGAACTCTTGTATAATGCTTCTTTATCATTTTTCTTTGGCACTTGCTTCTCAAATGACATAGCTTGTTGCTACAGGAGTCAGGCAAACAAGTACACTCCAGAAGAGCTCTTGCTTATGAAGACCCAAGATATTGGATACATACTTCAGAAAGTTCAGAGTGAGAAAAAGGTTATTAATACTGTTACCAAGAAGCTATGGTTTATCAAGTGGTTTTTTTAGTTTACCCTGTTGGTTATAATTATGCTGTTATCCAACGCAGAAAATTGAAAAGTTGACTGCGACACTCCACTCTCTTGATAATCGGCCTTCAAGTAGACATGTTTACTTTGCTGAAGACAGGTTTGAGCTTCATCCGCCTTTTCTGTCTTTGGAAAATCTAAATTATATCTGAATAAGTGGATTGCTTTTTAATGTTTTAGTTTTTCTTATTGTTGTTGTTAGTTGTTGGGGAGACCATTTTCTGTTTCTTGTTATTTTTAGGGAGACTTTCAAGTACACCCCTTGAGGTTTGGCCTAATTACAGTCAGACACTACATGTTTCATTTACACCTGTTTTGCCAAATATATTGTTTTTGATTTTTTTTTTTTCAAATATATCTTATCTTGTTATTTCCTTTTGTTTGTAGGGAGGAGGCTAAAGAAATTCATTCACGTTCAAAAAGTGGAACTATGCCTTCTTCTGAGGACATTCCTGATCATATAAAAAGGTACAAACAAAGTTTTCAGTGTTAGGGGACGGATTGATGAGTTATGTTTATTATTGAAGGTGGTCTGTTGATTTTTATCAGTTTAAGAATCTATTATGAATGTCTGTGCATTACAGTATCGTATAAACAAATGCCTTTTGATTTGGTTGATAGAATTTTGGCATATTTTTCAATCAAGGGGTAACTGTGCACTGATTGGTTTGAACTTTTTTTTTTTTGAAACGCCATAACATTACTTTGTGAGACAAATCCATTAATCCCTCAGAATATGAATAGGACTTAGAAACTTCATCATAATGGAAAGGTTTAAAGCAAAACTATTCTCTTAATATCTAGTTCAATGGATGCAATTTGGCTTTTTATAGTTGTTATTGTTATTTGTCAGTACGTTAATTGACCTGAGAGGATAAGCGAATCTTATTGGTCACAACTAGATTGCTGAAGTTTTCTGTATTTTTAACAAATGGGATGAACTGCCCTTTGCTGTTATGTCAACCATAATCCAATTCTTTTGCATCTCTGGCCGCATTATGTGGAAAAGACCTGATTATAGGCTGGATTTTTCAAGTTTGATTTTAAAATTTTAAACAAGTTGGTTTGAGGCCCTACTATCAGGTGCTAGTTGGAGTTGAGAAATTTGGTAGTGTAATAATATCTCTTAAATTTTTTTGTTATCATGATATCTTAAGTTTTCTTTTCTTCTATGCCATTTTATCTCCTGAATTCTAGGTAGCTGACTCATGCTTTAAGAAATTCTTGTTATCCTTCAATTTCTTAAATGTCATGGTAATCTACCTTTCAATGGTGGATGTGATGCACACTTCTTCCTTCCTGTTTCCATTTTTGTCCTGAATCCTAGGTAGCTCACTCATGCTTTTAAGAAATTCTTATTATCCTTAAATTTCTACTATATCATGGTATGCTACCTTTCAATTGGTGGGGTGATGCACGCTTCTTCCTTCCTGTTTCCGTTGTCGTGCTGAATTCTTGTAGAACGATATTAGTCTTTTGGTTAAGTCTTATATTCTCGTCTTCAATGTGCAGGAAAACAGCTGCTTCCTACAGAGAGCTAGAAGCAAGGAGGAATAGAGTCAATGAGTTGGAGAAAATCTATACGGATATGGCAATGCAGAAGGAATTACAGGTATTGACATCCAAATTTCTTTTTCGTACATCTTGTTCTTTTGTTGTGCATGGAAATGTTGAAAAAAAAATTCCATCTAAATTAACAGAAAAAGGGTAGAAAACGCAAACTGCGGGAAGATGAGATTGTCTGCCCAACATCCAAACCTGTATTCAAGTGGCGGGCTGAGCGTAAGCGTTGAATAGGTAGGTGTTGATCAATGATTAGCTTCGTTTTATGTCTAGGTCTTTTTGCTTATTTCTCAGCTTAAAAGTGTGTACTTCTTGGTGCTATGAAACTTGCATACTCCAGTCTGCATGTTTCTGTGATTTTGCAGGAATGAGGCTGCGCAACTGATGTCCGGCCCTCCAGAGAAGTATGGATCTGATGTAATGCGACTTTTCATGTAACTGGAATTTTGAGCTACATATGAATTTGTACGAGTGATATGGTCATAGATTAATATATAATTGCATTTTTGTGACTCTGCCAGTCCGAACAGTGGCGTCGTTTATAACAATACTAACAAGCAGTCTACCGTCATTTTTGAGATTTTGCTGATTGACATAATCAGCCATGGTAACTTGTATTTCAGTTCAGAATAATCCGTTTCAATATCATTTATTAATTTTTCAAATTGTAAATCCAATTGGAGTAGGATATTAAACTGTTCATCAGACACGCAGGGCAACTCTCTCTACTCTACCAGGCTTTGCATAAGTGGTGTTTCAGTACAATTTGGTAGCCATAATTCTGGCTTTCCATAGTTTTTATTTTTATTTTTGTCAAGGATACGGTAGAGTAACTGCAAGACTTAGGACCAAACAATATATTGGGGTCTATATCACAGTCCCTTTAGTTGCCATATTCTCCCGCATTCAGTGTGGTTTTTATTTTTTAGTACAAGTGATTGCGGAAGGGGGAGTTTACACAAATTCATTGGGTGCATGGGAATTTCAAACCTCTGCCCACGGGTGGAGGTGGAAGTGATTGCGGAAGGGGGAGTTTACACAAATTCATTGGGTGCATGGGAATTTCAAACCTCTGCCCACGGGTGGAGGTGGAAGAGGCTCAACTAGTGTTAGACAACATGAGTTTGTAGTGAAGTTTATTGCACTTGTACCCCAATTCTTGTCATATACGATAAGTACATCGACTAAAATGAGAGTTCTGTCAGATTTTAGACACAAACTCATGTAATAGATGAAGCAATTATATTTCGTTTCCCAAAATAAATGAAGTTAAAGGTAACATGTGTGGATAAGGAATAACATAACTAAATTACCTACCAAACATAACCAACTTCGGCCGAGGTCGCTTTCATAGCAAAATAAACATCTGAACTCGTAGTTTTCTTACCCAAACAAAGGTTAACCGTAGAGTGAAAACATTTTCTAAGAATATATTGGGGGAAAAGGATCTGCCTCTTGCCCTTTGAACCTCTCACAACTTGCATAATGTCAGTTTTGTTTCCTTCAATAGTTTGAAAGCAACTAATTCCCCATTTCTCCAAGTGTTGAACACATAATGAAAGAGTGAAAGATCAGAAAACAGTACATAGCAGAAGAATCATATGATGCTCAAATATTGAAGCACTGTCATTAAGTATTTAAACCCACAAAGAACACGTTCAAAAAATAAAGGCCCAAAAATATAAAAAAGGAAGCAAAAGAAGTTCCCACAATCTCTTCTATTAAGAAGCTAGTAGAAGATGATTATATTCACAAACACTACTACCTACAACCCTAACTCTACCCCAACTACAATTCCAGAAACAGAGACTCAATAACCTACTTGAACCTACTGGAGGAAACTAAATCTGAATCAAGCACATTGACCCCCATTGGCATTTCTCTTCAAATTTAAGAGTCATCATCACCGCCTACGTTCTTGGATGAGGTCCCAGCCTTCTTTGGGAGCAGAAGGTTGTGAATGTTGGGCATGACACCGCCATTAGCAATTGTAACATCACCAAGAAGCTTGCTGAGCTCCTCATCATTACGCACAGCAAGCTGAATGTGGCGTGGCACAATTCGAGTCTTCTTGTTGTCTCTTGCTGCATTACCAGCCAATTCCAGAACCTGTAAAATCAAACAGAATTAAACAACATTAGAATAAAAGCCTCAACTTGTGTACAGAAATCAATTAACACACACAACCATACCTTTACCAAGAAAATATCCTAATTTGGAAGGACACACCAATTCAATAGCGTTGACATCTAAAATGGAAGTGAAAACACATCCAAGAACCAACACTAATTTTTCATTCCTATGACTTACCCAAAACACCAATTCCACAAACATGCCTCATACCTTAAAATGAAGATTCGAACAAGAATAAAACAGTTCAAATGCAAAGGGCCAATATTTTCAACCCTATTCGACAGTCAAAAGATTTTCAGTTTTTTTTTTTTTTTTTTTTTATTTTTAAAAAAATGAAGCAATTTAAAAAATCCAAGATTTCTCAATATTACAGACAGAAACATTCATATCATAACTTGAAAATTACCAGACAATGAAACCGAATTCAATTCAAAGCCCCGTACTTTAAAGAAAGAAATAATCAAATTGGTTAACCAAAAAATAATAAATAAATAAAAATTATTTAGGAAACAAACTAGATCCAAGATCTTAACATTGGCTTGATACGACCAGTTGAAGCAAAATTGCCTCCTTTTCACAGTTTTCTTAATGTTCAATTAACCAATTTTCACTCATACTAACTTACGAAACAATCTTATTCCCAATTCGAAACCCTAACCCTAGATTTACAAAATGGGAAGAGAGAGATATTCATGCACGTACAAATATGGAGGGAGAAAGAGGTTGAGAAAGAGGAGTATACCTCAGCGGCAAGGTATTCAAGGACCGCGGCGAGGTAGACCGGAGCTCCAGCACCGACTCGCTCGGCGTACTTTCCTGCCTTCAAGAACCGGGCGATACGACCGACCGGGAATTGCAGACCTGCCTTGCTCGACCGTGAAGTGGCCTTTTTCGCGGCCCCGGATCCTATAGCCTTGCCTCGACCCGCCATTGATGGACTTCCAGGAACAGATTAGAGAGAGAGAGAGAATGAAAAAGAGGAAAAGAATTAGAAGCAATGGAGAGAAACGAAGTGTTAGGTGCTATGGAGCAGAACTGAGACGCGTTTTGGGTATTTATAGTCGCTGGGATTTGAATATGAGCCAATGGGCTGAAGTACGCGGATCGAGATCAACAGCCGTTGATTAAAATGAGAAGGGACGGTAGAGATTGGTTGATTGAAGTTCGTAACTTTTTGTTCGGTTAGATTTGGTGAAGTGACGAAACTAACCTTGTCTTTTCTGTTCATTCATGTTGACTTGTTTTTGGGCAATTAATTATTTTGACTTAGGTTTGTATGCTTTGCCATTGCCCCCCCTACTGCTTGCATAAATGCACTTCTCCTTTCAAAATGTTACAAATTACAATGGAGAGAGTGCCACTCATTTGTCATAGTAAAGGATAAGGGTAAGTAAGGGCCGTTATTGTTTACGTAAATAGTATCTGCCCTAATTTTTTTTTTATTTTTTTTATTTTTAATTTTCCACTAATTACCATGACGACCCAAATAAATCGGGTTTGCTCAGCATTCATGCTCCAAGAGTCTGTCTAGTGGGAGCCAAATTTGAGGCTCAAAATAGAAAATGGGTTTCTAATGAGAGTAGATAGCCTAGGCTATTCGGAGCCCATGCTCCATGAAGGGCAATTCCACCCCAAACCCACGGCCGGCCCAGTGATGGAGCCCACGCACAAGTGGAAACATGAAAAAATAAAAATAAAACTGCTTCTGACAGCACTCAATTTCGCTGTTTCTATTATTCACACAATTTTAGTTTTCACAAGCTCATCATTTTTAATATTGTGAAATGCATATGGCATGTCAATTTGATAGTCACATTCGTCTAAACTACAAAGGTAACACGATGGGGGTTATAATTTGAGTTGAGATTATTTGTCTGCAAATCAAAGCCATTTTTCATTAAATTAGACTCCGTTGGCCAACATACGAGTACTTTTAAAAAATAATTAATTTGTTGTGATGGAGAAATTTAAAATTGATTTATTTGTTGTAATGGCTTCCCCCCATAGTGGTTCTACTGATATGATGACAAGAAATGTTGGAGGACACCAAAAATTATGTTGAACATAATGGAGTTACATAACTAGTACTAGGTGGACTAGAGGAGGGAAAGCAAAGAAATGCAAGACCAACCTTGTAGCCCTTATCATCTAACCAATTTGCATTGAATATGAACTTCAATGTCTCACTGATATGGTTTCTAAAGGTGACAGGGAGTCTAGGTCGAAGTCTGGATTGGTTGATCCTATAATTTTTTTAGCAGAAACAAAATGTGAACATATCTCAAACTTTTGTTGCTTGATTTTACTAATAAAAGTCCACAAAAAGAAAAGATGAAGAACTGTTCCCAAGCTAGGAGTAGGAGATACCGTTTCTTAGGTAGTCTGCTTTGTTTAGAAAAAAGATTTGTTTTTTGGGCCAACATATAGATGGTTTAGGAGTTTATGTTCATCATCATTATGCCACTAGCACCTATCCAGGTGATCAGTGGTGGATCCACCTAAGAGCGGTTCCAGCGGCATGACCAAGCCTCGGGCTGGGGGGAGAAAATGACAAAATTCAGTTCCAGCGAGGAGCCCAAGCCTGGGCTAGGAGTGAGACTTAGCAGACTGGGCTGGCCCGAGCTCCAGCCCGAGTTTTACCATGACGTCAGCGCTACAGTGCTATAGTGCTACGCGATACAGTGCCGCTACAGTCCACATGTTGCACTCTGGGCTCTTCAATCAGATTTTTTTCTCCAATCCAATGTCAGCCAATTTTTGTGCAATAAAAAATGAAAAAAAATTGAATTTTTTTAAAAAAAGTACCAAAAAATTATTGATTTTTTTTTTCTTCTATAAATACCAAAATTTTATCCGATTGAGATATGAATTTTATAATAAATATTGACATGTACGAACCCAAAAATCTTATCCGAAAATATTATCAAAATTAATTTTTTAGGTAAACAAATTTGTGAAAAAAAACAAAAAAATGAATAGTAATTTCCCTTTGCCATGACAACGAGTGGAAACACACGATACTATTTGCAAGGGCAACCACTATTCACGTGAATAGTGGCTGCCCTATCTCCCCCCTTGTCATGGCAAGGGGCAAATAGGTGGAGTTGCTCCAAGGCCCAGTGAAGGCTACTGCCCTACTCACCTTTCTTCTATCCATGAAGTCCTTAGAATCTCCATTGAAGCTCTACTTAAGTATGCTGCAATGGGGCAAGGTGTTTGATAAAAGTCTTATGAGAGAACATGGAGGGGCAAAGCTGACATACCAAAACGAGGTCGCTTTGGTTGTCACTTAAATCAACCGTAATTACTAACACCCAACATTCTCATCTCCAAGTCGTTTTAGTCTCTTCTCCTTGTTACTTCACCATTTTGTGGCTGGAAAATGTTACTAAAACAACCAAAATTTCCTAAAATTTCGTTGGCTCTTCTTCTTGTTACTTGTATATAATTCATCCATGTTTGAAGTGGATTGAGCTTTGGACTTTTTAGTTCTATTGTGGAATCTTCAGTATTCATGTTAGAAAATATTGTTGTATGCTTTAGGCATGAACTTTATAAAATTTTCAAGTCTGTTAGTGATTTAAACTACTACATTTTGCCCCCAACAACAAAAATTTCTGGATCCGTCACTGAAGGTGATCCAAGGATGGTTGAGCTACAAAATGTCTCAATTCTAAAGAGAGTCTGTAGACCATAAGAGCACTTCCACCCCTCTCTTTTTGCCATGGCAAAAAGAGGCCTAAGCTCCAAAAACAACCCCACAAAAGAAAAGTTTTCATGGCAAAAAGTGGACCCACCAAACTGGGCAAGCCCGAAGTCAAGACTTGCCTAGGCAAGCTGACGTCAGCAGCCAATTTAAATAACAAAAAAATTATAATTAAAAAAAATCACAAAATTCGGATTTTTTTTTTCAATAAATACCTAGCCATGTTCTTCACTTCCTACACCAAAATTCATACAAATTCCTATTATTATATCTCATGTAAATAGTGATTGCCCTTGGGTTGCCATAACAATGGGAAAAAATTGCTAGGACAGTCACTATTCACATAAATAGTGTTTGCCCTTACTTGTCCTTACCCTATATCATGGCACAATTGTGCGGAAGTGCTCTAAAGCACTCTCATCAATTATTAGAAGCACCGAATCATTGGCTTAAGAAGGCATGATGTTGGAGAAGTTCTCTCCCAGAGTTGCTCCGTCCACCCCATATATACGGCCAGTATTTTAAACATTTAGTCATTTGGTTGATATAAATATATACGTGGGATAATGCACTGCATGCTATATAGTCTATTTCAAGTAATACATATCATTGAGTGAATCTGCCTACACTAGAAATGATATTGACACCTTGTACTTCGAAAATCATCATAAATCCAGTTCAATTTAATTGGCCCCAAAATTTAACATTGTTACAGAAAACACACATAGGCTCACATAGTAAATTTATACCTTAAGATTTATTTATTAGAATTAGGTGTAGACATGACATGTATATAGATATAAGCACAAAATAATGAAATCATAGATATGTCTAATCTTATAATTGCATAAAATGCATGTATATTTTATTGTCTTTGACTTGAAATCAATGAGGTCTACAAGGTTCACATCTAAGTAATACCCACTCCCTTGTGGTGAACTCAGGTTGTTTCTGAGATATGCACCTGGTAGAGAACGAAAGAAAGAAAAAATATTAAAACCCTAGGAATTAAAAAGAAAGGAAAGAATGAAACTGATAAGAAATCAACCTAATATGTCTCTTACTTGAGTCTTGTGGCTTCTTGAGAGTGTTTCAATTGATCCAACAACAAAAATTGAAGAACAAAAGGAAGAGAAGGAGAAGAGTGCCCTATGGTTTGGAGAGAGCGTGAAGACTGAAGGGAGGAGAAAGACTATGGAGAAGAAATAGTGTGAAAATATTTCGGGTTATTTTCGGAATTTTGAAAATCTCATTAAACTTCAGCGCCTCCCAGACTTGATTTCCGTATAATCCAAAATTGCTTTCACTCACATCAATTACTTACAATAAGTGATTTTTACATGTTTTACCAAACCGGCTAGCTTTTAAAAAATTTCAAAATAATCACTTATGAACCTAAATAAGCAATGCTAGACGGGCACTAAAAATAATTTCCCTAGTGTCAAACAATGAAGTTCCGATAAAAAGGATTTATCTAAAAATCACATGTAGTCTATATTACTAGGCACATCACATCACATGTACGGACACATCATTTGATGAACATTAATATGAAGACTTTACCTTTTTCAAGATCATTTTAACATGAAGAGTTTGCCTTTTTCTAGATCATTTTAATATGAGGATTTAGGTGTTGAACATTAAACTTAATGTGTAACCCTTAATCTGCAAATTGTTGGAAAAAATGGGAATAATTGCTATATTTTACATAGAAATTTAAAAATAATCATTTAATTCATGCTTAAAAAATTAATGCATGCTTACAAACATATACAATGAAAAATTACATAATATGTATTAGAAGAACCTGAATAATTGAGTCGAGGCAAGTGTTGGACACTCTGACCTTAAGATGAATTACGCCCCACACTAATGCTTATGGTTCACTAGCGTTCGCCTCTCGGGATACAACGGCTCCTCTCCTTATGAAAGAAGCACTGCAATTCACAAGGAACTTTGAATAAAATTATGCAAGAACCTCTCTTTATGAAAAGGGTCATGCTAGGGAGACCAACTTTAGATACCAACTTGAGTACCATCTCTCTAATGGAGCGTGTGACCCATTGTATTGATAGGCTCCATCTCTATTTGAGAGATGGTACACAAGTTGGTATCTAAAGTTGGTCTCCCTAGCATTTTCCTTCTAATGCTCTCTATTTATGAAAGTCTATATGTAGAGAATTAATTGAATAATAAAACCGTAAGAGGATTGCTCTATTTATAGATGATGAAATACCCTTTCCAACAAGGTATCTCAATCTGAAAAGACAAACAATGCATCTCTTGGTCTAAAGAGTTGTCATCCCAAATAATGCATATCTTGGTTTGAAGAGTTGTCACCCCTCAATTGAAGATGTCTTTAACCCAAGGGTCATGTCTTTAACCCAATAAATTTTATTAATTTCCATTCAAATAGGAAAATTAATATTAGGCAATATTAAAGTTCCAACAAAAACCAGGTCATAATCAACAAAACATTAGTGGATAATCATACTGTATGAGAATGATTAACAAACTTTATTTTCAGCGCTCCTCTAACTTTACCCAATTTTCTTCCTTTTCACTTGGTGAATGCATCCATAGGAAACTACGAAAATATGTCGTGTACTGTGACTCAATGGTTTTGAATAAGACGAGTCCTCTCCCCATTACCCATTGTACATATAAGTCATAAGCTCTACTTTTACAGTGGCGATTGGACAAGGTGGGGACAAAATTTGGCATTGTGCTTTGGATTTAATCCCTTCAATTACACCACTACCACAAAAAGAAAAGAAAAATCTTCGCAGAAACTGAAACAGGTTAAAAATTCAAATAAGATATGAGACAGATTCATGAGAATCCTTAATTAATGCCAATTCAGATTTCAGGGTTTAGTGTCTCTTTCTTTCACGTGTACCTTCCTCAGTAACGATGCCCATTTATTGGTGTTATTACAGAGCAAGGTTTTGGTGAATAGCTCAAAGATTCTCCTTTTTTTTTGTTTTGAATTTTCATGTGTCTTCTTGTTTTATAAATCAAAATGTCTTCTTTTGTTTATGGCTTTGAGACCACTTCTCTCTCTTCCTTTTTCCTGGATACCCATTTTGGAGATACTTCCAAAATGTGCTTCATTTGAATGACAAACTCTACAAAAGACATTATGGTACTTTGAATTTGAATTTATTATTATTTTTAAAATTGTATTCCTGGGTTTTTCATAAAAGTTTTTGACATGGGTTCTCTTTGATATGCAGCTTTTTGAATATACTTGGATGAATTCTTGGTTGCTAGAAGCGGAAAGAAGTTTAAGTTGTGTGCCAAAATAGAAAGTTAATTGAAGAGAAAGTGATGGCAGCTAGCTTACTTTTTCCAGCTTTAATGGTGGTAGGAAGGATGTGAAATGGCAATGGAAAGCGATGACTTGCTTTTCAACCCAATGGAGAACACTTGAAGAATTCAAAGATTGTACTTTGTAAGGAGCTTTGGAGCAGCCTAGTCACTAGAAAAAAGAGAACAAAAAAGGCAAAAAGGGGGATCAAATATGCCAACTGTGTGGTTCTCTCTGAAGAAATCTCTACACTGCAAATCAGAGCCATCAGAAGTTCATGATCCAAAGTCAAGGAGGCAGTTGAGCACAATCTTGACAAGAAAAGGAGGGAGGTCAGGCTGTTCAAGGTCTATAGCAAACCTCAAGGATGTGATTCATGGAAGCAAGAGACATTTGGAAAGGCCACCAAGTAATTGCAGCCCAAGATCTATAGGGAGCAGTGAGTTTCTGAACCCAATAACCCATGAAGTAATTTTGAGCAACTCAAGGTGTGAGCTCAAAATCACAAGCCTTGGTGGGTTCCATGAAGGAATTGGGTCTGGGAACATCAACAATGGTGGTGGTGGTTCAACATTTGTGGATACTCTAAGGCCAGGCACACCTGGCCCTGGTGGTCAATCAACAGTGCACTATTTTAATCCATCTTTTAGGACCTCATCAACTCCTCCAAGGAAAAGTCCTTTTCTTGCATCTGCAGATAATACAGAAGGGTCAGGGAAAGGTTCAGCTTGTCCTGGTAGTGGTGGAATTCGTCAGAGCAATAGGGTCTCGTTTGACACAGTCGCAGAGAACTCTCATGGTTCTTCTGCAATAACTTGTCACAAATGTGGTGAGCATTTTACCAAATGGGAAGCTGCTGAAGCACACCATCTCTCTAAACATGCTGGTAAGAAATCCCTGCTGAATGAAACTCTCATTTTGGGCAAATATTATTTGAAAATTGAAATGTTCTTCAGTTTGTTCAGAACCTTTCTTGTTGTTGTTTTCAAGTATTTGTTGTTTTCAGTTTTCCTTATCCTCTTAGGACCAAATGTCTAAATTCTTATGAGCACAAAAATATGAGCACTTTCTTCCGACCAAGAAAAGAGGAAATGTGAACAGAGTTCTCCTTATTACACATTGTAGATATGCATCTGTTTTACTTTTCCTTATCCTCTTAGGATCAAATTACTAATATTCTTCTGGCCACAAAAATATGTGCACTCTTGTTTTTTGTTTTTTTTTTTCTGACAAAGAAATGAGGAAGAGTACAGAGAGTTCTTCTTATTTACATATTGCAAGTTTGAATATGAGACCACTGCCTGAGACACTGGTGAATCTAGCAGAAACTTTATCTGGTTTCCTTTTGGTTCCCCAACAACTTAACATTCACTAAAACCTCAGTTTTTTGCTTGTATGATGACCTCCAGCATATTTAGTGTTCACCCAAATGTTTGGTGTAACATGAGGATTGTTTTACATTTCTAAAACGGCTCTGATTCTATAAACTATCTTTGGATTCATCCAATGGTTACTTCAAATTTTAGAGTAGATTTCCCACTCACAACATCTTCATATCTGTGGCAGTTACTGAACTTACGGAAGGTGACTCATCTAGAAAAATTGTCGAAATAATATGCCGGACAAGCTGGTTGAAATCCGAGAACAATTGTGGCCGGATTGAGAGAGTGTTGAAAGTCCACAACATGCAAAGAACTCTTGCTCGATTCGAAGAATATCGAGAGATGGTGAAAATGAAAGCCAGCAAACTCCCTAAGAAACACCCTAGGTGCATTGCTGATGGGAATGAGCTTTTGAGGTTTTATGGCACCACTGTGGCCTGCTCCCTTGGTCTAAATAGTTCCTCAAGTCTCTGTGTATCAGAAAAATGCTGTGTTTGTAGGATCATAAGAAATGGGTTCTCTGCAAAGAAGGAGCTCAAGGAAGGGGTAGGTGTTTTTACAACTTCAACAAGTGGAAGAGCTTTTGAGTCCATTCAAATATTAGAAGAAGATCCCTCCATAAGGAAAGCTTTGATAGTCTGCAGAGTAATTGCTGGGAGGGTTCATAAGCCTTTGGAGAATATACAAGAAATTGCTGGCCAAACTGGGTTTGATTCTTTGGCTGGAAAAATGGGTCTTTACTCAAATATTGAAGAGCTTTATCTGCTCAATCCTAGAGCTCTCCTTCCTTGCTTTGTGGTCATCTGCAAACCCTGAAGAAACAATCCTTTTCTTATCTTTTTTGCTGAATTAAAAAAAAAAAAAGGCTCAATGCATCTATAATTATGATGTTATGTGAATCCCTCCTTTTTTTTTCTTTCTATTTTTTTTGGGTGAAGATATTTTCCCACTGATTTTTGGAAGAAAATTGACTCTTCTTTCAAGACTCCAAGTCACCTATGATTTGTGTAAAAGTTGTGATTTTCAGTCTCAATTGTATCTCTGCCTCTTCAGTTAAGGCCTGTGCTATCAGTGCAACAATTTTTTGTGTGAAGAATATGAATATTTCTGCTGTCATTGCAACAACTGATAGAGCTTGCCAACAATGATCACTAAAACAATTGATTAAAAAAAAATTAGTGTGGGAAAAATAAACCATACATTAATCTGTAGTCTTGAAAGAAAAATTGCAGTAAATAATAGTCATTGAATTATTGAATTGTGTGCATGCTATTCTCTTGCCTGCATTAAAGGAAAGGTCAATGTCTATCAAAATGAGCAAGCATTCAACCCCAAGTGTGAACCTGAGCATCATCAATTTCAATAGTTCTTGGGGAAGGCAGAATATTAAATCACAAGTAATTAAAACTTCAAGCCTTCAAGGATTGAAGCAAAACACCCAAGAGAAGAGAACAGAAAGCTTGCACTCTTTATACTGTTTTATTAAGTCCTACAAGCCAAGTGCTACAGAGCTCAGAGACAAAGAACTTGCATTAGTAGAATAATTACTAAAAACTTAGATTCCATCTAAATTTTAATGGGACCATTATGGGGTTTCAGTAGCCACTGGCATTGTGCAGAGTGACAAGGTTGTCATGTGGTCCTTGTTGGGAGGTTTATTTCAATGTTAGTCCAAAATCAGAGGACAAAATTCAAGAAGGATTGCATGACATATGTTCACTGTCAGGCATTTGTTTTGTCTCTTCTAATCCCTATCACTGTTTGAAGCTTTGATTGATATTTTTGTGTAAATCTTTTTTACTCTCTATTTTCAGATTTGATTTCTTTGGTGCCTACTGTTGGTGTAGGAGCAGCCAACATTCAAGATAAGGTCAGGGCTCATATATCTCTCTATTTTTGTTTTGGAATAAGTCACCTAATATTAACTAGAATATATAACGGCAGCACTTGTAATATCACGTGACAATATTACGGTTACATTCAAGAAATTACTCATCTCTCTCCCTCTTCAAAAATGGTAGTTTTAATTGCTAGCTTTATAGAGTCTTTTAAGTGCATCTACCTTCGTCTAGGGACTACGGATTAAATTACCAGAACACTACGTACATGTCCTTACTCATACATCTATACAGCTTTTAAGACTCTGTGGCACATGCACCTCATAAATGAATGCTACCGCTCCAAAAACTTTTCTGAAATCATGATCTGAAGAAAAATGAATATGGGGTCTTATTCAATTTCAATTTCTGGCCTTAAATGTCTTGAATGAAGGTAGCTACAAGCTTTGGGTTGCATTGCAGATGATGATGAACTCAAATATTGAATGTCTTTGTTTTATTACAGTTGACATTACTGCTTGACATAGACTCTTCATCAGAGGGTACCAATGGCTAAGCAATGCACCGATCATGTCAAGCTTCTAATTGTTATTTTATTTTCGGGAAGTGGTAGAGACGAGGCTTCTGTTCTTCTGAGTGCAGACAAATAACTTGAAATTAAAAATAATTAAAAGCAGTGAGAAGTCTTTAATTAAACCAAAGACAAATAAAGGTCCAAATTGGGTTTGGTCTGAAAAAGCAGTTACCAAGTAGTCAAAACTGTATTTTTATTTATAAATAAAGTTTGACAGAGATAAGCAACCCAGTTTTTTAAGGATTAATATAATTAAATTTTAGTAATTTCTGGAAAAGTACCTTAAATAAAAGCTTCTGGATAAATATACAAAAAGCACTTGAATTTTTATTAAAAATTTATATTACTTCTTAATAAAAACACTACTGACAAAAGCAGGTAACTTTATACAGAAGCAGACTGGTGGTGCCTACAACCCTATGACAAGTTCATTCAGCAAGCTTTGCATTAAATCTGCTTCACCTAAATATATGCAAACTGCAATAATTTCTCAAGCTTTCTGAATTATCCGTAGTTCTTGCCGGACCATACGCTGGGCTTGGAGATATCATTTTCTACATTTATGATTATGGTTAAATAATGACCACCTTAGTTTGGCTTAGTTAGGGTGGCATGAAATCACAGAGGAATGATGCTACATGTTTGCAACCAGGCCCACATCTTTGATTAATCATCAATAATGGCAATGAATTTCATAAAATTGGATGTAGATAAACATGTTCATAGCATCAAATTTCATTCATCATTGATGGGCACACTTCAAAAATTCCATAAAAAGTATATAGTTTAACTTGAACACCATTAACTTCAAAGAGGAGGCAGAAAGCCATGACCTATACAACAAGTAATTGTCTGATGGATAATATCTTCTAGTCCATGCTTGAAACTGAATCCCAAATCTGTTAGCTTCTTTGAAGAGATCTCTGAAGGCACTACATCATTAATTTCCTCCTCCATAAATCTGTACCAGTTAACATGAGTATTTTAGTCTTAATACATAAGCCATTTGATGAGGATCTAGTTGGAGACTTAACTTGAGAATCACATTGTTTAAATACTTTATTAAAGCACATACTATGTTCTAAGCTCGCCCGACGGATAATACGATATACCATTTAGTTACATGGTATTTAACCTTGGTCATTTGAAAGGGTTAATTTTCGTCCGACGGCTTAGAACATAGTATTTGAATTTGTTTATACTTAAACATATATGTCTACATACATATATCATTTACTTGACACTGACAGGTCTATGACAGAGAAACTACCTGTTTGAATTTGAGCAAGGGTATGCCTGAGCTAGATAGTTAACCAGCTCAGATATAGGATAACTTTGGGCAGCGCATATGTAAGGACCTTCAGCTTTGGGATGCTCCATTAAAAATATGTGGCCACTGCATATATCTTCAACATGAACTAAAGCAATTGAACCCATTCTTGCATTTACAGCAGATAATATCCCATGGAATTCAGAGTCACCTACATAAAAGATCATATATCCACATGTTCATTGTCTTCCTCTATCCATAATCCTTATTTTATTTCTGAGAATGTGTCCCATGCATCAATCATAAGTCATAAGCATTTTCATAGTAAAAACTGAAACATAATTTAATTTTACATATTTATTGGGACATTTCAGAAAGATATCAGGGAAAATCAGAACAGATTTAAATAACATTTAGTTTGTGGTAGACTTGTGAAATTATGATATCACTCCATAATTTGTGATGAATCACACCTAATCTGGTCATTTTAAGAGAATTCCGCATTTTAAGAAGCAAGTTTGCCATGTCCCATGTATTTTTTATCTGCATGAGACAGGTATAGCAGAAGAACCACCTGTTATTGGTGACAAAAGAACACGAATGCTTGATGGAACCTTGGAAGTGAGAAATGGACCTCCAACAGTACTTGTTATCACTGATACCAGATTAATGTCATTCTCATTTGCAAATCTAAATGCTGCTTCCTCTGTGAGAATCTTTGAAAGTCCATAAACCTGTCAAAGAGTTTTTTATTATAAAATTTCTCATGTATAATAATAATTATTGAGTAGGCAATTTTGTAGTAAGCATATAGCATGAGAGGGAGAGGAAGCATTACCCATCCATTTGCTTTTTCACTCAAGACTTGATCAACTGGTGTTTGACAATTTTCATCAACAACAGCTCTTGCATTTCCCTTGCTGTCTTTGGCAGTGAGAGTGCTGATGGAAGAGGTGAACACAACCCTTTTCACAGTTCCAGAATTCAGACAGGATTTGAGGAGATCCAAGGTTCCTTTGATTGCAGGTTCAATGATATTTGATTGCACATAACTCTCTTAGATGTCAAAGATTGAGAACAACTTAATTAGTGTCATGCTCCACTAAATGATATTAAGGTAGCATTGTAGATTTACATAGTGATTACCAATGTTTTCTTCTACAGTAACACTGAATTCCATTGATGCTGCAACATGAAATACACCATCACAGCCCTTCACAGCCTCGTCGAAGCTTCCTTCCTTTCCCAAATCAGCTTGGAACAATCTCAACCGGTCAGTGTTCGTCCACAATGATAATAGGTGTGAACACTTGGCTGAGATGTTAGGTGGAACTTGATCAGCCTTATTAAAACATTCAGAATAACAAGAGGAGATAAAGCATGCTCATGAATTAAGGATTTCATTTTTTATGACAAAGAGGTATACAGAACAGAAATTGATTGCATGATCCAATTCTTTTACTTTGTAATTCAGGACAGGAGTGTTTTCATTTCACTGCTAAAGTATTTTTATTTGTTCTGTGTTGTTCTCTACCAATGAACTAGACATCATAACATGGAGTTTGATTCACATGGCTTTAATCTGTGAGCAAAGTGATCTGTTCTAATAATTTTCAACATAAGAAACATACCTTTTCCACCCCTCACCATTTTATCAGTTCATTTATTTTTTTGAAAAGAAAACTATCACTTAATTGAACTTTCATTTGTAGCAATTCTGACCAAGGCAAATGAGTTTCAGCAGGCCAAACAGAAGTCCTCATCACCAAATAAGGTGAAAATCACTGTAAAAAAGGTTAGACTAAGCAGTCCCGGATTAAATCCAATTCCACCTATGAACTAGACCTAAAAGAAACAGACAAATCCAAAGCTGCCATTATTTGCACCAAGTTACAAAATTGGGCTGAGCTACTTACTCAGTCCAATCTAGATTTGTTCCAATATTTCTTGGGCTAGATTAGCAGTCTATTGGATTGCTAAGGAGTTAGGTCAATGTTTAACCAGCCCAATAGGAATGGTTGTTGTAACTTGTAAACATAGTTGCCTTCATTTCAGATTAATTCTTAATAAAACCAAAATAGTCAGATTAATTCTTAATAAAAATAAATAATACTTAAGTGAAGGCATGTAACCAGTGACTGATGAGACTGGGGTGTTTTAAATTGTGCATATAAAGTCATCCTAACAGACAAAAAATGTAATTAGGGCCCTGACCTCACACCAACCATCATGTTCCAAAATATCCTACATTTCCATCTTTCAGACCCAAAAAAAAAAAGAAAAAAAAAGCAAAACGCCAAAAATATATACTATTTAATTTTCCTTCGTGATGGAAGCACCTATCAAAGAAAAGATGCTATGGAAACTTAGATTCATGTGCTAAAGTTTGAAATCAGAGAAAATGTTCTAGTAAAAAAATTGGCAAAGAGAAAGGATCAAAGTGCCACCTCCAGTCCAGCCTCTGAATTATTGTAAAATCAAATAAATGTATCTATTACCAACCATTAAGCAAGAAAAACAGCTTGAGAACATTTTTGTCGAAGTTTGGAATGGGGAGGGGGGGTTTTCCTCACACGCACACACTGCCAATGTGTCATTATAGTTTGAATTTGAGACTACTAGTCTGCAAATCAAGACCCTTTTATACTAGGCTAAACCGTGTTTGCACAACCTGAGAATATTTTTGAAATTAAAGAGAATGATTGAGGTAACATTCTTGGTCTACAAATCAGAATCTCATAATTGGTTTAATGGTCAGACTTTTTCCTTTGGAAGACTAATTGAATTACAATTTATTGGGTGATTGGATACTCCAATTCTTTTCTTTCTCCATGGTTAAATATTATAGTTTACAGTACATTGCGAAAATCCCACCATCACCTCCACATAAACCAATAGCAAACCAAGGAAACGATACACGCATATCTTTGAGATTGACATCAAATTTTTTTTAAATGCATGTAATTATCAAACTTGGTACTCACATGACTTCTATATGCAGGGTGCTGATGATTTTTTAAATATATTTATTTTTTAAAGCTAAGCCATCTTTGATTGAAAAGCCTATACCAATCATCTCAGAAGAAAGCTATACCAATCATCTCAGAGTAGTCCTTAATTTCTCTCTCTCTCTCTCTCTCTCTCTCTCTCTCTCTCTCTCTCGCGTTCAATTCATATCAACCACAAACACAAACAAATCAGAACAAAGAAAGCTATAAGCTTTTCTGCTTGGATGAAAAGAAAAACTTGAAGAACTAAAACAAGCAAAAGTGAGAGGTTGGTGAGGTAACAGACCAGGATCACGAACTGTGGCATGAACCATGTTGCCTCTTTCCAAGAGGGTGTTCACCAGCCAAGACCCTATAAAACCAGTGGCTCCAGTCACACAGTAAGTTGCCATAGCTCCCTTTCTCTTGCCCTCCTAACCCTCCATTTCTTTAACCCAATGCAGGCTGCTGTTTTAGATAGCCTTTCAGTGTTGTCTATGAGGGAATTTATATATGAAATAATGATTAAATAATTAATCATGGTATTGGATGTTGTAATCCTGTAGCTAATATAATATTCATTTCGCAATTGTATAATCAGAAACTACTAGACGATCGTGTACGCGTGTGACAGTAATTAATTCATGATTTGGAAAAGTTGAAAGCAAATATAACACGTCTGGCCTATATTTGGAATCTACATTCAAAATATGTACTATTTTTTGGGTGGAGATAATTGGAGAGTTCTGTGTTTTCAATGCATGGTTGCCAAGTGTTAATCGTCCATGAGGTTTTAGTGGGACACGCTTCAATTGCATGGTACAGATGAAGCAAAAACAAACAAGAGGAATCCTAGCAACCTTCTCTCTAACATTCTCTTTTAGACATTCTCTCTTTTTCTCATGACATGTATCACTTTCCTTACACTAAAAACAATGTAATTTAATGCATCAAATAACATTTGTTTCCAAATTTGCCCTTATTTTTTGTATTGATTTTAATGTTTCCTTAAATTTATTATCCAAATTTGTTACAACTTTCTTATCACCTTGTTAAAAAATTAAATAAGAAAAAACATTAGTTTTATTTTTTATTTTTTGAAAAACTCCAACAAATAAGACTTACCTAATTAATGGTTTAAAAAAATCAATAATCAGACTTACTGAATTAATGGTTTGAAAATGTAATCAATGAACTTCCTTTTAAACAGACTTCTTTAGAAGGACATCTTTTGTCTGTATAAAAAAAAATGATATATCTTTTGTGGATTTTTTTAGGGTCATTATTGTGTTTTTTAAATAAAAAAATAAACAAACAAAAAAAGAAATAACCTCTTAAAAAAATAGACATTTTCTTTTAAAAAAAACAGATTTTTTTTAAGTTTTTACATATATATGGTAAGAGAGTTGTAAAAAAAAGGGATAAATTGAAGGACAATACATTTAATCAGGGTAAACTTGGAAAACAAAAGGTGGTTTGTTTGATGTATTAATTTCATTATTTTAAGTGTATGAGAAGTGACACATGTCATGAGGAAAATGGAGAATGTCCAAAAGAAAAGGTTAGAGAGAAGGCTACTAGCATTCCCCATCATTCAATGAAACAAACGCTAATAGTTAGTTCTTTCTCCTGTGGAAATTTTTACATTTCTCACTTCTTCACATGCACACTGCCTTTCCTTAACTAGTCTATCAATTTTCTGTTATGTCTAAACTTATTGATGTGTATGAGTTCCTATCGTGTATTGGGGGAACAAACAAAAAGGAAGACAAATTAGTCAATGAAATAATGTATGGAATTTCCATTCTTTCTTTATGTAATTTTCATATTAAATGACGAAGAAAATTCTTGAGGAAGATAGATTAGTCAATGAAAGAATGTATGGAATTTTCGCTCTTTCTTTATGTAATTTTCATATTAAACGACGAAGAAAATTCTAGAGGAAGACAGATTAGTCAATGAAATAATGTATGGAATTTCTGTTATTTCTTTTTGTAATTTTCATATTAAATGACTCAGAAAATTCTAGAGGAAGACAGATTAGTCAATGAAATAATGTATGAAATTTCTACTCTTTTTTTATATAATTTTCATATTAAATGACGAAGAAAATTCTAAATATAGACTTATCAGAAAAGGATATACATGTGCTCATAAATGAAAAAGTAAAATACATGTCCTCCTCCTTTGTTTTGAGGAGTGGGACAAAAATGAGTGTTTATAAGACTTTGAGGAAGGCTTTTACCAATTAATCAATGAAGACTAGAGGAAGACTTTTGCCAATCAATCAATGAAGACTAGAGGAAGACTTAAATACCAATGAACAACTCCTATTTTGGTTGGGGGAACGTGTGTGTGGGTCTTAAAACTCATTGGAGAAAGACTAGAGGACTATATCACATCATGTGGTAGATAATGTGTCAATTTGCAAATAACTTTAGTAGCAAGTGGACTATACTAGCCACCTACAGCTTTAAGCCTGGTCATACAGATAATGCTTGCATCCTCTGTTTTACCACGGCTGCTAGCACAAAGAAAGCCGATGCTTTCATTGCCTCTTCTACCTCCACGCGGCATTGCTCTGTTGGGCTTTCTCCCATTGAGGAGAATTCCCCACTACTGCCTTCGGTAGGAGTATGGGCTGTGTCTCAGTTAGTGTGGTTGATCTTCCTAATTGCCTTAGTTAGCTTTGCCTTACCAACTACCTAATCAGACACAAGGCCCCTCCTTGGAGAGAAAGTTACTAGCATAACTATATAAGACTTTTAACAGTTATCACATATGATTATGTGTGTTAAACCCCTTTCAACCTTAACCCTAGAATTACACAGAGTAACAAGTATTATTTATTGAATTATCGAAACAATACAATATTCTCAACAACTCATTCTTGATACAATAATTGCCTAATATAGCTATAAGCTCTCATTAACCAATTCGATTAGAAACTAATTTCTTAAGTAATCAATTAACAAACTGACTATGCCAGCTCATCACTAATCCAGCTCAGCAATGATGAAGGTTCCTAACAATGTGATCAGCCGATGTGACGTAGTGTTATTGATTAAAATATAGCCATCTCTACCACCTCATGTAAATCCCACAAGACTCCCATTCACGGAGGGGAAGAAAGTAAGGGGAATGCTAGCAACCTTCTCTCCAACCTTCTTTTTTGGACTTTTTCCTTTTTCCTCATGACATGTGTCACTTTCCTTACACTAAAAACAATGTAATTAATGCATCAAATAAGATAACATTTGTTTTCAAATTTACCCTTATTTTTTGTATTGATTTTAATGTTTCCTTAGACTTATTATCCAAATTTGTTACAACTTTCTTATCACCTTGTTAAAAATTAAATAAGAAAATACATTAGTTTTTCTTTTCTTTTTTTAAAGACTCCAATAAATAAGACTTACCTAATTAATGGTTTAGGAAAAAAAAATCAATAATCAGACTTACCGAATTAATGGTTTGAAAATGCAATCAATGAACTTCCTTATAAGGACGTCTTTTGTTTGTATAAAAAAAGGATATATCTTTTGTGGATTTTTTTAAGGTCATTGTGTTTTTTTAAATAAAAAAAAAAAAAAAAAAAAAAAAAAATTTTTTCTCCCCTAAAATAAAAATTTTTTTTAAAAGAATTTTTTAATTTTTACTTTTTTTATAGAGAGTTGGTAAGAAAAATTGGATAAATTGAAGGACATTACATTAATAATAAGGGTAAACTTGGGAAAACAAAAGGAGGTTTGTTTGATGTTTTAATGTCATTATTTTAAGTGTACGGAAAGTGACACATGTCATGAGGAAAAAGGAGAATGTCTAAAAGAGAAGGTTGGAGAGAAGGTTACTAGCATTCTCCAACAAACAATACTGTTTTCTATGGGGGCACGGTCCTATTCGGTTCAATTTTTACCTCAAACTGGAATTGGAACCGATACTATTTAACCGGTCTGATTCGGTCTGGTTTAAGCAAATTTTTTTAAAAAACTGGCCGGTTCGGTTCTGACGAGTTTTGGTTCGATTCTGATCGGTTTCGATTTTGAACCGGATTTTTATTTTTTTTATTTTTTTAAAATAAAAATAAAATAAAAAAGTTATTTTGGCTTAAAAATTAACAAATGACCCAATTCATACAATGAGAAATTTTTTGAAGTTGAATTTTGTAAAATATTAATTATAAAATTTAAAATATAGCATTGGATTTTAAAATTTTGAAATAAAATAAAATAATACAACCGGTCCGGTTTGGTACGATGTAAAACCGAAATCGGAATCGGTTGGAACCGGTTCGGTCCGGTTTCAGTCTAGTTTGTTGACTTTTTTGGTCAACCAATTTTTTTCCTGGTTTTTTTTCACCTATCCGATTCAATGTTCCAGTTTTCCGGTCCTGATGCCCACCCCTACTTTTTCCATGCTTGCTTTGGGTGGCGTTATTTCCACCACATTTGTAATTTTCCACCTATTATTTAATAATTTTTCTATTATGAATTCATCTTTATGTAAAATTATTTTGGAGGACAACTTTTAGTATCTTAAAAAAAAATTAAAAATAAGGGTTCGGGTCTAATGGCCTCGACTTGTAGATCAATTGTCTCATGTTCGAACCTCCATCACATCTTGATAGAGAAATTCCCCCGATAATAAATCTAAGCGTGAAGCCAATATACTTTGAAATATGTTTCCATGTAACAGAAAAACTAAAACTAAAAATTGAAATAACAAGAAACATGAGAACTGAACAGAAACTTTTATTTAAACTAAAGTAATTTACATTGTAATTTTACAAGCAAAATAACAAGAAAGCAACATACTAACTTTTTTTTTTTTTTTTTTTTTTTCTTACAATACACCAAAACAAAATCCAACAACTCATTCTTCTTGTTTTCCGGTCACAAACTAAACTTCAAATTCAAAACCGGCAATAGATTTAATAAGAGGTGAGCACTACATGCTCAATAGGAGTCCTATGTCTTATGTGATTAGTGAGATTTATAATGTATAATTTATGTAATGCTTGAATGAGCTTCATGCCCAACCCGTTAATCTATATAATAGGGCAAGCAAATTTGCATGTCCCATACCATACATTTTACCACTGTGATTCCGAATGCCCCATTATATAAACTAACTCCCATCACAATTATCTCATAATTCTCCTTTTGCTAGTCATCTTGTCTGAATCATTGATCTACAAGCCCAAATCACCAAATCGACAATTATATCGCCGATATCCTAATCTATTGTGCACACAGGCTCGCCTGAACTTGGTCCCTACAATGGTCAGACTCAACAACACAAAAGATCCTTCCCATCACCCTCTTTTTCATAATTTCTTTATCAACCCAAGAATTCCAACCATCACTGATAACATATGAACATGTCAACATTAATCAGATTAGAATGATAATTGACAACATGTAAACAACCAATATCAAGGATAATAATCAAATAATATTATCAAGCATAATATAGTGTTCACAAAATTTAATTAAATCAATTTATGTAAAGCTTCCCCAAGAAAACCCCTACCTCAAATCCAAAGCTATTGTATAACTCTCAGTCACAAGTCCAAACACCTTGAGCTTCTCCAAAATCTCACTATACTTTATTTCTCACTTTATTTCTTTTTCTACGAATTTTAGGAAACTAAAGCAATTTAAGTGAAGAAATATGATACAAGAACTATGAGGGAGTGCTATTTATAAGGTGCCAAAGTCGGCAAAGTCCAAGTAATAGGAATAAATGAAAGCTAAAATTGTGCGCCACAACTAGTCTATGGTTTCCTAGAGTACTTGGGTGGCTTGAAAGTAGTCTGCCACCACCAAATATAGCCCTATGCGTTGGCTTTGTAGGGTGCTTAGTGAGCACTCTCAAATTAAGGCTATAAATAAGAATAGATACAATGCTTACGCCTCATGCTTAAATATTTCACCTAATGCTTTAACAAGAATTGACAAACTATACGCATGCAACACGTCAACTTTGAATAGAATGCTTAGTAAGCATAAGGGCCTTTCTAATGCTTTTGTAAAGTGTAAAAATATATAATAAATATTACATAGGGCTGAAATGAATTAATATATTGAAAGCCATGCAATAAGATTTGATAAGGTAGGCTATACTAGTTAATAGCCAGACTCCACATATGATGTGGCTTGCCATGAAAAAGATCTTGCTTAAGAACCGAGTAAAGTTTCAAGTTTCATGGCGGCAACATCATCTTAAGCTTTCCTTCAAGATTTGGTTTAGATACCAAAGCCGCAGGCTCTGGGGGGGACATAAGGAGAGAGATTTTTTTTTCATAAAGAAAGTCTTATTTTATTATTTAATTTTTATTTTAAGGAGATTTTGAGGTTTTTTTACCAAGTTCTTGAAAGTAATTTTACAAAGAGGTAAATTTGTCTTTAAAACTTTGATTATAAGGTCAGTGGGGAAATAGGACAAATGGGTGGAAATAGTAGCACTCTTTATTAATACGAACAAAAAGTGATGAGTTACAATTAAGGAAAATTCAATTTAGAGTGGGTAAGCCAAATTTACTATAAATTCTAAAGTTACATCAAGTTCAAAGAACTATCATAAATCATACTTAATTCGAAGAACCATCATAAACAACTCAAATGAAACACGTGTAAAATTCATGAATGTAAATGTGAGGTTAACTATAATACTGTCAATTAATTAGGTGGTGGAAAGAACTAGATTTTGAAAGGAAACTTCCTTTTGCAAGGTGTATGCTTAACACATTAAATGCTTCTTATCCTAAAGTTCTATGAATGTAAGAGTACGTAGATTGACATTTTTTAAAATTTAGAATGGGTGATGGAAATAGTGTCACTTCCTGTTTTTCCCGACGTTCTTTTTTTTTTTTTTTTTTTTTTTTTTTTTTTTTTTTTTATGAAAAAAATTATAAGAAGAAGGGAAGGCGAAGGCCCAATTCCAGGGCCAAGACATATTAAGGTCTCTTTGAGGACTTACAGAGGGGGTCTTAGCCCCCTTTTGTGGTTTTTACTGATTACCCACTAAGAGGGATTGTCAACAGCATGACTCGAACCTAGGCCTTGATAGAGAAGAGAACGATCCTTATAACAGGACGTTTTTACATTATATAGTGTTGGCGTGACTTGTGGATATTGACTTACTTTCCTTACACACCAAGAATTCCTATTATAATTATAATTGATTTACTTTAATTCTTGATTTCCTATTGTAAATAGATTTAGGAATTTATTATTTACTTGCCCATTCAGGTTTCGTTGTATTATAAATATGACCTCATACAAGGAGAAAAATACATAGAAAATTCCCACAAACAATAATTGATTCCGGTGCAACTGATCATATGACGTTTGATCCTGATGATTTTCTGAATACTACACAACCTCGACGAACCTATATTACAAATGCCAATGACGTTACTTATCCTGTGACAGGGGCTGACACTGTTGCACTCTCATCCTCTCTCACACTGTCTAATACTTTACTTGTTCCATCTTTATCCAATAAATTGTTGTCCGTTAGTCAGCTTACTGAACAATTGAATTGTTGTGTACTCATTTACCCGAGTTTTTGTTTGTTTCAGGATATTCACACTAAGGAGATTCTTGGTCTTGGTACTAAGAGAGGGGGGCTATATTATGTCGATGACTTCAGTCCTGGCATGGCTAACAGTGTGACGCATCCCTTTGATAGCAAACAAAAGCAAATCTGGTTGTGGCATCGTCGATTGGGACATCCGTCTTTTAGTTATATGAAGCATCTTATACCAGATTTATTCTCAAGTTTCAAGGACTCCAACTTCACATGTGATACTTGTATTTTGGCCAAGAGTCACCGTGTGCCCTACCCGTTAAGTACGAACAAGTGTACTACTCCATTTACGTTAATTCACTCTGATGTCTGGGGACCTTCACCTATCACTGCTCCTTCTGGTGTTCGATGGTTTGTCACATTCATAGATGATTGTACACGGATGACATGGCTTTATTTGCTGAAGAATAAAAACGAAGTGTTTTCCCGTTTTCAGTCATTCCACAAACAGATGAAAACTCAGTTTAATGCTCACATCCAGATTCTTCGCTCCGACAATGGTGGAGAATTTGTCAATCATGACTTTCAGACTTACTTCCAACAACATGAAATTATCCATGAGACGACTTGTCCTCAGACACCGCAACAAAATGGTGTTGCTGAACGAAAGAATCGACATCTTCTTGAAACCGCCCGAGCACTTCTGATTGGCGCTCATGTTCCTCGCCATCACTGGGATGATGCTATTGTCACTGCAGTTCACCTAATCAACCGCATGCCTTCTGGTGTATTGACCTTTAAAATTCCCTTACAAGTGCTTGCGCAACACAGACCTCTGCCCTCTGTTTTGGTACTCACACCCCGAATATTTGGATGTGTGGCTTTCGTTCATCTCCACAAAAATCAACGTAGCAAACTTGATCCCTGTGCGCTTCGTTGTGTTTTTGTGGGTTATGCCACTCATCAGAAAGGCTACCGTTGTTATCACCCTCCTACCCGACGTACCTATGTCACTTTGGATGTGACATTTCTGGAATCTGAGCTGTTCTTCCATGACCCATCATCCAATTCTACGCTTCAGGAGGAGATACGAAATGAAGAGCAGAATTGGAGCAACTTAGAAAACGAAGAAATTCTCCTATGTACAGAAATGATTGATCATCCCGAGTCTGGAGCACAAGATTACTCTCTGCTGAAAAGCGACCAATCGCCCATTCATAGCGATCAATAACCTGACCCACCTGATCCATACAAAGATATTTCTGATCCGAGTCTCACACCTACAGACAATACAGAACAACAAGATGAAGACCCCCCTCTAACTCAACAGTACCAACAGACCAATCTCCTGAGAACATCCTTGAGGTAACTACTCCTACTAGACTTGTGCATTTAGAGGATAAAACTATTAGATATCAATTACCTTTCAGGCAAAATCGTGGGAAGCCACCAAATCGCTATTCACCTGATATTGGCAAGACATCCAAGTATCCAATTGCAAATCATGTATCCACTGAGAAGCTGTCTGAACCACTTAAGGCTTTTGTGCATCAGTTGTCTGCTATCCATATTCCAACCAAGGTCTCTGAAGCATTGAAAGATCCTAAGTGGGTCCAAGCTATAAAAGAGGAGATGAAAGCTCTTGAGAAAAATCAGACTTGGACATTGGAGACTATACCACGAGGAAAAAAGACTATCGGATGTAGATGAGTGTTTACTATAAAACACAATGCAGATGGATCTATCGAGCGATACAAGGCAAGACTTGTGGCAAAAGGGTACACACAGACCTATGGTATAGACTATGAAGAAACCTTTGCTCCAGTTGCAAAGTTAAACACCGTCAGAGTCTTATTGTCCCTTGCAGCTAATTTGGATTGGCCACTACACCAGTTTGATGTAAAGAATGCTTTTCTACATGGCAAACTCACGGAAGAGGTGTACATGGACATTCCTTCTGGTTATAATACTACTCAGACTGGAACAGTTTGCAGGTTACGAAAAGCATTGTATGGGTTGAAACAGTCACCACGTGCATGGTTTGGACGGTTCACCATGGCAATGAAGAACAATGGTTTCAAACAGTGCAACTCCGATCATACTCTGTTCTTGAAACATCGGAAAGGGAAGGTAACAGCATTAATAATTTATGTTGATGATATGATTATTACTGGGAATGATAAACAGGAAATATCACAGCTACAAGATTATCTGGCTACAGAGTTTGAGATGAAGGATCTAGGTGGACTCAAGTATTTCTTGGGAATTGAAGTGGCTCGATCGTAGCAAGGCATATTTCTCTCTCAAAGGAAATATGTCTTGGACTTGTTGACAGACACAGGAATGCTAGATTGCAAACCTGCGGACACTCCTATTGTTCAGAATCATCATCTTGGAGAATATCCGGATCAAGTTCCAACTAACAAAGAAAGATACCAAAGGTTAGTGGGAAGATTGATCTATTTGTCACATACTCGACCAGACATTGCTTATGCAGTGAGCGTTGTCAGTCAATTTATGCACTCTCCAAGTGAAGACCACATGAATGCAGTTCTTCGGATACTTAGATATTTGAAGTCTGCACCTGGAAAAGGACTTATGTTCTCAAAGCATGGTCATCTAAATATTGATGGTTATTCAGATGCAGATTGGGCAGGTAATGTAACAGATAGAAAATCCACATCGGGTTACTTCACATTTGTGGGAGGTAATTTGGTGACATGGAGGAGCAAGAAACAGAATGTAGTAGCTTTATCCAGTGCAGAAGCCGAGTTCAGAGGTATAACTAAAGGGATTTGTGAACTTCTTTGGTTAAGAAAGTTGCTTACTGAACTTGGGTATAAACCTACATCTACAATGAATCTCTTTTGTGACAACAGGGCTGCTATAGCCATTGCACAGAATCCGGTTCAGCATGATCGTACTAAACATGTTGAGGTGGATCGACACTTCATCAAACAGAAGCTTGAGGCTAAAGTGTTTCAGTTTCCTTTTGTGAAATCCGAGGATCAATTGGCGGATATTTTGACAAAGGCGATTTCCAGTAAAGTATTCCACAATTCACTGGATCAGTTGGGCATTGGCGACATCTATGCACCAACGTGAGGGGGAGTGTTGGCGTGACTTGTGGATATTGACTTACTTTCCTTACACACCAAGAATTCCTATTATAATTATAATTGATTTACTTTAATTCTTGATTTCCTATTGTAAATAGATTTAGGAATTTATTATTTACTTGCCCATTCAGGTTTCGTTGTATTATAAATATGACCTCCTATAAGGAGAAGAATACATAGAAAATTCCCACAAACAAATATTCTCTCATAGTTTTCATATTTTAGCATATAGTTCCCTTCTCAATGATCAATAAGTATGTTATTTGTTTTTAATCAAAGTGAGCTGGGCTTTCATTAACGAAGAGGATGTACTTCAGTTTTACTTTAGCTTGGGGGTGTTAGTGCTGGCGTGGTTTTCCTTTCTGGAAGCCAATAAGTTTTACTTTAGCTTGTGATCAATAAGTATGAGAAGGCCAAGTTCTTGGGTTAGTGTTGAAGGAGAGTGGGAAAATGGATTAGGATTAGATACACCAAGAGTTTGATCCCTTCCTTCCAATGTAAAGAAAATGTATCATAAGTTAAGGATGCCACTTGTCATGAGATTTTTCTTACTTTCTAGTTATCTATCTATACGACTAAGTTCTGATAGGAGGGTGGGAGAAAGTTTGGTAAACCAGTTGTTTAATGTTAAGAGTATTTCGAGCGGGAGGGGCAGCCTGCTAGGCCCCCAATTCCGTTTTCAGCAGCCAAAGCTTGCTAGGGCAAGCGCTGGGTTCCATTAAATTAGGCAAGCCCAAAGGCAAGACTTGTTTGGGCTGTTATTTGGGCAAACTGACCTCACGTTAACGTCATTGTGACGACAACAATCAATTTAAATACCAAAAAAATTGAAAAAAAAACCAAATTTTTTAGAATTTTTTTTCTATAAATATCTAGCCATATCTTCACTTCCCACACCAAAACTTCATATAAATTCATCTCCTCATATCTCATGTGAATAGTAGTTGCCATGACAATGGGTGGGAATGCATCAAAAAAATTGCTAATGTGGTCACTATTTACATGAATAGTAACTTCCCTTACCTCCCCTTATCTTGTACCATGATAAATGGGTGGAAGTGCTATAATAGGACAGCATTGACACTTCACACCTGCTGGAGGGAACCCTTTATTGTCCACCGGAGGGAGTAAAAGGTCAATTTCGTTATTTAAATATAGAGTAAATTGAATAATTACATTTAAGGTCATCTTTGTGGAGCCATTTTGTATTGCGATTTAATAATCCGAACTGTCTATATTCACACATCCTTCTTTCATTTCTTACATCGCATATTAATTTAGGAAACTTTAGCAAGGTGATCTCTCATGTGAGTAGGAATACAATTATAAAAGACCTCTCATTACCTTAATATTACATCTCATATTAATTTTTCAAGGAAAAGCTTCAGGTTTTAAACTACCAACTCAAGTCACTGTTCGTAGTGTTCGAGGTTTTATATGTCTAAATGGTCTACATCCATAATATATTAGTCTTTGTACACTGTCCTCCCAAGCACCAAAAGAGTGAAAATAAATAAATAAATCGCTATGTAAGGATTTGAACCATCTACATTGTACAATTTAATAATTTAACATCAAATCCAGATCACAGGGACATGTTTCAGGTTTGAATTTTAACAAGTCACATTCCATCCTTTCGGTTGGGTCCCAACCCAACAGTTGGAACAAGTGCAACAGTAAGAAGGATATGCTTTCATTTGTGGTTAGAGACGATCCATTGTATCTTGATCAAGAAAACAACGATAAATTCTGGAGGAGTGTTAGGGTCAGTTATGCGTCGGCGTGTGTCGCATTAGAGATGAGTCAATAATTGTGTGGGGAACACAGAAATCGACGGCTCGGAATGCGTCGGCGTGAGATGAGTCAATAATTGTGTGGGGAACACAGAAATCGACAGCTCGGAATGCGTCACACATCTACTCGCAACTGATGCTAACACTTTCCCTAGATCCTGAATGTCAAGACTGCATTATCTGCATTAACAAGAAGCTGCAAGTTTTGGAGAAAGATCAACATTCTAATTTGTCATTCAACCAACACAAATACACAAACTTATATTACTCTGTTGCATGTGCATCAGTCAAGGGGCATGCCAAGGTATTGAACCCATACAAACAACAAAATGATATGAATACATCTAAAGTGTCTAAACTACAACCTTGTTCAGGCAAGAATTAGATCCTTATGCAGAAGTGGCAGCTACTTCAGTTTTCCTTTTTTCTTCCTTCAGTTTCTTCCAGTTCTCTACATTATCTACTATTTCACCAGTTTTTATGAGGTAGCGAACTCGTTGTCCATTTTCCAGAATCTTATGACCCACTCGACTTGCTACATCCTTTTCTTTTGAGTAAAGCATCACATTCGAGCTGTGGATGGCTCCTTCGACCTGGAATATGAAATTTAAAATGTCTCTTTGTAATTAAATGAAACTAGTAAACGAGAAAACATAAGAACCAATATGTTGATGAGTACACATTTTAAGAAAGAAAAAGAACCTTAATAATCTGTCCTGGTTCACCCTCTTCCCTGCTCTTCATATGCTTCGTCTTCAAGTTTATGTCTTTAACTATCACAGTGCTGTTGTGCTTATAGATCTTTGTTATCTCTCCAGTTTTACCCTTTTCATGCCCAGATATGACTTTCACCGTATCTCCAACCTTAACATGCATTTTGTGTAAAACAGGAAGGCTGTTTGGCTTGCATTCCTTCCGCTCCCATCGCTTGAGCTGTGCAAGGACAAAAAAGCAACATTTCAGGAAAATGGATGAGCAGCCCAATAAGCTACATGAGAACCCATATTACAAAATAGATTTTTCAAAAGAAAAGGATGTTAAATTATGTGAACCATGCCAAGTGAATTGAAACAAAGTTTTATCTTGGTTTAGCCAGAACAAAATCAAGATAAAGACCTCTCCACCACATTCATGGATAAGTTGCAACAAAATGCCCACTGTATGGCTCTTCTAAAACCAGATGGCTTGGGAAAGTGGAATATCCCATTTAGTGGTAAATTTTGGAGAAAATTATAAGTGAAATTGCATGATAGAAGATTGCTTCCAAAAAAGTTACAAGGAGAGCACTACTTTTTTTTTCCAAGAGACTGGAGAGCACTACTTTTAGAAACTAGTAAGTCAGCAATTTCATTACCATCTTTCTCACTCATTTTTTATCATAAATCTTTTATTTTTGTATAAACAGTTATCATATTCTGGTTCTGACAACAAAATAAGTTATTGACAAAGATAAAGAAAAAAACAAATATTGGTAGAGATAGGACTCGTGATACTAACCTTCACTACAATGAGGCAAGGCTTCGCTGTTAAATTAGCCTGCACACAACACAAGTAGACAAATTGTTATGAAATGGTTTTTTTTATCCTCCCACTGATCAGTGATTCAAACTCATGCTACAGCGTGAGTGGGGAATAAAAAAAAATTCTCATCACTTTGATATTTAACAATTTTGTTTCTCTCAGATGACAGAAAGAACCAAATATAAAACAAAACCAATATAGAAATATGAGCTCATAAAAAAAACAACAAAGCATATACTTTAACAAACTTACTAGTAAACTTAAAACAAATTATTAAAACATAACATGACCACATTTTGTTTCAAAACTTTATTAGATCCCATCTTTGAGACATTTACATAAAACCATGAAAAGAAATAAAACCATTCTAGTAGAATGAACTGATCGGTGTCACAGTCAGTATGTGGGTTACAAAAAGCCTGCTCACGACTGTGTAAACAGAATGCAAGATCACAAAATGAAGCCAACTCATCATTAAACCGAAAGCTAAAGGTTTATCCACCTAAAGCATTATTTCATGCAATTAGTTTCATGTCAGTGAAGTAAAAACTATTCATCCACTAATATAGGGCAACTATTTTCACTTACAAACCTGGAAGAAAAAAAATCCTTTACTAGATGTCATTAAATCCTACCACAAATACCAGGGGAGAAGCTAATCGACAGGGTGTTAGCGCATTTTCATTCTTAGGTAGTGGGAATAGCATACAGTAATTGTAGTCAAAGTTTCATTAAGAAACAAACACTAAGCACCTACTACTAAATCTTATACACAACAAATTCCAAGTCTACCGGCATCTGGTTTCTATTCAAATTTCCAACAGAAGAATACAAATCTTCAATACCAACTTGGAACATTTTGAATAAACAATCCACCAATGTCAGAACCATAACCAAAAGAACAGTTTCTTCAAATTTTACAAATAACCCATTAAAACATTATCCATTTCCTTATCATCTCTCCAATTCTTAGAAAGCCCAGTTTGACATCTTGATCAAGGAATCCAATTTCACAGAGTAAAGGAAAATCACATCAATTTGCACGAACCACTAGAACAAAGAGCTAGTCAAATTTTAAGCAAGACCCATTTCAGTGTTACAAGCAAAAATAACGGAAATACAGCAATAACAACAAGTTTGAACTTCCAATCCTGACAATGTAAGTGTTATTTTTATTTTAGCAGAACTTTTTCACAATGAGTTGAAATTGAAAGCAACAAAATAAAAGAAATTTGATATAAGAATTGAAGGAGAAACCGAAATCGTACCGGGACAGGGTAAAGAGTAGGGGGTAAGAGTCGTTGGCCCAGGAAGGAGTTAGAGGAGAGAGAAAGAGAGGTCATGGAGCTCTGAAGTGCAGCCATGGCTGCCATTTTCGTTGCTTGCGTGTACTTTGCTGTGATTGAGAAATGGATAATACAGAGCAGAGCTTAAAAGAGTGTAAACTTGTTGCAATATCGGATTGGAACGAAAACGACGACGTAGCTGTTTCTTACTCAAAAGATGGGTTTGGAGGGAGCAAGGGACTATATGTAATTTGGGCCTTATTTGATTTTAGTGAAGAGACGAAGTAAAGCCCAACCCAACTTTTGGGTAAGGGTGATTTTATGGACACCCAAGAATTGTTGGACAACCAGAACTTACTGTGGTATTTGTGTTGATTTTTTTATTTATTTATACAAGCGATAGTTTAAATTACTCTAAATTAATCTAATATGCGGACATGGGGACTGGAACTTGAATGCGAAGGGGCAATTAACTACCCTGACCAACTAGCCTAACTCAAGTCTGCGGTATTTGTGTTCAAAGAATCACCCTTGTTATTTTGGTGATGTTCCCAATTTTTATTTATTTTTTGGGTGGAAAAGGTTTGCCTTTTGGTTCAAATTACATAGGAAAGCCAACATGTTGAATAAGTACAAACGTTTTGTAGGATATTAAAATAATAAATTATATAACACTGCAAATAATGGGAAATAAATTCCTTCATTTCCATTGCTTGAGAACGGTATACAAATTAGAAACCTGTCATTTGAGCAAAACAAGGAGGAAGAAAGAGAAAAAGATATGTTACAGAGTAAAAATGCTGAACTGAAATCCTGTGTCACTCGAGCAGAAATCAGAACTACTTGAAATCTGCTAGTTCTAGCCAATCAAAGACTGCACATGTATCAAAAAACCAAAGCCCAAAAGCCAAGAAATTTGAAAAAAAAATGAACAAATGGGAAAACTATCGTCTATACTTCATAGGTATCAGCTATGCTGTCCGCAGACTCCTCCCTTCGATGTTCAGCCATTTGGATTTTGGTTTCCGGTTGGTTCACGTCGATTGTGACTTCATCTGTAACGGATGACAAGGATTTCATGTGCTTCCTGTTGTGCCTCATTTTGAGCATCCGCGATAGCACTTGTACAATGTCTCTCATGGAAGGCCGTTTCTTTGGGGCCCGGTTGACACATTTATATGCAAGAGCTGCCACTTCGTTGAGCTCTTGCATATGAAAGTTCCCATTAAGATGGGAATCCACGATTTCTTCCCACCCAACTTTCCCCTCCGTATTCATCGCGGCCTATTTTTCACATAGAAAGTTAATTAGATAAGCAAATAAATAGCATTAATTGGATTTTAAGTGGATATGTACTTCTGCAACAAAAGTCCACGACAGTCTTCCCCTTCATTGTTCTTCTAAAACTAGACAATTGCCGCTATTTTCTTCATCTATATAGACAACCTAGCCAAGCAAAAGCGCGAGCAAAAAAAGATACACACACGCACGAAAATACAGCTATGTATCACTATAGCAGACAGACAAAAAGAATGAAAAAGAATCAAAGAACATTATGCAAGTATAATAGATAAAAAGCTGCCATAACAATGTCCAATGATCTCTTTATGTTCCTGGGTTATCAATATTGTCACATGGTCAAATCAACCTTAAATTAGAGAGAGAGAGAGAGAGAGAGAGAGAGAGAGAGAGAGAGAGATCTTACAAGCTCAACATATTCCATGAGACCTTGTTGAGGATTTCTTCCAGCTATGAGTTCAAAGAGCAAAACTCCAAAGCTGTAAACGTCACTTTTCTTGGTGAAATTCCTTGTAGATATATACTCAGGATCAAGATAACCAAACGTGCCCCTAATATTAGCTGCATGTTTGTCCACCATTTCTTCTCTTGAAAGTCCAAAATCAGCTACCTGCTTGATCCAGAATAACACTCTATAATATCATAATTGGCAGCCTAACCTTTTATAAGTTTTATTACTTTAAGTTCATACATATATATATTAAACAAGTATGTAAAATCCAAAATGCAAAAATTTCCCCCATATTTGGAAAGTAAATCAAATACTCCCTTTACAGAGTGTGATATCTTTACGAATCTGCTTTTGGAAAAATGATTATACAAAACTAAAACACATACCCTGGCTCTCATGGACTGATCCAACAGAATATTGGAAGATTTAATATCGCGGTGTATTACAGGAGGAACTGCCTGGAGTGGAAAATTAAAGTTCAATAAATAAACACCTTGAGCATAAACAGAAACAACAAATCAACAAATAAACACCTTTGAGCATAGACACATGCACAGGCACAAAACCAATTCATTATGTTTTAGTACAGTAAGATTGACATACTCCATCATGAAGATACTCCAAGCCTCTTGCTATATCTAAAGCTATAAGAACCCTCAAATCCCAGCTCAACGGCTCATGCTTTTCACCTGCACAAAGAAAAGCATGTTATTTTCAATTAAACATCTTGCATATCAAATCTGCATTTTCTTTCAAATTTCAATCTTGTTCTTCTTTCTATTCCTATGTAAACTGAATGCACTAAGACATAGTTAACATCATCCTTTCCAACAAAAATTGCGAAGTTAACAATTCACAGCTGTCATTACACGAACAGAAGTGGAATAAGATTATGTCAGAACAGTGACCATTAAAACAAACATAAAAACTTGAGTGATAACCCTAAGAAATTCCATTAAAAGAAACATATTTGAAGTTCTATAGTCATCTTACTGTATAAATGAGAGGCCAAGCTGCCTTTACTCATGTAGACATATATAAGCATATGTTGCCCTTTTTCTGCACAATATCCAATTAAGTTCACGAGGTTTCTGTGATGCAACCTTCCCAATAGCTTAACCTGAAGGGAAAAGATTAAGAACAAGAAGGTGAGGGACTATAATTGATGAAACAATCCAGAATAGATTTTATACTTACAAATGAAATCCATTACATGACATTAATCAAAACCTCCTGATGCCATTTAAGAAAGCAAAATACGAATATTTTTCTAAAAGACAAGCGAATTGGTTAAGAGTATAAAAAATTACTTTGTAGGGACCATAAAAATAGTAAAATATTAAATGAACATTACCTCAGTCTGGAACTCTTTCTCCCCTTGTTTAGAATCAGTTGCAAGAACTTTAACTGCAACAGTCTCACCCGTTGACATCTGAGCTTTGTACACAGGACCAAACGCACCTTGCCCTATCAATGTTGTAAAGTTATAGGTTGCTTTTTGCAGATCCCTGTATGTATCCAATTAACAAGTTAAACTAATACACGACTGCAAAGGGGGTCAAGACCTTAGCTGTGCAAAAATAAACTGAATCTCCTTTAAGAATAATAATATATAAAAATTCATTGTGAATGTCAACAAAAAAACAAATACTAGGTAGTTAAGACTTCAGAAGCAAGAAATTGAACACTTCATGACGAATCATCTAGTCGTTTTGCAGTTATAAATGAATGGCATTAGGCATCTCACATAACAGTTGAAGCAAAATATAGTTAATGTCTATGCATTTCATGCTTGTTTGGATGAGTCTACGTGTTTTAAGTAAATGTACACTATCAGAGGACACATTCCTCAGAAATTTAAGGACTCTGTTATAACAATCGTAACAAAGTAATGAGGGGAAAACTCTAACAAGCATTCAAGATATCTACTGTATTCACATATAGATTGATCCTCTGGTGTTCAAATGTTTACGACACATACTCCAGTTGGTTTCTATCAACTATGCAGGCTCAGAATTCAGCCATTACCAGTTAGTCAACTCATTATCACCAAGACTCTAAAGATAGAATGCTAAATAATTCCACTAAACATGATTCATATCTTTCCATACGGGACAAGCAATGATATGATAGAAAACATATCATCTAAATCAAGAACTAAGGTGCATGAGAGGAATAATTTTTCTGGAAACATTACTTGTAAGAATACTCAGGTATTCCAGACATTGAGACCACATTGCTCTTCTTAAATCCCTCAAGCCAGAAGGAGGAACCATTGCGTCCAGATTTTACAGGTGAATCTGGACCAACAGTCGAGTCTGACAATATAGTACAAGAGTCAGCACCATTAGCACGGATAGGAATAGTGGCTGTCCTCCGAGAACTGCTGTTCCCTATCTGCAAGCGCCTCCTATGGTACCTAATGCAGAAGAATCCAGAAATTGCCAAAAGCACTCCAATCACTACCCCTATAGATACCCCGATTATCAGCCCAGCCGGCTCGCCTTTCATCTCCTCAAATGTACTTTAGTGCCTATTCAATGATCAAAGCCATTGAAAACCTGAAAAATTACCAATGGACTTGAAAGTTGTGAGGTCAATTTTGAACAATTTGTTTGATATGCATAGCCATCAAAGAAGTCATAATAAAATAACAAACTCCAAATTATGTATACAAAAAAAATCTAGTATTCAAGAAGAAAAAGTATATCTTAAATAATGCAATTTTAGCTCCCAGTTCCAAGTAAAAACGTGAAATTAACGTTGGACAAGCATAACCTCGTCAATTCACTTTTAGCTTCAAACTAGTTCAACCTCAACTCTGTTTACATTAAAATCCTTGTAACAGTACTAAGACAATAAAAACAGTTACACGATTAGTATTTTCTCTTTTCTGGGGGCCGGGGGGAAGGGGAGTAAAAACAACCCAAATTTTTTTTTTTTTTTTTTTTTTTTTTTTTTTTTTTCAAAATAAAATTAACGTGTGGAAAAGCAAAAAAACAACAGCACTAAGTAAGATATCAAATGTATAGTGACAGAAAATTACTTGATCTGCTTCCCATTTAACCAAATTAAACTGAACAGAGATCTCCCATACCAAATCAAATTCATGGATATAATCGAAAATCTAAGAAATGGGTCGACCACAAATCCAACAATGCTCTGTTTGGTTGCTCATAAAACCAGGAAAAGAAAGTACAGCATAATCATAAAAAGAAATTAATATAAAAACCCAGTTAGCCCAATGCAAGTTATATTGGACCTACTTAAAGTCAGTTTCACTTTTCTTTCCTTTCATTCAACTCAACTTTTCTTTTCTCGGCAACCAAACAGAGATTCAAGAAAAACCCCCCAACAGATCATGGCCTGGCCAGGAAAACAAAAACACCAGAAATTGAACAGCAAAAAGAAGCAAAATCAAAACAAAAAGAATAAATCAAACCAAAACATTGACGTGCAGCTTTAGTGGTTTTACTAACACGCTTTGGATATTACCTGTATATGCTGAGAAACTGTTACGTGATTTGCTGGAGTAAGGAAGAGAACAAGTTAAAGTGTCGAGACTTGAGAAAGAGAGAGAGAGATTCCAAGGATGAAAAAAGAGAATATGATTATGATGTAGGAGACGAAAATATTTGAAGGGAACCAGAGAAAATGAAAAAGAAAGTTGGTGTGAGAAAGTAATGAAGGAAATACAGAAAGAAACAGTGAATAATTATGGTATATGTATAAATATAATGGTATGTTTTTGGCTGGCTTCTTAAATACCGTGAGTCGCCGCTGACATAATGAAATGAAACGCGCCTCCCGATTGCCCCTAAAATTGGCCTCGCTTTGTGTGTGAATGGACCAATATGCCCAAATTATTGGGATTTGCGATTTTTCAAAATAAGAAAGTAAAGGGTAATACAACTTTAATATTATGTTGTTAAGCTGTCAACATGTTAATCCGAATCGTAAACGAGTTAGATATTATGGATTATGGTGTCAAATTGATCGTGCAGGAGGTGGATTTTGTTAATGAGGTTGTCAACCCAAATTGTAACGAGGTGAATTTTGTTTGAACATGTAATTCAGTCCCAAATTATAACGAGGTGTCAAAATTATGATGTGTGACGAGAGAACTTTATCAACAATAAATATGTATTACATTACAAAATAAATAAATAAATTGGGAAGGGTGGGTCTTGGAGACTTGGTTGGTGCACTAGTTGAGAGACTATTAACTATTGAATTCAATATATGAACATTGGTGGGTGCACCAATTTTGATCAATTTTCATGGAATGCAGGAATGGTCCAAGAGTAGCACATAAATTTGTGGGTCTGACTTTGTCACCTTGAATGAGCAATAGGTTGCATTTGGTTGTCTAATAAAAGATTAGATTGAGTTTATGGATAGGTGACGTTGACTTCAATAGTATTTATTTTCATGTTGGCCTTGGACTTGGTATGAGTTTAAATTTGATGTCATTAATCAGGAATATTGGTGGATTTGGCAACAAAATTCAAGGTTTCAATGTCATTCGGCATGTAAATCCAGGGTCAAATTAAATAAACCAAAAAAAGGCATGAATAATGGGACCAGATAATCTGTGAGAAATTGTTGGCTAATGACTTGGTATAGAAGAAAGTCAAACGATGAATTTTTTTCTGCGAAAACTACAATATACTAAATAGCAATCTACGCACGAGGTGTTCGTAATTAATAATAATTCCCATGAATACATTGCATAATTGCATCAGCTAAAAAGGTCATTCAACGGTTCTACTATAAAAAAATAAAAAATAAAAAGGGATCGTTCTCTTCACTATCAATGTCTATATTCAAATTTCGATGTCAACAATCTCCCTAAGTGGGTATCTGTAAAAACCAAAACATGGGCTAAAACCCTCTTTATAAATTATCAAAGAGGCCTTAGCATGCCCTGATTCTAGGATAGGTTAGCCTCCCTTCCCCTAAACTTGTCTTCATAAAAAGAAAATACCTCTCTCTTCTCTCTCTCTCAAAACAAAAAGAAGACCATTATGCAACACAAGCAAAGAGGAATTTGATACTTACTCTCTTTTAAGTTTTGGCCACAATCCTCGTTAAAAAAGTGCAATCCTCTTTAGTCAATGGAGTTGTTTAAATCTTTCTGAGTTGATTTATAATTTTCTCTTGATAATAATAGATTATACGCACACGACACGTTAGAAAATACGATGGAGTTCATATAATAATAACATGTAAAAATTATGTAGAAAATGACCTGCAAGGATCAAAGTGACACGTACGTTAAAAGTGGGGTAATGTAATTGCCATGCTATGTCTAATTTCTAACCCACACGATGTGTTAGAAATATGATGGCGGTCATAAACTTGAAAATTAATCAAAATATCACTATCATGGACTAATTCTTGCTGCAATTTGAATTTTGAGTAGAGGATGATTAATATGCAATTGATGCCACATATTAGTTCAAGACTACTATCGATATAATCAGTGAAGTAGGAGCTCGGGGTTATGAAATTTCTATAGATGTGTTCAGAAAATGCTGGAGGGAGTTGTTGTTGTTGACCTTTAGCGGTTAATGGGTATGAAAAAACTGAGATTGGTAGTGAGCAACTGTCAACCAAACACACCTAATGGAAGATGAAAACGAATAAATAATAATCAAAGCCAAGAACCTATTTAAGGTGATCACAACTTAACCCCACAAATGACCTCAATGAAATGACTGCCTTAGATTAATGTCATAATTAATATTTGAATTTAAGTTAGTTTAAGAAATTAAGTACAGCAATAATATCATCTTAGACTGTTCCCATTGGTCTGAGGCACCCACCTCATGCATCTGTCTCTACCAAAAAGTCTTGAATTGCCTGGTGAATTAACGTAAGCTTTTACTATTTTTAGGTTTGTCTAAACAATATCTTAGTATTAATAATATTGATGTTGCCCCTGTGGGTAAGTGTTTGTCTATATATTCTGTCACATCATTCAATTTCTTCAACTCATGAGTCATGATTTTTAGGATTTTAAAAATTATATACTGATAGAAACAGGGGTTTTGGAGGTACTACTGGCTAGCTGTCAGGCCTGTTTGGGAGTGCTTTTGAAAGAGCCAAAAGCGCTTTCTGATAACTAAAAGCGCTTCTGACATTGTTTGGCAGAAAAGTTTAGAAGTGCTTATGGGTCATAAAAGCGCTTCCTGAAGAAGCACCTGCTATGTGCTTCTTCAGGAAGCACTCCCAAGTGTTTTTCCACGAAGCACTTTAACTTTTTATGAAAATTCAAGATTTTTATAATAAAAGTGCTTTTGTTAGAAGCGCTTATGAGCAGAAGTACTTCTTAAAGAAGCAGTCCCAAACGAGCCCGTCGTAGCTTTGGACATTAATTGGGAGAGAGATACACATGAACGGGTTATATCACGTGACCATGTCTATGTATTGTATAATAATTTCTGTTTATTTTGTTAAAATAAGTTTTAAGTCTAAACTCGAGCCATGAAATTGTGAGAGGAACATGATTCTAGTTTACTTAAAAAAACCCAATGTTGTGTTTTATGCATAATTAGCTAAAAATTAGCACAATAAAACATAAGTAAAAGCGTACGAACTTGAGAATAAATATAGATAAGCTCTACTGATTGAGTAATAGACGTGTTCAAAGACTAATAGAACTATTTTTATCATATTTACTGATAATTTTTCTTTGTTAAGATGGGACTTACGTAAATAAGTGAAAAACATCTGTATAAGATATTATAAGATATGAGATAAACAATATGTAGTTTGGAAATATAGTATACACGTACGTAGCATCACGGATACTTACCCCTTATTATAATATGAAAATGTGGATTATTCAAAAAAAACAACTAGGCCACTCTTGTTTATCCAAATTCCGTGGTGTGGAGGTCACGACGGGGTACTTAATATGATAGGAACAAATGCAACCAACACAGAATAAAACAATGCCAACTTGTTTGTTTTTTTGATGCGGCAATGCCAACTTCTTGTTGTTGTATGTATATATTTATGAGGCACATTGGGATGGGGTTGCTTTAGTAAATAGATATGAAAGTGATCAAATGATACTATAGCAGAATGTTTTTGTGACGATGATACCGAAGATCAATGCAATGCTTCAAAAGCAGACTCATAATGGAAATAGTTTTGCTCACCATCACTTTAATTCAAGGTATATTTTTATAGAATCATGGTTATGTTTATGAATATGTATCAAGTATCAAGAATAATGATGATGATACACTCTGAGTTAAAGTGATGAGCAAAAATACTCTCGACTCAGAATACGCAAAATAAACATTTTTTATAGGATTTAAGCGAAAGAGAAGTATGTGAAAGGAAGCAAGAGGTTAATTAAGATCTCATTACTAGTAAGTGTGTGAGGTGACTGGTGAGGGGGCCGAAGAGTGTTTGCAATGATGATGTTGTTGAAATGAGCAAATCTTGGATCGCCACCCTTCATCATCATCACTTTATTAACTAAAGCTAGGTGGGAA